TAAAAAGTTTGCATACCCCAAATGTTAAACCAGAAACATGTTTCACCGCCTCAGGGCTTAGAGCGTTGCTTGGTCTTATTAACTTTGGCAGCGACAACAGAGGTGGATTAAACTCAAACTAACTTTGTTCGCATTGTTCGTCGGGCAGGAAATTTTCCCCCCGCGATTAGATCGAAAAAACCTAGGTTGTTTAAGTCATAATACTCTCGAATCTCCGATAAGAAACAAAAATTAATTCTTCCGAGATTATTGAATATCGACAGTGGCATAATCTGCTACACCAGGGTAGTTCTCTTTGTATTGCAAATACCACCGCCATGGAAATCCATTAGTGCTTGTCGGAAAAATTTCAGCGTGCAAAATTTTGGGAAGGCATTTTGCTGGAAAGAATTTTTAAACACGAGTCAGTTTCGATTATCCTTCAAGTGAATTTCTGATTTTGATTTCTCTCTGGTTCCAAAAAAAAAAAAATACCCGCATAGAAATCTGTTTTTACTCCAAAATACAGTCTTCTGGCATATTCCGGTGCGATATGCCCATTATTATATATCACTGATAAGCGGAATGCCCCATTGCGTTGGTGGTCCCACGCGTTACTTTGCATATAGTTTCTCCATTGGTGCTGGTATACTCCGAGAAGAAATAATAAATTTCCATCCTAAAAACATTTTGTTTGTTACGTGCTTGGACAAGAATGATTTGCACAGACGGTATAATCATATAGCATACAACAAGTTACTTAAGCTGCTGAATGTGAAAATCAAAAACAGATGTAAATCACAGTGTACCCTGGACGAAAACATGACAGTCAAATGGAATATGACAGTTTCTGGGCTACCGGCCAGATAGGCTCGGAGAGGTTTGAAGAAGGAGTGGCAGTGGTGGATCAACCGTTGGGAATGGGAGAGGAGGTTAGGGGGTCTAAAACCCCACCCATTGCACCGAACAAAATAGGAGAGCCATGCAGAAAAGAGCAACTGCCTGTTGACACCCCCTCCCTCCCCGACATAGAAAGCCCCATCTCATGCATCTCGAGCTTAGCCCGCATCCGCCAAGGGGTACTCCAGGGCAAGAGGCTTACAAGTCTCAAGGGCGCGAATGAGTTGAAGAAAGAAGACAGCTTTCCCGCGGTACCCTTACGCAACTGGAAAGCGGAACAAACCTGTTACGAACGAGTCGTCGCGTCTAATGGCGTAAGTTGACGGTTCCTCGTCTCCTCCATGCCTCATATCGCGCAGGTATCTCGGTTCCAAGTTTCACTTATGATTTTTGTCAAGTAGGTGGAAATTACCCAACTCTACAATCACTAAAACTGATTTAGGCAATACAGGACAAACTGCACAGGTGCTCTCAATAGTGACGTGAACCCCCCCCCCGTCCCGAGACCTCTAAAACTCCCCCCCCCCCCCCCACTTCTTGTGCCTGTTCCCCACTCAGAATTTCGAGCCCCGCCCAAGTGCCCCTGCAAATTTGGACCCTAGTTACGCCACTTGCTCTCAACTATATTAAAAGAAGAAAATGCTTTATGTACTTCCAGTTCAGTTAGTCTCCCACAGTAGATGTCATGCATGAAACAGTCGTCCTGGTTCATTTTCAAATGTTACCTTCAAATGGGCTTGTGAACATGCTCTGTAAATAACTCACGATTATGCTTGTTGATCTTAATTAGTGACTGGGACTGGAATATCGATTTGATGTTGAATGATTCCGTCTGGACTTTCAATGTTAAAAATGATTAATTTTGATTGCCATAACATTGAATCCAAAATAGCCCGAGGACCTTCGTTCCGCTTGTCTCGTGCCGTATCGTTGAACCAGCTGCACGGCGAGTTTCCAGAAACAAATGCAAGACCATTTTCTTTTTCCGCCGTGTAGTTTTGGATTTTTATACTTCATTCCCAAGGATACCTTGTTGTTTCTGATCGAAGGAACAGAATATTTGAAACGAAGGAACAATCGACCCAACTTGAGACCTGGGTTCACTTGTGGTTTTTCAACATCACTTCCTGCCAAAAAATAAAGCTCCGGTGACGTCGCAGGAGACCCATTCATTTAATTCTTTCTCCACCAATGATTCCCCCAAGAGAGTACATTACGACACTATATAGGCCCTACAGTTCGCAAGCTCGCTGAAGCCTGTGGAGGGAAATTCTGCAAAGGAGGCCTGAATTGGGGATTAGATTGGGGGTAACCTGGGAATAGGAAAGTCGAAGGCGAGGCCTGAAGAGCAGCCAACGTAAATTCCAGCCTCAGGCGGGATTTGAACCTTGCCCACACATCAGGTGTCAGGCAAGGAAAGTATAGGCTATACCACTGTGCCATATTAACTCTCTCATAGGAGGTGCTCAATTATATATAGCGTGTCAAGAACCGACTACGAAAATCAGAACTTTTGTCTTAGTTTGTAGTGTCACAGCAGTTATCGGATGAATGTTGTTATTTTGGAAATTCCTGAGAAAACCACATGCACTTTGTCTGAAAGACTTGTGACCAGCGCATTGCATTGTGTATCTGTATGAATCGAGAGAGAGGGCGCTAATGAGAATTTGTGTCGCGAGTCTGTGGTGCAATTTACGTCAGTGCTGGAGATTTTTAAGCCCGCCAAATTTGTCCTCATTTCCCGAGTGTCTTACTCCTCCCAAAAACTCGATCTGTTTCCTCAGTATCTGTTGGGCGCATCTTGGTCTGCGTTAAATGTTACTTTTAGTATTCAGTGTCAGTAAATGACTCATTTTCCCTGAATGATGACTCCGGAAATGAACTTAAAGCAAACTGATCACAGAACTGCGACAGTTTTCAAATTGGCGGCAAGTGTATACAGGGGGTGTATGTGATTTGGTGCGTTGGTATCCAGATAATTATCTGAGAAACATACGCAATACGTCACATTACGACAAGTCGTAATAATTCATTCGCACTTTGGGCGTTGAAAAGTCAACAGGATACAGTTAATTATAGTTTACTGATAGGTTTGCCAGGATGTATTTCTTATCCCAAACTATTTTGGCACTTATTCACAGAAAACAAGAAATCGGTCGTTGCACTCTAGACTGGATTCGGATTTTGCTCCCCTTACGCGGCTGGTCCCAGTGCCCGACATGCGCGTTGGTAGAGGGCGCTATCAACAAAATGCTGTTCACATTCCACGGAAATTCATCTTCAAAATTACATATAAAAACACCACCACCCCCTGAATCATTTCCCTCTCCGCTACTGATCTCAACATTTAATTGGCCCGGATTTAGGGCAAGACTAAAGCTTTAATACAGATAAAATACCAAACTGCAAAACCTGTGTTTAGCAATTAAACACTTTCCTAAACACTTTTTTTGTAAACATGTTTAAGGATGGAGTGAGAATGGATAGTGTTTAGTGTGTGAACACTGACGTTTAGGAATTGAACTATGTTGTTTAGCTTCTAAAAATGTTTACAAACTGATAGCAAGATTGTGTTTAATTGCTAAACACAGTTTTTACAGTGTAGCTTATGGTGTGCGTTAAACCTGGCGTGTCATTAACAAGATCACAGGAGTCTCGTATGAATTATGCACGAGTTAATGTTGCTGTAGTTTCTCGAACGGTATATATCAAACGAGCTGAGATTAGTAGATATTCGTTTTCAATGCATTCTTCAATAAATTTCCAGTGTGTTAAGCTTTAATTTAGATCCAAAAAGGCAAATGGTCAAATGGCCTTCAAACTATTAAAAATGAACCTCGACACGTGTCTTACTTTGACTTTGACAAGATGTAATGTAATGGGGGAAAAAAGGATACGACCTAAACAATTTCAAGCCAGATTTTGGGAACATTTGAAATAGTGAGACATATTTCAAATACTGCCAACTAAAGTACTGCATGACTTTTACAAATATTGAATTGATCTAGGTAACAACAAGTCACATTCATGTAATAATTACTATTCAGTTGTCACTTTTCAATCTAAGTGTATTTCGCTTTAAAAGTTGAAAGTATTTCATTAATTTAAGTTATTCTGCTACAAATATTTACGGAGACAGGTGTGATGCCCGTTTCGTGTGATTAATTAGTTCAATGGCGCTCTGCCAATGTGTGGACTCAGCGGAATCGATGACTTTCATCGATTAGCGGCTGTGATAACAAGTCAAAATGGAGGCGGATGTTATTGCAGGATCGATAGCACTAATTATTCAGCTTAAGACTTGAGGGACCTCTGTGAAATGAATTTCGCACTAAAATATTCTCCTGGCAAGTGCTGTAATTCTGCAGGTTGTGGGTTCGAGTCCAGCCTGGGGTCATGTGTGCCCTTGGGCAAGGCACTTTGTCATTCATTGCTTCTCTCCACCCAGGAGTAAATGGGTACCTGTGAGGGCAGAGATGGTTATTGTGGTTGATTTAGCTTCCTTGCACCTAACAGGCAGCATTGAGCTGTATACTCCCCAGGGAGCTGAGATGGTTTCAGGAGTGTTTGCCCGTTGAAACAGGGAAAATAATAACTGTAAAGCGCTTAGATACCCCGTTGCGGCGCAAAAGCGCTACATAAATGCCTACTATTATTATTAATATTAATACCTCCGAACTGTAAAAAACAAAAAAACAAAAACTAAAAAATCGACACATGGGACACATAGTCTTGGGTGTTTATTAAGTAAACGCGCATGCAGTTTCTTTAACTTTGGGGGCGCTGTTGGTGTTGTTGCAGTAATGTCTTGCTGTAAGCGCTTGCTTCACAGTCCAGGGATTTTCTGTGCAACATTCCATGACTCCATGCGATGCAAAAAATATTTCCTCAACTCTATTATGCTCTTGTTTACTGTACTCCTGCAAATAAATACTATATGTCTAATGCAGGCGACCTCCTGTCTCTTAGGGCAGATTATGTGGATTAAATCATTAAGGTAAAAGAAACCTGGTTGGAATATCAGATCAATGCTGACATTTGCATATAGATTTTGTGGTAGGATAAAATAATTGATTGGTTTGGGAGTGGTAGTGTTGCCATTTGACTCATAGGATAATAACAGTTACCACTGGTATGTAGAGTAGTCTACGCTAGGTGTGCAACATATTTGATGTAACACTTGCACATGTGGCATGTTTTCATTCTGACTGAAAAAGAAAGTGTCAACAGATTTATCAACTCGACAAAAGGTTTTTTTATGAAAGGCTCCGCTAAAATGTTATACCCTTCAGAGGGTTGATAAGAAGGCAATTTTGTATCCTGACAATTATTTTGTATTCGTCCAGGAGTTATACGATCCAAAGTGCCATGGAGGAAAATGTTACAAACGACGGGGCAGCATTTCCGACGCCATCACCGACGCTTCCCGTGTTGTACCTCCGGGAGCAACCGCTCCGATACGCGGCACCCAGCGTCATGAGTCTGACGCTGCTCATCGGAGTCTTCGGGAACATGTGCCTCCTCTATGTCAATCTCAGAGGACTATCAAAAAGGGACAAGTCTCGTGTCGTTTTGGATGTCTTCCTTGCGAGCATGGCAGTGATAGATCTACTCCTTCTGATTACTACGGGTCCTTTCTTTGCTATCGAGTTCGTTCTGGAAAATTGGCCGTTCGGGGGTCCGGCTTGCCGGTTCCTGCTCCCCTTTAATCACCTAACGGAGACGGTCGGCGCGTACACGGTCGGCGCCTTGGCCCTGGACGAGTGCCTTGTCATCGGACTGCCCAATTCCTATGCCCCACGACGAGACCTCCGAAAATCCTTCCTTGCCAACCTGACCATCTGGCTTACTGCCATCGTCCTTACGATACCCGTCACCGCTTACACCAAGAGCGCAGAGACTACCTACCAGGAGTTCTTCTGCACAGTGCACATGCCTGGCTCTACCCACGGCGTCCAGCTGTACACGTTCCTCGTCAGTTTCTGCATCCCAGTCGTGCTCACCTTGGGATGCCTCCTTTGGATCTTGTACAAATCCAACGGTAACTTCTGGAGACCTGCCAAGGATGAGAGTCAGCCGCGCAGCAAGCAGACGCGAACCACGGTCCTACTGATCGCCTCCCTCATCGGTGCCCAAGCCCTACTCTGGCTCCCCCATCACATAACCTCGTTTGTCCATCCGGGCATCTACAGTGACGAGACCACTCGCAGTGATTTCTTGTCCTACACCGCCGTCGCTTGTTACGCCTACGCCAACTCCGCCATCAAACCGATACTATACGTCTTTCTCTACGAAGACATTCGGGATCGCTTCGTTGAGGCCATCCCTTACGGGAAGGGTAATGACATCCAAGGGATCGGCCGTGGACGCCGCTTGCCAACCACCCCCGTAAGATACAAGCACGAGAGAGGTAGTAGGGTCGGTAAAGTGCCATCAGTGACTGCCTCAATGCACACTATCCATGGATATCCGTATGTCATTGAGGTGAATGGGGAGGATGAAGTTGGGATAAATGGAATGGACAGAAGATGGAGTATGTAGGACAACTAGCCATTAATGTTTCAAAACATTTCCCTGAACAATTGTTGGTTTGCTGGTAATGTTTCACCTCTGAACATCCATATTCATTCATATTAAACTGTTAGATGAAACATTGTGTTAACACCGGTGTTTAAATTAAGACTCTTTAAATTACATCAGTACATAATGCATAATAATTTTTTGACAGCTTTTGTTTGTTACAATATACTTTTAATGTTTTTCTTATGCCTAGATTGAAACATGAATCGGAAAGGAATTCATTGTAGTGATCTATCAATTATTCATGATCAGAACTTGCAAAATATACGCAAACTTAAAGTGAACTGTCAATCTTTCAAAATTTCTTAGGCTTGTTAAAACTGCATATGTTTATCTCAATGTTTGTAGAGTAATACAATTTTAATCCATTATTAATTATACAGTCAATTATTGCCAGTTTTGTCTTAAAGAGCGACATTACGTTAATATGTGCATAGACCCCTTACGTTTTGCGTCATGGCAGTGGGCAGGTATATGTTTCTGTGTGATACACTTTATTAGGTACTTCGTGCTTTCACTGTAACTGAATTTAAATAACAAAACCTACCCACTGCCATGGCGCACAATGCAAAGGGTCCATATAGAGAAATCTGACGTGCTGTGCTGAAATCTTTCATATGAATAAAAAGCGTCTATACGCGATTGATTTTAAGATTCATGTGACAACGCTTGTCAAAAAAAATGTAACTTAGAACCAGATTTACAGATCTTACAAAACTATTAAACCGTAACGTTTTCGTTTTCATTTCTCGCAAGATTTCGAACAACAACCGCAAACTGGTTAGTCGTTGAAATAAATAAATTGATACGATAAAAACAAAGAAAGTCCTTAGTTTTTAGTTAGGATAAATAGATGCCTACATTTTTTTAAGCTGAATTTGAATGGTAAATCATACAAACTAGGCGGATTCTTTGGCGGTTTGTAGGACACATAAAGTTGCTTGATGTAGCGATTGCTTACCATGAGAAGTTGTACCTCTACTGCGATCCTTTTGCGCCCGAAACCGCCCCCAAATCGGTGCTCACAAGTGAACCCATATGAACAGCGACCTCTATAGTCATATTATTGGCTACGTGTATGCTTGAGTTTGCTTCTGCATTCAATAGGGGACGTTGAACAATAGAGGGCAATAGGGTCCCCAATTCCCGAGCGGTCCCCCATTTGGATTTCGTGTACAAAACATCTGGGAGGTCTTCCTTAAAAGTTGAAGTACAAACAATTAAAAGAGGGACAATTGGGGGTCCCCGACTGCAGGAAAATACTTACTCGTATGTACGTGCGTGAATGTGTGCACGTACACGCACACGTTTGTTTTACAAACGCTATGTGGACATTCATTTGTTATCGTGTAGTAAAGAAAACTAGGTACAAAAAATAACTTTACTTAGACTGTGAAAACTCTTTCAACCCCAAATTTGTTTTTTGATTTCCTTGAATGTTTCTCTTCATTCTGCGATGTGGCATAACGTCAACACAACCTGCATTATGCGGACATATTTTGTTCACATGTGTCCACATAGTGACTGTAAGACGAACTCAGTCGTCTTCACACCGTCGATTGTGGACGTCCTATTGTCCCCCTTTTGTTTGCACTATATACTAACTTTTTAGGAAGACTCCAATATGTTTTGCCCCCGACCCCAATCGCGGACGTATGCTGGGAATCGTGGACGATATTGTTCTCTTTTGTTCTCAGGTATTTTTCGTCCACGGTTTGAATAGATGAACACGCCCACACTGAGCCTACGTACGTACGTACGTATTAGAGAGAGAAACCCGGGGAGGTGCCCAGGGGTCGTAATCGCTTAACTGCTACTTCCGAGAATAAGTCCGGACAAACAAACATCCAAACAACCCAACATACAAACATCGTGACACAGACTTGGGTATTATTATATAGCTAGATGTACATGTAGTTATAATACAAATGCTATTTTATATCATTAACTGGCACAAAAAGTATTTTGTGATACATTAATTTTTTTTTTAAATGTTCGATTTCACCACTTGTTCAGTTTTTGGGGAGAAATGCATATGAAAAACGCGATTTGAAAAATCGACCAACTTCACACGCGATTTTCGCAAAACTCGGATTTGCAGCTATGTATCAAAACAGTGATGATTATGTATAGGCCGTAGTTATATCTGGAATCGTCTGGCGGGATTAACTCCGACCACGTTAATACTGAAGAGCTCTGCCTTTACGCATGCACAATTGAACGAGGTATAGCTTAAATGGGTCAGAAAATGACTTATCAACTAATGTCGACTATACGCAAGTACTATTTTTGTTATTTCTTTGTCATTTAATGACAATGGCGAGTTCGATATCAGAGTAAAAAGCATTAACGATATAAGTCTTGGTTATTTTGATCGATGCAAAGAGTAGAATTTAGAACATGCGTAACGAAAAAATACACTGATCTCTCTGGTTTAGGCCCGGTATGGATCCCGATCAAAATTAAACAAATTACGCCGCAAACAAATCGGATGGAGGTGAGGATTTGTATGGGGGGCCTAAATACAAAAAGTACAAATCTGCTCAGCATCCAGGCCATGGGATTTCTTTGTCATTGTAGTGTGCATTGTGATTTGAAGATCATCAAGACTGAGGTTTGGCAAGACTTCTTGATGATAACTGGAGAAACGATCAATGCGTGTAAGTTTAGGGTATAATGGCAGCCATTTTAGCTGCCATCATACCTTCATAATCATCCAGTCCTCATAATCATCCGGTCACTTAAACTTAAGGCTTCATACAATGTTATTTAAGTATGTGTTAGAAGAATCCCCAAAATAGATTTTTCAAAAAAATTAAAAAATAAAAAATATACCAAAATATAGGAATAAACATATGACACGGTAGCTATTACGATTTATGCAAATAAGGCACCCCTCCCACAATAATTTCAGATGTCACCCCTTCTAAAATAATCTTGTTTAGGGCTGTAAGAATCTATCTTCCAACTGTTGGTGCTTTGGACCAGTCGGTCGCGATCTTGTCAAAAATTTGATCTAAACGACTGGACTAATTCTTTGTGTTCACTTAATTCATTTTTGATGTAGTAAAGCCTGCCAGCGATGTTGCTTCACACTGTACACGACTTGTTGTAATACATAGTTTTACAATATTCCTTGCTTCATTGACATTTAGACTGTTTCTTTTGATTCGTCTTTCATGTTCATGATGTTCTAGGTTTCCTCCATGTCTTTTGGTTGTTGTTGATTTATGATTAATGAATAAAAGACATGAATTAATATAATAGTTGCTTAAATATTATGCATTAATCCCATTTGCTTTTATGTTATTTCATTGTATTGTTTTGTAATACATTGTATTGTGTACATGTGTAGTAATTTGTAATATATACAGGGCCTTTAATGGAAACCAGTTTTAAACCGTTTGTGCAAATAAATGTAATAAATATAAAATAATTAAATTTAAAGTGTATGTTTAGTTTGGTTGTAGCTTGGTGTGTTATCAACTGAAATTTAAGTGACGACATGATGACGTCATCACATGCCGTTAGCTATCGTCGTGTAAGTCTTTTGTCTTGTCTGTCTCGTCCGTGTGTCGTTATCACGTTGTTTTTCTGTTGTTATTGTTGTCTGTAAGGGCTGTTTCCTACAAGCCTCGGCTTACTTAAACAGCCCCATACTCCTTACTTTCTCTTGTACATATTTTGAAATAAGTTTATCATTTCTTCGAAGCGCATTTTACTTTTATTATTTTTTAGACAAAATTTATTGATTTTGTTATTTTGCTATTTACCAGTCTTTCTTTTATTTATGGATGTATTCTCTAAAGGAGTGTGGAATAAATGTCTTCTTGAATTGAATTGAATTGAATTGAATTGAAATGCTACAGACTCATCTCAACCAAACAGTGGACAAACACATTTCTAGTCTTCTTCTGGTTTTCATTCCGCATCAACCTCAGTCCATGTTTTGACAAAAATTGTAGGGTGGGTGGTTTCACGTCTGACGCGCATTGACAGGTAATGACGGAAAGAAACTCTACACGGATCGTTTTTTAACGAGTTCTACGAGCCGATTCACTGATTTCGTAAGTTTTTGTTAATGGCCAACAGGAAATCGGTTAGATCTCACTCGGTCAATTATCATACTCAAGACGTCAAGCATCATGACGCGCACTGTACGACGGCACCCGGAGGCTTTATAAGCAAATACGTTGCTGAGTGGCGCCTTAGTATCAGATCGAGTGTTCTACAATGCAGTTCTAGCAGTCAGTGTCATAGCAAATAAGAAGTCGTCGGTGTTACATGATCGAACAATCTAAAACAGAGATTTCCGACTGACAAGTTCAAGTCACGGTGCTCCTTGCATAATAAGTTCAGAAGTTGTACGTTAACATTTTTTTCAATATAAGACCGGTACAAACTCCGGTGGGCGCATTACCGAAAGGTTAAATCCATGATGTTAGTCATGCGTTTTCCAAGGGACCCACTTGCTCAGCAGTTCAGCAGCATCAGCACCACTGATGGGCGTCACACCAAGCAGCGGAGTCAGGGAAAACGGCAGGCATTGTCCTCTTGGTCCAATCAACAGATGTCTGGTGGGAACACGTTTTCACCGGCCACTGATCAGGGCTCGCCGGTCATCTCGGACCGGTTCACCGGTATCAATCGCACCGATGGGCAAGAATCCGGTAAGAGGTCGGATTGGTTCGCTCAACATTTCATCGATAGTCTACCCGTTGTACCTCACGACCTATCCACTCGATCATTAACACAGAGAGGTGCCAATCATCCTATTTCCGCTACCGACTCGGTAATAACGAGCCCCCAGCGTGACGGTGAAGACAACGTGCCGGGGCGACGCGACCGGCAATCCCAGCGTCAAGCCCGGTCCCCTCTGCCGCAGCCGGCAAACTACAAGACGTTTCTGCATTCTTCGAGCTCGTCCAGCAAACTTCCATTCCTGTCGAACGGACCATCCTACTTGTATGACTCTCAGTTGGGTAGGTTCTCCGGTCCCGACCAGGAGCTGTGTGAGGACAGCACAGTTGGTACAACTCTCATCAACTCCCGTTCACAACACATCCCCGGTTCATCATTAATACTACCGCCCCTGACTACCAGTAGACGGTCCGAGAACAGCAGTTCACACTGCTTACCACCCATCTCCAAGACTGGCTCCATATTTCCTCAGCAGCCGGTAGACAACACGACGACACAAATGCAGACAGTTTCAACAATGACTCCCGATACCCATAAGAATCCATCAACTGTTGTCAACCTACCAGAAAACTCAGTTCCCTCTACAGAATGTTGCACCAAGGACATTAGAGAAGCGAAAATCGAATGTGCATTTGCATTGGAAGACCCTGACTCAACTGGGGACGACTTGAGTACCTCCCAGGTAAAGTACTGGACAGAAAGCCCCGTCGGCGGTTCCAAAAACAGCAGGTCCAGTTGCAAGATCTTAACTCCTTGGGCAGCTGCGGCGACCAGCAAGAAGCGTGTGACGTGGTCCAAGAGCTTACCACGCCGTGCTGGTGACCACACGTGCAACTTCCATCCCTCGGACTTTGCCACTTCAGCCCCGTGTCTCTCCAAACTGGACATAAATATCAGCCGAGAAATAAACTTCAAGAGACGGATGGCGTGTTGTCTCATGAACGATTCAGCACTGGGGCTCGTGCACCTTGCAATGTGCACCAAGAATCAACCCTCATCCCCTTTGGAAAGCAACGCCAGTATTTCAATTTCCATCTTCAACACATCGGAACGGAAGTTGAGCTCACTTCCCAAACTATAATGTCGGCAATTTAAAATGTATCGCTATTAAGATGTATTTAAACGGGAACCTATAGACTTCCATTTTTTTTCACAAGCTAGACAGCACGTCAAAGCATGTTGGTATTGCGTCTTTTGTATTAATTCAGACAAATACAAACACTCACTTCCGTCTGACTGTCTACGGTGTAATTGGTTCCATAGAACCGGAGAGATCACGTTATTTTCCGTTACGCATGTTCTAAATTCTACTCTTTGCATTATCATTCAAAATTACCTAGGCTGATATCGTTGTGCTGTTGAATTTGATATCGAACTCACCAATGTCACTAAATGACAAAGAAGTAAAATAATACTTTTGTAGTCACAACATAACTTAGTTGAGAAGTCATTTTCTGATCCAGTTAAGCTACACATGTACTTCGTAAAATGTGTGCATGCATAAATGCATTGCCCTTCAGTACTGCACCTGAGTCGGAGTTTATCCATCCAGCCGATTCTACTCAAAGAACTATACAAGTCATATTAAATGCAATATATATGTATTACTATAAAGATAAACTGTCGTGTTTTGTCTCCGTTTTTTTATTAAGTTCTCCCCTAAAGAATTTTCAACTTTTATGATATAGGCCTATTTGAACGAAAACAAAACCCTTTTTTTGTCGTCTTTACAACCCTATAAAAGGCCTATAACAGTGAGTTGCTTTTGCGCAAGAACAGATCCCCTGTCCTATCATTACCTATTCTCGTGTCGGAGGCGGAAACAGATGCAACTTATTTGAAAAGATCCTTTGTTACATAATTAAAGGTTGGCCGATTTAAGTCTCAATCGTTAAAAACCGTTATACTCTGGATACAATAGGGTACATGAAATACAAACCCTCCGTCATACAAGGCCGGATCCAGAACACACGTTTTTATTTGGGGGGGGGGGGCACAATATTTTTGTGTTCCCCGAAAAGGTGGATCCAAAAATGTTCCTTCCCAAATTCAATATGAAAAGCAAGGCACTTTGTATTGCTTTTGTTGAGTTTTATGGGTGGTGAACGCAGTGGCTGCCTTTTTTGCGACGTCACTTACCCCCAAAAAATTAAAAACAATTGGGGGGGGGGGGTTGGGGGGGGGGGGGGACATGGCCCCCGTTGCTCTCCCCGGATCTTTGCTATTCTGTGAATGTCCTCTGTTTCCAACTTGTTGGTCCACCCCTAAGTAGAATTGTGTATGAAAGCTACATTTTTAATTATAGTGTAAAATAAATCTGTAAAAATCTTCTAATTATACAAAATAACTCACATTTTTCTTTCTTTAAATACTTTTAAAGGGAAATAAAAGCAGGCTTCGTGGCACCCAATATACACTATTTTAAAACAGCAAAAACCAGAAAACAATCCGAAATACAAACAATGTATCATGCTGGGAATTGTGTAATTCATTTTGAAAAGTCTTCAATACTTAGACAAAAAAAAAAACATCTTGCTGTGTCCCATTTACATAAAACAGAGGCTTAGTCAGGGGGGCGGGGGCGAGGTGTGTATTTACTCTCTCCCCAAAAAAATATTTTGTAAAGACTGCCCTTTTCCATTGAAGTGCCCTTTTGTCACCAGTGTTTACCCCCCCCCCCATAGAATGTATTTAAAATATTTAAAGAGTGTCCTTTTTAAACAAGTGCCATTAAAAAAAATGTCCTTTTTAACCAGCAGCCTTTTACGAGTGCCCTTTTAATTTGAGTCTGAACAGCGCCCCCATTGGAAGATGGTACCGAAGATTTCCAGGCGAAAATGAATTCTGTTCCTGTAGATGTTCAGTTATCCTGTTGTGGGGCCCCGTCCAGATAACGATGCCACCCCCCCCCCCCCCAAGTTCCCCTGCAAACGCGACCCATTCAGTTATCTGGCCTACACACAAACGTCATCCCCATTTTTGGCGGCGCAACGCGTACAGTTTAATTTCAAAGCCATTTTTCTCGAAATACTTTTTCGCGAAGTTCCGCGATACTGTCGTCTTTTTCGTCATTTCATCGAAATAAAATTATACCACATGAACCATTTCGTTTTACTGAAGACAAATGAAATCGGCAATGACAAGCCCACTCTGTGATTACGTACAAGTGTAATTGTTATCATTTAATCTGCTCCTGCAATGGGCGAGTGCTTTCAAATTTATCCACAAGATTAACGCAAGTTGTGGTAGGGGCCTAAGTCCGCCATCTTTGTCATTAACGTTCCTCATCTACTCCCCAATACGTGGGGAGTTAACATCGTGTTTGCGAACACTATAATTCGCGTGTTGGTTCTGTCATTCGAAACCCCGAAACCCCGAGCATGGAAAAGTTACTTTCTGTTTTGTGCAAACGCTTTTGTCAACGCAAATATGCCTATTCAAATTCTCCCCTTTTGTAAAATTTCTTGACTTCGCCATACTTGCGAATGTGGAATTCACAGGTTTACCCGATCAGTCTGTTTTTGGACAGTTTTAGGTTTGTTGTATAGGTAGTGAGATACGGCATCCAAGTCTGTCTGCCTGTCTTCAAACCATGTTTGCACATTAAAAGCGGGTTGCTACGCATGTCTTTAAAGGCCCTGTCACACTGTCACGTCCATGCATGGCGTTCATATTGCGTTGCTGAAATTCTTTTTAAAAAATGTAATAAAACGCCATGGCGCCAGTGGTTTGCAAGCCATCCATAAAAGATATAATGATACGTCTCTGTGAAGTCCACGGGAAGTCTAAGACATCCGTGTGGCATTCTATAGCGTCCTTGCGGCGTTCTCTATGAGTTCCATTGAAGACTATAAGTCTGCGCGGCGTCCTCTTCGTCCTCGCTGCATCCTTATGACGTTCAATAAGTTCGTTTACGACGTTCTAAGAGTCATTATCGCGCGCTTGATGCGACCTTAAAACGTACGTGGGGCCAAAACTGGCAATTGTCACCATGCACTCTACGTCACCATGCACATCCGTGAAGTTCTCACGACGTCGCTCCCGTCTGCCTTCGCGTTGCCAGTACGTCACGGCCGTTCGTGAGGAGTTCGCGTAGAGTCCTTACCGCGTTCTGGTCAAAACGCCAAGGCGCAGCGTTTGTTTTGTGCATGTCCAACACGAACGTGGCAGTTTGGCGTTCAGCAAAGTCCTTGGAGTCCCTCTGAAGTCCTCGACTATCACTGAGTCCCCAGTTTTTTTTCCTCAGGGGAAACTTATTTATTCAGAAGAAACGTTTCTCTTGCGTTTTACAATAAGTATAAACAAATAATATATTAATCATTACATAAAAGAGAGAATGGATCCCATTTCGCATTAAATTTAGCAAGATCACCATTTGTAGTAAATATAAATTTTTCCAATACATAGTATCGTTTTAGCTCATTCTTAAATACTAAGAGAGACGGTTTACTACCATTCATCTTCATTTTGTAAATGTGGTAACGGCATAGGAGAAGACTTAAATTAAGGGCGCTCCAGTTTTTGTTAAGTATGCCAAATAAAATCATCTCGTAATCTACAAACACATTACTATTCAAAGTCTCCTTAATCCAATCACAAATTTGAGTCCAGAACGATAAAGAAATCTCACAAGTGCAAAATAAGTGAGAGTTTCCTTTTCTACATGACAGAAGGAACACAAGTCGTTCTCCCCTTTACCGATCTTTACCAAATAAGAATTGACGCCCAGGATTCTATGGACCAATCTGTATTGAAACCATCGTAATTTTGTATCACAAGTAATCGTAAAAGGCATACTGCAGAAAACCGACCATTTAGTGGCAGGGAAATTGATACTCAATTTTGTTTCCCATTTGTCAATGAACTTACTCGCAACCTTTTTCCCTGAAGTAAAAATATGATAAATACGGGTAGAACCTTTTTTATCTGACAAAAGTATCTCAAAATTAAATGGGATAAAAGGAAAGCAAATATTTGACTTAACCCCTTTAAGTAAATCACGAAAAGAATTTTTGACGGCCTTGACAACTCCACCCATACTCTAGAAAGTTAGTCCTAATACTGAATTTTAACATAAAGCGTTCCAAGCTCAAAAAAGCACCTTTATCGTCAAGTAGGTCAGACACAAAGTTTGCCCCTTTGTTTGCCCAGTGTTTGTAAAAAATGCAATTGTTACCAATCGTAATTCTGTGGTTCTTCCACAAAACATTGCTAAGAGGATCATTCTGATTAACTGGCACATGGCATTGCACAAAAGAACTCCAAGCATTGAGAACGTCAATCCAAAACTGGTTTGGGTGAGCTGTCCTCTTAAGTGAATGTACAATACTAGAATGACCGCCTTCCACAAAAAAACACATTCTCAATTGCAGTAATCTTATAAAACACATTGGGCCAAGCTGAGGCCTTAGTGCTCAGTAATCTACGGATCCAAGTACACTTAAGAGTCAATTTTCTTTCATGCTCCTTCGCTTCGCTCATACGCATAAAAAACAGTTTCACTCTAACGAAGACTTCAATAAATTACACTGAAACAGCATATCAATTCAGATATTTTATTGTAAAGCATGGGGCGTGCCTAGTGTCAGTTGCTGAATACTTACAGGGAAAAATATTGAGGGAAAAAACATATATATCAGGTGTTTTGCATGTGGTAATTATTCTTTACGCGTCACAAAATATACGAATCGTTACATAAAATAGCATCATCATTTCATTTTCGTCTTCACAATACGATGTAATTTAAACATCAAAAACAATCTCGGCTCCACTTTGGAGCCTCAGCCCTTTTGGCTCTTCGGATTATCTGTCCGGAATATTTTTTTTTTTTTTTTTTTTTTTAACCAAAAACAAAACAATTTCTTAAATATATTACATCGTCAATTTAGAATGAAATTTATATAATACATCAATTAATCCCAGCTCCACCTTGGAGCCTCAGCCCTTTTGGCTCTTCGGATTATCTGTCCGGAATCTACTACTGTCTATAATCAAAACTAAACAAAATATTCCATCTTTACAGTTGCGTGAAATGTTTTATATAACACATCAATAATCTCAGCTCCTCGGATTATTTGTCCGGTATCTGAAGATACATATATAATTATACTACATGAAAACTCGCATTAGATCAAGTTGATGTTTATACAAAATTAAGGAGAAGACCCTAGAAAATTGGTTATCCAATTTTAATTACTGTTTACTTAACGTAACTGTAAGACTGAGACGACGATCTATGTCTCGTTTAATGTATCTGGTTTTGGCTTGAGGCGTTTTCCATCGCCCATGCTCCATGATAAGCTCTTCAGATATATCCTTATTTGCCAAATGAGAGGCCCCTCCTGAACGCATGCTATGTAGGCCGTATTTTTTAGGGTTTTCTACGCCAACTTGCTTTAGTGCTTCTAAAAAGAGCTCTCGGCACCTAGAATAACTCAGGGGCTTGTTTTGTAATGGTCTATACGAATTCGAACTGGATAGAAAAGACAAGGCTGTGAATATATAAACATCATCTCCTATCTGAATGTTACATTGTGTCAAATATCGTCTGAGTATCTTTGCTGGGCAATACTGACTATCAATTTGAGATAAGAAGGTGAAATTACCTTCACGATAAACGTCTGTTTTTGATCTGGGAATGTGAATACGCAATCTAAGTTGACCAGGCAGCTCAGTAATGTGGCTTGCCTTTAACTGTACCATCTCGTCGTGCCTGAAGAGAAGCGAAAACTTTAATGATACGTAACAAGCGGTTCGCAACTGCAGCAAACTACAATTCTGATTGCCAAAATGATCAATAATATCATGTACTTGCTGAATTGACAATGGTTCTTTCTGTTGTGGAGGATGATGCAAAGTTCTCCGTAAACTAGTAAATACCTGTTGCACTACTGGCGAATCCACGGGATTCGGACGAATATTGAGTAAGGAATGCAGCCATTTGATGGCAGATGCTAGTGTTATTATGGAGCTATCTGAATTGACGAATTGACCTCTATCAGACAAAAAGGATGCAATAATTGTATCGGTAACTGGAAATTGGAGTGGAATGTTATGCTTTCTCAGCCAGGCGAAAAACACTCTGCACTTTTACAGGTAAGATTGCGTGGTACCTTCTGCTTTGGCCTTTAAAACATCATGAAATATGCGATCTCGATATGCTTGAAGACTGGCGGGAAATTCTGACCAGAATTGCTGGCCGGAAATAACCTAGTAAGTGGAGAAATGGAACATTTAAATATTTTCAGACAAAGTAGTACAATCCATATATATGGCACACATGGGGGTAATGATCGAGTCCGATCCTAATACAGAGTTCTTATTTCTTCCTAACTTTATATTACCGGGGCCATCTACAGTGATAGCATCTACAATCCATTCACTATAACAGGACCACAGTAAAGGCCAGAAGGGGGAAGATGGCCACCAAGGAAACACTAACACACCTTTGGCTTTACACTTGTACAAATGACTTAATACACTTGGTATCAATACAACAGGTGGAACAAGTAAGCACTTCTCATTCGACCAGTCTTGGGCAAAAGCGTCGATTCCAGACGTTCCTGGATTCCAATAACGAGAATAGAAACGGGGTAATTTATTATTGTAAAAGTTCGCAAAACAGTCAACAGAAAGGGGGCCCCAACGATCGTTAATTACGCTTAAGAATTTTGGGGACAGCATCCAATCATCGAGATCTACCAGCCGACTTACATAATCTGCTTGATCGTTCAGACTTCGAGGCAACCATTCTACCTCTAGATGAATGTGATGTTGAAGGCATAAATTGAAAATGGCCATGGCAATATTTTGCAATTCAAGTTTCATGCTTCCTACTTCAACTATTCGCGCTGCAGCCTGATTGTCTGTTAGAACCTTTACACTTGAATGAGAAATAATCGGTAAAAAGGAAGATAACGCAAACATTATCGTGTTTAGTTCGCGCCAAGTAGAACTGGCCTGCGATTCTTCTGGTGTCCAATTCTTATGTGCTGTATGAACTTCATTGCAGACTATCGCACCGGAACCTACTGCACTAGCATCACAACATATAATTCTTTTGACTTTGTTGGACTTGAAAAGAAATCGGATATTACTATGAGAAATATTATCCTTCCAAAAAGAAATTTCCGATAAGCAAGGTTCATCTAAAATAACTAGATTATCTTCGTGCTGAACCTGAGAAATCTTAATCTGTGCATTACGAGTTGATAATCTAGTCAGATTTCCGGCAACTGGACTGAGGGAAATGATCTGTCCTACAAGTGAATGAAGTTTACGAGCTGTTACAATATTAGAAACGGATATCTCTTCAATTGTGTGAAGAATTTTGTTCACCCTCCTTTCCGTGACTTGCAAGGTACCAGCAACAGAATCCCATATCATGCCTAACCATTGAATACGTGTTACAGGGTCCCAATTACTCTTTTCTGGATTGTACACTAGACCTGACCGTATCAAATCTGTTTTGACATGACGAGAAACTTCTTGCGCCGTCTGTAAGTTCTTAACTAATTTGTCCTTTGTACTCGGCACTACACAAAAGCCATCATCTAAATAAAGAGCAATAAGGATGCCGCATGACCTCCAGTGACTCACTAAGGGTTTTAACATCTTAGTAAAGAGCAACGGGGCGGAAGACAAACCAAAAGGAAGTACTGTGAATTCGAAGAATCTTTGTGTATTTTCAATGGTCCATGATAATCCTAAGTATTGCTGATAATCTGATGAAATCTCAATGTGGTGGTAACCTGACTTTAAGTCGAAAGAAAACAAGTATGCATTCTTTGAGAAATACTGAAGGCCAATCTTCCAATCATCCATTTTGAATTTTGTTTTGGGCACATAGTGATTCAAATTGCTGAGATCGAGAATGAGCCGCCTTTTTCCTGAAGCTTGATAAGCTACCGAGAGTGGATTGACTATGTAGGAAGGTTCTTGCTTTCCTTGATACGATCAGAACTTAACAATTCCAAAATTGTGTCGGTTACAAAGGAGTTTTCAAGTCGGGCTGATTTATTGTTTGGAAAATTCATGGGAGGAGGGGGACTGAGAAAGGGTATACGGTAACCTCCATTTATCACTGATAATACCATAGGAGAGGCTCCTATATCAACCCAAAACTGAGAATGGGCTCTTAGCCGCCCTCGAACATTGACATCACAGCACAAATCAAGACAATTCGATTCAGAATCATAGTTACATTTTACCTCTATAACGTCGCTAAATTTGCGAGAGAGATTGAACACTTGTGGTGAAGCCTGCGTATTAGGCTGTAGGGTTGCCAACTGAGGCTCCGGATGGGGTTGCTGCGCTAGTGGAGGCTTGTCCGATGGCAGACGAGGGGAATGCTGTGATGGCTCGGGGTAGCTGTGGAGCTTGCCAGGGGATGAGTGCATTTCGTGAGTGGAAAGTGTGATATCCGACCGGCATAGCCGCTTGGGCTCTTGGTTTGACTCGGGAAGAGGGCGCGAGTCCGACGTTGAAAGGACAGTCTCTGGACCAGTGTCCGACCATTTTGCATGTGAAGCACATATCATTTGGCATGCCTGGAAAGAAAGAAATATAAGGAAAAAATCAAAGCAACTGGAATATAACGTGATACACAGAGATCTAAGCAACGTGTTCAGCAGTGATACGTAGGCCTGAAGTGAAGAAAGGCGTGGCGCTGCGTGCCTTTAAGGGTCTACGGTTGAATGCCTTTTCTCATTCCGATTCATTGAAAGAATTCCTTGCATATCGAATCCAGAAGTCTTCTGGCCCAGGGAATGTTGCAATTGCATTGAATTCAATCGACCGAATAAAACTAAATTTTGTCGCGGTACGAACTCCATGCCAGAACGTCACAGCGTGACAGGGCCATTAATTGGCAGCAGTCGTTGACGACTATTTAAAACTCAACAAGACACGAATCTGATTAAACCGGAAGTATAAAATGGGAGCAACTATGGAAACAGTAATTTATTATCCATGTTTTGAACGTGTTTTGTTAAATGTCTATACTTTTTAAAATTCTGGTCGATTCCTAAAATACATTTTTCCTACTTTCTCAACTTGTATGTTTATATTAACAAAGAAAATGTCTTTTCCCCCTCTTACTTTGGCATCTGAAACCATCTCAAAACAGATCTCCTCATAATGAGACTGGTTCGCAGTCCCTACTGATAACTAATGAGGATAACGTGGAACTGATTTATTACTACTCCCAGATCGGCCAAAATCCTGCGGGACCTGCCAAAATCAGATCACCTCTTAGCACTGTTTCGCTTCTGGTGAAGGAGTGGTCATCTTTGCGAACGGTGTGGGAGGGGGCGCCATTTTCTGTACACAGTGAGGGGCGCGTAGAAGGACATTCCTACCACGGATCACCTCTCGCTGTCCTGTGAAACAATGGCTAATATATTTGCTTCTTACTTTACTTAGAACTGATAAGTTTCCCCATTTCTTTCTTCAAGTGATCTACCAGAAACTTAAGCAACTCCCCTTCTATGCCTCAGGGCATGTCTGCACTGTCTTCGCTACCGGGGAAACGGCTGAATACACTAGTCGGCCTCTCATCTGCATGTAACTGCATAATGCCGAGCCTGGTAGTTTTTGAAAAGATGACATGGATATCGACTGCGCAATGAATGGGCAAAAGTCTAGCAGTGGTAGATGAGATCGATACGTCAATATCTCACAGTACGTACACATCGGGAGACACAATCACCCTAGGTGGCAATGTTGTTAAAAGATGGCAGCATATAATTTGTCTAGGAGGAAAAGTAACGGGTATAAAGTCACCGATGGAAATACGCTATAAGGCTATAAGGCATACAGCAATATATATAGCAGAGAATTTGGTTCCACAAGCATGGCGTCTCTGGTTTACGTGAGGAATGCGCCAAAAAGGAACGCATCTTTACGGGCAGAAGTGCAAATGGTGAGTTTAGTTCATTTGTCTTTGAACACGTATTTTTAGTATTGAAAGAATCTGCAGTACATTAGCAGTGTTACCGCACTGCAGACGGTATACTTTTCTATTAAAAGATGTTTGAACTATAGTATTTCTTGCAAGTAAAAAAAAAGTGACCAGAGATGAAGTATACATGTACCTTCCTTGGAAAAACTGTACAGTAGTTCGATTGGAATACACTATTCCATGCCTTTTGTTTTAGTATTAGGTGGATTTGTTGTTACAACTTTAGTTGTGTTTTAAAAGTCTCTATGGTCAAACACACTTTAGTTGTGTTTGATAAGCGACATTTCCCAATCGTATTGACTTCCGTCTCTCGGCGCATTCATGTAACATTTGTTCCAAGTGAAACGGTGTCACGAGCAGTGCTACATGTATGTATTTAAATTTCTTTATTCGTTAAAGAATAAAGACTGAAAACTATGTGAAACTAAAAAAGAACCTAGGTCTTAACACATGAAATTGTAATGTCAACATTTTTTTACAACTTGGGTATTTCTACTTTTTTATGCAGGTAATTTCTACATAGCAAAGTTGATTGTGATATTTTGGTGGACGAAGTCAAACCCTTCGGATGATGCACCAGAATTAAGACAAATGAAGCATTTCTTTATCTTTGAGCCAACATGCCCGAGCTTTCAGCCATCAGAGATGACGAGGCCAGCCCATACGAGTCTCTTGCGAGGGCCAAGGCGATCCTCCGAAACAGCGCCGAGCGGGCGCTGCTGGAAAAACGACGGAAGGAGAAGCAGCGTGGACTCCAGAGATCCATGCTGGAGTACACGGAACACGCAAGGAGGGTACGCCAGGCTCACCTGGAGCTACAGGCTAAAGGAGGCGGCTTCAGGGAACCCACGGCTGCCGATCGCCTGGGGGCGGCTCTGAGCTACAAACCCCGCAAGGGCCGGTCGCCTCTCCGGGCCAGCGATAACGAGCTGCGGAGGCTCTACGGGACACTGACCCAAGCCGACAAGAAGGCCTTGGAGGATCGATACCTTCCGGAGATACTGAAATCCGGGACGGGGTCAAATTTGACCGGATCGACGGAGAGTCGAACGGGGAATCAACGGGGAGAAGGAACCGACTTCTGGGACATTGTCCAGAAAGACGGTACGGTGAAGAGGGTGGTCATTCTCCGTACAGATGACCAGTTTGTGCACTTGCGAGAATGTAAAACCAAACGCCATACGGATATCGATCGGGATGTTCCTTTGAAGGTTTCCGAACGAAAATCGGGCGGATTTGTGAGTTACAGAAGCGACGGTACTACGTCGAAAAGGCTGGAGGAAGGGAGGCCTACAAATTCTGTAACCAATTCAGAAAAGCCCCAAAAACTAACATCAGTTTTTATCTCTGAAGATGTCAAGAGTGGCACTGGACGCGGCAGCTACCACCCTGGAATACTTCCCAAACCACGACCGGAAGTACCGGATGTACCGGTGGAGGTACGGACGAATATTCCAAAACCGAAAGTGATGATTCAGGTTTCCCTTCCGCGCATGGAACTCGACACGCCGAGTCCGGAGCCCCCGGACTCTGGGGACGAGCAAGAGGTTGAGAAGGAGGACGATCCTTTCCATGAGAAAATGATTTGCCTGAAACATGGATTTCAATCTTGCAAGAGATGTGTAAACACTTCAAGCGATGTATCATCAACAGAAACCGGTGTGTATCATCATCAGAATAATGTCTCTGAACCTGCAACTGAACTCAGGATTTCCACTCACACGTATCCGATTGAACAACCCAGATTGCCCAAAGGGACAGAAAATGTCGAGTCTCAGAAACCAGTTGATCGGCAAGAGGGTAGTACAGTTTCCGTTTCTGAAGTATCGCAGAGTTCCTTGGTGCTCGGTAGCGACCTCGCCTACCACAGAGGTTTCACAGTCAACACCAGCGTGCAATCTTTGCCTTCGCGGATGGATGGAATTCTGAGAAACGCTATGAGCTCCGCTCAGCAGCTTGGGATGGGCCACGGTGGAGTGGTCAGCAAGGGCCCACCGAGAGGAGCCGAGCCTGCGGCGTTACCAGCCTCGACTCGGCACGGTCTGACCTGCTGTAGACACGGTCAGGTTGCGTCCAGCTGCAACACCTGTCGTACCGTGGAAGAGATCCAAAGGCGGCTGAAGACCAACGACTTCAGGCGGGAGATGAGACAGTCCTTCCACTGGGACCTACAAGCGGGGACTGCCCTGAGCAAGTCATCCCACTGGACGGGACAACGGGGGAAATCGAACCTCGTGCCCCATCTGAGAGAAATGTGGGCCCGCAAGAAACAGACCAGGACGGTACACCGCGGAAAATCAACTGCGAAGAAGCAGGCTGTGAAACCAGACGTCGGGTTGGATAGCCAGGTGAGGCGGTCTTGTGCCAGCAGCATTCTGAAGGAGAGTACAGACAGTCTGGGACAGAAGAAATCAGTGCGGTTTTCCGAAGATGACATTTATCATCCAATGATGGGGTACCACCCATCTGCAAGGGACACGGGTAATGTGGTTTCTGCATTGTAATAAACAACATTCTGTTTACCATTGTGATTTGTTTGACGACATGCAAATACGTGTATACAGGAACTTCATTCGGATCCGATGGAGTCATCCCAGTTTCAGAGTCGTGATCCCGCCCTTCAGAAATCCACAAATGTAAACACAAAGATTAAGAATAATGACCGTAAAAGTATAACCATCGCAACAGTAAAATGTTTTCGATAACTGTTCGCACAAAAGAGATCGACATTGTCGGATTTTTTAATACATGATTTTATTTCTTGCATCTGGTTAAGTTTTGCTGCATGCATTTAGCGTTCTTTCCTTAAGAAATTAATGAAATTGGAAAAATTACAGTAACAGGGCAAAATAATGACATGTAGCCCTAAATTTCCCTAAGGAAATTACATGATGCATTTTAAAGCTGCACATAAACACCATGCCGCATAATCTTCTTTGCAAAATTCAGTTATCTTTGAAGAATTATGAACATCGCGTGCTCTATATTATATTTGCATTGTTTGCTGGTTATAAGTAAAAAAGACAATCTGACATAGTCAATGTTTAACCACATGGGCATTATGAGGCAGAATAAAGGATATTTGAATAGGGTTTCAAACATATCACAATTACTGTAGTCACGTCACCCGACAACTCATTACGTACTTAACGTCATAATTACCCCAAGGCTCGTGCTGAGAGTGTATGAATCAATCCGAGGCAAAGAGTGTAGAGTATCGCCTTCACTGACCAGACTTAATACAACACCTGAATAAATCCCCGTCATCTGATTGGTGAATTGTAGATCACGTGACATATTATTATTCGGTATAATGCACGGTGCGACCATGCGTTATTCCCATGCGTTATACCGTTTCACTTTGCGCTTGTTCCATGACGCGGTATTTGCGTGCAAAATGCATGCTAGTGTGCGCGTTCAGCGTAGCGCGTATTGTTCCAAAGAGCCAGCGCTACAGCGTTGGGTTTAAACATTTTCGTGAAGGGGTAGTTCAACATCTTTAAAATCAAAATAAATTGTAGTTTATAATTTACCAATCAAATGACGAGAATTTATTCTGGTGTTGTATAAAACAAATAACGAATGTTTTACGTTCGTGCGATGGAAAGAATAATTTCATTCGGTGACAGATTGAATGTTCTATTCCACTCGGCTTCGCCTCGTGGAATAGAACATTCAATCTGTCACCTTATGAAATTATTCTTACCATTGCACTCACAAACATTCGTTATTTGTATAATAGCGTATATTATACAATACCGGAATAAATCCCAGCCATCTGATTGGTGGATCGTTGATCACATGTCATTGAATTATTCGTACCAACGCACGGCGCGCGCGTGGCACGCAGCGCACAGTGCAATGGAAGTTCTATTGCACTGTGAATAGAACTTCCATTGCACGGTGTCACTGCTGCTGGTGGTAGCGCTGTTTTAAATCGAGATAAATTGAATATGATTGTTCTTAACCTGTCGAACAGTTTGCATTAATATAAATATGATGAACTTGTCGAACTTTTAAACAGTTTTTAACCTGAATAAATTGGCTATTAAAAGTCAACCAATCAGATGACAAGGATTTATTCAGGTGTTATATAAAACAAATAATGAATGTTTCACGTTCGTGCAATGGAAAGAATAATTTCATTCGGTGACTTATGAAATGTTCCATTCCACTCGGCCTCGCCTCGTGGAATGGAACATTTCATCTGTCACCTCATGAAATTATTCTTACCATTGCACTCACAAACATTCATTATTTGTATAATATACATTAAGAGGGTAACTAGTGCTTTGGAGGTCTGGCCCATTCGAATACAACGTTTTACAGATACTGCCATTTTTGTGGTCGCCATGGTAATCTAAGGAGGTATTTCAAAAGAAATATATCCCGTCATGCCATGGGACGTACTTCTATTGAAATGACGCCTGCGAAAACCACGTGACCACAAAGATGGCGGTATTCGTGAAACGGTTCGCTTTGCACACGGCGTTAACCCCAACATTCCTCAATCCTCCAGAGTCCTCCGGGCAGTTTTGGAGGATTTTGGAGGCTGAATGCAACATACAATTTTGGAGGATCGGGATTGAGGGCACATGGCCATTCAGTATTGGTTGATTTTGGAGGGATGAGGCTGAATGCATTTTGAGAGGCTGGGCTTTGGGAGGATTTTGAAGGTTTGAGGCAGTGAGTATCCTTCATTTGAAATACATTTTGTAAGTGCAAAATTTGGAGGATTGAGGTTGGTTCCTATGCAAAAAGGGCCAAGGGGTTTAATGTGCAAGATGAGTTTAGTCGGGTTGACAGTGCGCACATAATGTGGCTTGCAAGCTTCACATAATTTATACAGAGCAAGCTTCGAAACTTTGTCAGCATTTATACAAAATATACAATGAATAAGCTTCTATACCCATACAACCCCTTCGACCTGTTTTGTCTCACCATTAATTATGAAATGACCATCATTATCAGTACAACCACTCCTAGTCTAGCCAACATTTAAGTTACTTCTCTGTTTATAGCCCGATTACACATCTTGTTTTGATAGTCCTAGCTGCAATGATATACATATACATTGAATACAACAATGCTCTGAATACATGATGCGTTATCAAGGGCGGCAAGATATATAATTAAATAGGCCCAAGTTAAAACCTTTTTACGTGTACCAACCTTACTCCGCAGATTGCCGCCCTTGGGTATTATTGCAAGTTATTCGCAAACTATTATAGTCGCCAAAATGCACCACCAAGATACCAGTTTCTTACCTAATAGTCGACATTCTGAGTATAACCTATCCCGCAGGTACGTGCATAAACTTCATTTGTTTGTATTTTCTATCACTCAGAGACAAATTCATCAGGGAACTTCGTCGATATAGCCACTATTTTCATCCCCCACCAAAAGAAAAGAGAAAACTCTTGTCGACTTGTTTCCCATGGTGCGCTGAGATAATGACCTCTCTGTTGTAACCTCCAGGTGGCGCCCTGCTCGTCTACGTATATGCCACTTCCAATATTATACAAAAAAATAAGGTACTTACACTTACTGGGTATTAAGGCAGTGTGGAAAGGTTAGCAAAAGTTACCATTCCAATTAATACCAACCTATTGAACAGACATCTCCATTGGCTCAGTTTTTTCCAACCCGCAAAGCTAAACATCTTGAGACCATGGGTCGGGTATTCGATTTTTTTAAATTCACCCCTGTACTGACCATGACTGTATAGGCCGCTGACCCAAGGCAAACCCTTGAATAGTGAATATGCATGACACTATGGTAAAGTGACCATCAATACAGTTAACATAGTGGACAGTCAGTAATGAAAATTTACGACTGCGTATTACGTCTCAATCTAGGATAAAAATCCTCTGCCTTTGTGCTTTGCATGCCGTACGTCAAAGGCTTCTGCAGGAGATTTCACCTTTTTCTCAAAAAGTATCTGGATCTGAGTCTGAAACAGCTACTATCGATTTTTTTTTTTAATACATGTCCAGTCTCAGTGATTGAGTTATGCAGTTCTGTGAATCATTGATAATTAATTCGTTTGGACCTCTAAACATATAGATCAATTAAGGTACGGGTGCAAAGCTCTAAGCGACCCTGAACAATCCAAAGTAGGTGGTATCCGCATAGAGGGCGACAGTCACGTTGGGAATAGACAGCTTGATGGCAATCTGATCATCTTCTGACATGTGCACTACTCCGCCTATGTAGCACGTGCTCTGCTTGGCATCAGCACTGATGTTGGACTTGACGCACGTGAAGCGCGGCTGGCCGTTGATGCAGATGCTTTGGCCAACTGTGTTGTTTGAATCGTAGAAAAGGACCTGTGGAGTGGATACAAATAACATCTTGAGGTTTCCATGCTGACGGCAGCAACAATTAGAAGCTTTCGCAGTTTGACACCGGATCTCTTTTGTAAGTTGTGTGTGGTTTACAGTCAACGTTTCGAGGCGAGCAGTGTGCTCTGTTAGTCAAGAAGCAGTCTTGTGATGACGAAAAGGGCATCACTCGATGGCTTGAATTTGCACACGTTCTTCCCAGTACCAACGAATTAATAACAGGGTATGCTACTTGTCACATTCTCGTCACTGCAAACTTCCACTTAAAAAAAAACATTCGAGTGACATGTTGTAAGCTTTAATACTGAATTAGAAGAAAGCAAATTGAAAACTTTTGTCGTTGAGTTTGAAAACGCCGCGCATTGACTTTTCGAGTGTTTTTTTTCTGCAGCATCAGTCTGCGAGCTGTAATTTTCTAACGAGTCTTGCAGAGTCATGCAGAGGAGGATGTTCGGGCCGACCAAGAAACGTTCATGAAGATGGTGGGTCAGGGGAGCAAATCTAAGAAATCTCAGGCGACATGCAGCAATTTCGGGGCCAAACCTGCGAAGCATTTTTAGCCGGCAAGACATTATTGCGACTGCCGATCACTTCGAGTTCTGCTTACGGTTTCCAATGTTACGTATACTGCTACTAGATCAAGTCAACCGTAGGTATTCACTTTACATATAGTGGTATAGTCTTGACAACTTCTATCTTCTACTTTCTTTCAAAATGTGAACTCAAAGGAAAGTTAAAAAAAAGTACCTGACTGTAGACGTAATACCAGCCACTCTCATGAACGGTGACACTGCCCACAATGCTGAGCGAAACGAACTCCCCTGCGCTGGGTGACATTTCCCACATTTGAGGACCTCTTATCCATCCGTCTGTAAAGACATCATAACATTTGTAATATTACTGTGAACAATAACATACCACCCCAAAAGAAAGGAAATGCAAGAATTGCCTTCACTAATATATATATCACTACCAAATTTTGAGGACCTTTTAAGAGGAAGATTCAGGAAGAATATTCCAGGAAACACGTGTACATTATAAAAACTGAAGTGTTGAATCCAACACTTGCATGAATTCGGTCAGTGAACACACTTTAAACCAGCATTTTAAAATGTTAAATCCAACACTTTAACTTTTAATTCAACATTTAAAAATGTTGATCATGTTGATTTAACACTTTCAAAGTGTTAACTTTGAGAAATGTTCAATTAACACTTAAATTGTTTAATTAATAGTAGAGGTGTTGGATCTAACTTTTAAAGTGCCGGGTTCAATATTTGAATTGCTGGATTGAACACTTTTAAAGTGTGTGGTCACTGACCGAATTCATCTAAGCGTTCGATTCAACACTTCAGTTTTTGGACTGTACGGAACAGATCTGAACTAAAATCTCAATTTAGGCCTGCATGGGCGTGATCCGTACACGGATCTCAGACGTGTAAGGCGAGGACAGCAACACTGCGCCAACTAAAACTCCACAAGAAATAGTTTATAGTGAATGATATCAGACTATTTCATTCTTACCACCAGGGATTGGGATGTTGCCGTCTCGGTTTCCGTGGACATGAGCTGCCTTTCCAAACATGAGCACACGAGCTGCAACACGATACATGAATTCACTGGCATGTTACTCTAATCTCTTCAATAACAATTATCTTAGGCAATATCATCATGGGTTTCAGACAATCATGTTAAAACCGAGGTTTCTCTTAGTATGACAGGCAAAGCAGCAACCCTAATGTACACCACGGATAGTTCATTATCATGTTGCAGCCATTTGATTGTTTTCCCCATTCAAATCAATGTAACCAAACCGATGCTGGAAGGAAAAATAGTCTGGTTCCTTTTTGCACAAAAAACATAATCATTCAGTACTGTTATTAGATACAGGGAAACCGACTGAAATGGTGGCAGTATAATAAAGGTGTGTTTGGAATGAAGTCAATCCTCCATCAAAGCACTAAGTCAAAGATCGGAAAAGAGTGTAGTAGTTTGTGCACATAATCATGCAATTCTTTCTAATTCTTGTTCACGAAACTTGTTCCAGCAGGTGTTTTCAGTAGGTGCTACCTAACCCGATAGGAACTTTGTCTCACTAAACAGGTCTATTTCTGCTTCAATTAGGGAATCAGATCTGATATATGAGGCTTTAAGGTTGGAGTATTTCCTCTTGGCTGGGATATGAAAAGCTTCCAATTTTTTTGGAACAGCTTTAGCCGAATCACAGACGATGCCGAGGTTTAGAAAAGCCCAATTAGAACGTCCATGGCTAGACTAGTTCGGTACCAAAACGCTCACGTGAAAGGTGAAGTTCGACATATCGAGACTTCATTTCGCACCGTGACAGCAGGCGCGGATCCAAGGGGGGTTTGAGGTCAAAAAAAATCATGGAAATTCATTAAAACTAACGCGAATATTAATAATAAAGCGTGGTACGAGCCCCCCCCCACCTATTGGTTTTACGGAGGTTGTCTACATATTCAGCAATGATTTGCTGATGACCCCCCCCCCTGCAAAAATTCCTGGACCCGCCCCTGGACAGCTTCTCTAACCTTGCAAAGCATCATCTGTTCCGATGCCTTTCATCACAGGCTTGTCATTATCTGCATGAAATTAGTTATAACAGAGAATGTATATTAAGATCTTTATACCATCATAATAAGCCATTGTCTTCCAAAAACGAAAAACCCCTTTTGACACACAGTCAGCCCATCAAATAGTACATGAAAAAGTGACCTCACCGATGCAATGTTTACACCTCTTGTCCCGTTTCTTCTTCCCGTCCCCTCGGCCGCCATCACCCCTTTCCTCTTCCTCCAAGGGCTGGGCTATGTCGTCTGGAGACTCTTCGCGTCGCCGTTTCATGCGATTTTTTGAACTAGGGTTACGATGCTGCTGGCGAGGTGACAACTCCAGGTCGGAGTTCAACGCCAGAGTCAACGCCAGGTCGTCGTCAAGCGGCGGCCTTGTTGGAATTGTCGGCCATGTTGGAATAATTGTCGACGAGGGAGATTCTTCGGGTGACATCTATTAAGGGGTAAATGTGTCGACAGTGTCGTGAATATGATTTAGCCCTAAAATTGCGGGAGCTTACAATATCTCTTTCTGTCTTAAATAATTTGAAATCTTCGTGTCATCTTCATTTGACAAAGCTGGAATAAACTGACTAATAAAAAGAGCCACTTCAAAACGAATGTCCAGGGTTTTGGCGAAGACATTTTTTCAAGATATACTGTAAAATTACCGGATGCTTCTATTTATAATTCCTAAAGGGAAAAAAAACCCTCAACTGAGATATAGACCTACTGTCCTTTAACCCTACTTTATCACTGATCAAAGTGTTTTTTTAGAAAACAAACATGGGAATTAAAAATATTGTTCGAAGTCCAATGTACATGTTTAAACAGGCTTTCAGAGAATTCGCGTGAAGCAAACAACATACAAAAAAGTACCGCCAACGTGCCGGTGAGTAAAATTTGGAGTCCGTGAAACTCGTCCTCATAGATCATTACTCCAATATAACAGTATACGAAATAGCAATAAGGTCGCGTTCCAACAAAGAAACTCAAAGAAAGTCATTTTGATCGCTGAAGCACGTGTGTAAATCTTGGGGATGGAGAGTATGTACCCCTCACTCCAATTTTTCACTGGGGACGGGCCCCTGTAACCCCCATACGTTTGTGCTGAACAAACAACAAGATACAGGTCTAGTAAAGCTGGTGCAAGGATGCAGAACAAGGACGTCAATCGCTTCTCAAAAGTGGGGGGGGGGGGGGGGGAGGACATACATTCATCAGAACTAATGCGAGCGCAAAGGGCGAAGCCCTTACGGCGTGGGGTCCGGGGCCCGCTTAAAAGGGCGCCAAAAAATTTCTGACCACTTAACCACTTTTTTTTTAGCAAAAGATCATTATTTAAACATCATTTTCGAATTTGGAGTCATCGAATCAGCTACTCTGAGCTATAGAATGAAATCTAGGCTACCATTTCCATTCGTGGACGAAGTTGGGGAACAAACGATATGATATCCCGACCCCCACCGATTGACGCCCAAGGGGCAGACTATTCTACTCATAGGCCTATATCGCGAAAATAAATAAAACAAGCGGCGCCAGACTAATAAACATTGTGTTGTAGATGCTACAATACATGCAATATACATGCTACAAGGCATGCTACAATGAATAGACAAGTTGCCAACCGAAGGGGTTGGAAAACTTTGGAAAGCCAACGGGGCAAACATTATTAATGTTTCCAAACATATCGTTGTATTGTTGAAAATACAAAATGAACCAACAAACCCCACCAAAGACTTTTTTAAAATGTCTCTTTCTTACATAAGGCCAAACAAGTATCCGGTTTCTGGTATGCGCGCGCGTCGCCGTAGCCGTGCGCGTCGGCAAAATTAAAAAGCTTTTTTTTTCAATATAAGATGTCTCAAAACCGCCAAACTCACTGGTTTGACTAGAATCCTGCTGCTGCACAAATTTAACGTGTTTTTAGATGGGAATACGATCGAGTATAAGCTTTATGTGGCTTCTCTGGTCTCCCATATATTTTGCACTGAATTTAGTCGGGCACCACCAACAGACGATGTTGTAATTTTATAATTGTGCGTCTGGAAGCCAGACTGAGGGAGCGATGGTCGTGTATCTGGAGCCTGTAAACGCTTTTTGATGAGCGCAAGGGAGTAGACTAATGACCAGCCTGGCAGCTCATGCCCGATGTCAATGTCGATGTATGGTCTAACGTTACTACCGTTTTCTCTGTTTTTTTTTTCTCATGACTATCCAAATTTCCCGAAGAATGTTCATGTCGGTCGAGATCGTAAGTGGGTGCAGAATTCTCAAGCCTTATTGCCTTACTGAGGTCACCTCAAGCTCGACTTTGAAGGATATTTTTGAGAGTTTTAAGGGGATCTAAGCGTCATCTGCAACATCAGCCGACATTTGAAGAAAAAAAAAATAAGAGGAAAAAACCGCGTCGCTGCACCACTTTTGGGGCAAGCTCCATACCAAAAACCGGAGATTTATTTGGCCTAATGAGGGTGTTAATATGCAAATTGTTGGCAAAATCTGTTGCCAGCCACGGCTTAAAGGGTTCATGACATACATTTTTCTCAGAACATATTTTGTGCAACTTTCTATCCTCTTAAATGTATGAAAACTTTTTGACATCCCTTTTTGGTTAATTTTATTCAAAATTGCAAGTCTTTGAACATATAAAACTTACTATGCTTTCTCGACCACAGAGGGCGCTGTTGCTGTGATGTCATTTCAGGAAGACACTGTTCAGTTTTGGGGTTTTCTGTTCAAATTGTGAACCCAAAACTTTGCTCATTGAAAACATTTGTGAGAAAAATGTGCTCACTGGCTTACTGCTGTGTACTGACACAGTATAACGAATCACAAAGGAAAAGGGAATTTTTGACAGCAGAACACTAAAAAATTCTGGCAACTTTTTGCGCTGAAATGCCTGTAAACATTGAGGTTTCTTGTCTGAAATGACATCACACTTTTGCTCATGAATATGAAACTTCGCATTAGCATAAATACCAAAAAGGCACCAAAATATCCTTGAAAATGGCAAAACGAAAATTGAAAATAACTTTAAATGGGACACAAAGGCGCATTTTCATTATAAATGCAGGATTGCATCAAAATAACATTGCACAACCCTTTAAATTTATGCCCGTGTGGTAGCCCATACAAAATGACGCTCAAGGTTTACAAACGAAAGGCAAACCCCATTCAGCTGGTCCCATACAAGTTTAAGTCACAGTGAGATTGGTAACCAGTGTAATTCACAAATGTGAGTCAGTCTCTTGGAGTGAGGAAAAAAAGCGAACAATAGCCTGGTTTCCCGAGACTAACAAAAATAATTTAAGTAGTGAAAGAACTTGTAAATCGTCCAAATTCACTCAAAAGCCCTGGGAAACTGAGGGATTTTTTTTTTTTTTGGTCATCAAATTGAGAACGATTATGTGCGCACATGTTTATTGTATGATACTTGGCAGGCCAAAAAAAAAATAAGTCGGTCTCTGGTCAGCGCGCGCGTCGATTTTAAGCATGCGCGTCGATCTTTTTTTTTTCCAAAATGTTCCGCGGTAGCTCCAACAGCGCCCTCTATTTCCGCACCTCCTCAATTTTTTTTTTACCAAAGAGCACCAAGGAATGGGAAGTTACACCAAGGCAAATGATCGAAAGCACCAAGGCAAATTATGGAGGCCACCAATGTACATGAGGACACCAAAAAAGCAAAATAGTACCCATCTTGTCTGTACAATCCAAGCTGAAGAAAAAAAAAAAAAAAAGGAAAAAAAAAAAAAAAAGCCGCGTGGCCGCGTCAATTCCGGATCTTTGGTCTGACCAGAGACCGAATATTTTTTTTTTTTGGCCTTTTGGAATATTTCTCTATATGGTTTGATGTAGTTTATCATGCATATCAAATCTCGGTTTCTCGCCGGAATGAAAACAACAATAGTCTTCTTTGAATGTCTGGTTGAACTCGGCAGCTTCGTATTGCGCTCGGTCGAGTCAGGCAACAAAAGACCACACAAAATAGCCAAAGTTCAACCGCCTGATAAGGGGCTGTCCCTCCGCACGCAAGGACAAAAGTTGTTTGCTCAGGTTTGACGGTGAACTGGGTTAGGTTTTTCCCCAAAGCAGAAAATAGCCACATATTGGATGTTAGATCTTTACTTTCTGTTTGCAGAACCAGCTGCGTTTCATTGTTCACTGAATATAACAATAGATTCCAAATATTGAATACACACCTTTGCAGCTTTGTCTCATGCGTGGGTGCTGGGCAAAGGGACGATTTAAAGGTGCAGTTTCGGTCGAAAAAATGAGTGCTTTGATTTGTTTATGACCATATTTCAAAGGTTTGGGTCAAATAAAATCTAAATAATTTTTGTAAAAACGGCCCTGTTTGTTCACTTCCGACGAGGCACCCCTGCAATTGCCATACTGTAATCTCGGAATAAAACCGAATTATGAGCCAAAACTGGAGACATCTATCTAGTGCCGCGATTGATTTATGTAGCATAGAGGTGACAAGTGACAAATTCACTTTGGGAAATCAGGTCCAACAACGAGACTACATTGGTAGAATGCAATGTTTTCGAAAAGAAACATTTGTGACTTGAAGTAAGACTATAACTCCTATCGCTCGATTTTTGAGGGGCACAGTTTGGTAGTGAAGTATATGGAAGGTTTGCGGTAACACCATGTGAATTATATCTCCCTTGAATTGTCAGTTGTGTGGATCTGAGAAGAACCAGTGGTTTCAACTTTCAACTCGACGTTTCGAACATTGTGCTCTGTTCGTCATCAGGAGACTGAGCACACCGTTCGAAACGGCGCATTAAAACCACTGGTTCTTCCCCAGAACCACACAATTTAAGAGAGATGACACTCACATGGTGTTACTATTATGTTTTACCGGGATCATCAGAGGATAGACAAATAAAAGAAGAAACTTGTGAAACAGAAGCTACGTTTGGGAAATTCTATAAATGCTTCACAACATTACCGCAAACAATCCAAACTTTGTTCACGTCCACCACACAAACCTATAGTCTCCCTATAAACATTTCTCCCACGAAAACAGCCCTTATTCAAGATATAGTTCCGTGCTGTAGTTTTTAATGATCTTCCCGACTTTCATTTTTTTCGTGGGAGATGAACGCCTTTAGAGCCGGCCCAAAACGGCGCAATCCAGACGCAAGCGCTCCTGTATAAGTCGGCCTAGTCAGGTGTTCTGACGAAATGCAAGGAATATAGTCCCCAGGAGGTTTACTCCATTTACGTTGCATTACAGGGTGGTCAAGAAATATTCAATAAATCACAAGCCAATCCAAAAATAAACCTCACATCCATTTCAAGATGCGTTCCCCGTATACTATTTTCGAGTTTCACCTCGAAAAATGTATTAATTATTTTTCATTTGGTATTTTCCTAAAGCAGTACAAAAGTTATTCACTTTTGAATGAAACATTCACCCAAAATATCCACCTACGTTCAGCTATTCATAAAAAGAGAATAAATGGCCAAAATCTGAGGCCTATTTGTGGTCTCGGAATGGAATTCCCGCTAAACTTTAACTCTGTCAGTGATAATGCCGCTTCTAAGAAAGGCGAAACCCCCCTCAAAAACCACTGAGGGAAAAAAAGGGGAAATTCCCTTCTGGCTCCGCTAAAAATGGCAACCGAGTACTGCAAGTTCATGATCACTGCGTCAAACACTCTAGAATCGGCAAAATCACGCAAACATAATCAAGCAATCCGAAAACATCAAATTTGACCATGGCAATGTTTAAGCGGAATATGTGCAAATAGGTGGCTACGAACGGGGAGGAGGAGGGATTTTTTCAGCAAGACAAAACTTTCTTGCAAGACCTAACCGCGCGGCTGCTCAAGCAAAAGTGACCGTGTGCTCGAACTTTCAGTTACAAGTTCAATAAAAGTGAACTAGTTCATGCACTTTAATCATTAGGACGTGTTCATTAAATTTGCGCACAAACATGAAAGCCCTTTTATCAGAGGGTTGCAAACGCCCAAAATCGGAATAAGGTAGTATTTCGCAAAAAAAAAAAAGCAAATTGAAAAATCGTTGGGAGAAAAAAAATCACTTTCTGAAGGGTACGGGCATGTATTTTTTTTTTAAAGAGGCCTGCACCTCCAGGCACAAGTTGGCGTGATATTTGGCATATCAACAAGTTTCTTTTAGTTGGTGGGTATATTCAGTAAATTCGTATATTCAAAAAGGGTCAAGTGGTTGGTGAGAACAGTGACTTTTAAAAGCAATTACAACAAAGGTAATTCCTCCTCACAAAAATGAAATTTCATCAATTCCGTAAGATCAGTTACATAAATTGTTGATGATGCATGTATAAGTTCTTAATGTCTCAACGCTACACCCGAGACCATTGTCAAATCAAGAGAATAATGTTGGATAAAATTAATTGAAAATACTTTTTTATCTTCCCCGTATATACAAAAAAAACAAAATATTTCAAAAACTGGGTGCAGTATAAACAGTGTTAATCCCCAAAATAATCTACTACAAAAGCTTACCTTTCCTTGCACGTCTTCTTGCAGAAAGGTGGTCGGCTCTGGTGCAGAACTCCCTTGGTCAGACGATTGCTGGTTGTCATGTCCGCTATCCGACGAAGACCAACGTCGGCACTCGGACTTCAACGCGGCAACTTCCCGCTCAAGGGAGTCCAGCCTCTCCAGCAACTTGTCGACATCCACCGAGGAAGAAGAGGCCAGCCCTGGAGATGAACATGGCTGGATACCGGCCGACGATGAAGAACAAGGTTCAGCGGACAGTAGGTACACATACGCCAGAAGAGACCCGATGACCACGACCGTTAACAGCACGGCTACCACTCCCACCACCAGCACCGCGTTGACAGTGCGGCTCAGACCGGCAGCCGACTTTGCCCGGCACACCTCCGGATCGACCAGGCGTTGATACGGATGAGACTTAGTCATGATGAAACAAACAAAACCCTGCGAATTTTTTTTCAGCTCGAGACTTCAAACTATTGCACCTTACTTGGAGTATTACCTAACTCTCTATAGTCTACTCGAGGTATCCTCCTGCAGCTGCGGATAGCTAAGGCTCTTCTTCGGTGTCTTGCTCTGACATCTTGCCGTTCTCTATCGTGCGAGGATTTCGATCTAAATGATGAAATTGAAAAGAATATCGTAACGTTGACTAAATTCATCAACCTCGTTCACAGGGTGTACTTATAACCATTACAACTGAAAAATCATGTGTTTTCCATCTCACGCTACGACAAATTATTGCTTCCGTCTGTGTCGTACCCAGACTATTAAAACGTGCAATATTTTTGAACGTGCGGGGCGAGCGAGCATCTAGTGGGAGCGTACTTCCCGGTGCCATGGGGACGAGGTTGCTAAATTCATTGATGGAATCTGTTTTCAACTTGGCAGAGTATGAACTGTATGTATTCAATTCATAAAAGGTAACGTTGTACTAAACGGTGATTTTCTAATCACCATTGTAATTCATGTTCAGATGATAAAATGGCGCACGAGTCCATGCAGAACAATGTGATCTAAGTGATAACTTGGGAAGATTAAACGTTATGCGTGTGTGAATAATCGCAATTTTAGAGGGAATGTTTAACTTATCAAATTACGGAGGAAGCGCAAGCTGACTGACCGACTGACCGACTGACTGACTGTCACTCGTTAGCCGGGCAGTGCTATCGTATAGGATTAGGACTAGCCTACCCCGTAACGCCAATGAACATGAACTAACTCCGGCCCACTGTATTGTATGAAAAGACTTCCAGTGAATAGCCATTCTGAAGCACTGATTAGAATTGTGTGCGTACTCCAGCCTGATAGGCTTGCCTTGCCTTGTTATTAACATCGCCCCCCCCCCCCATAGGTTACAAACATGTATCAGATGTCCAACAGACTAAAATCATCGCAACCATATACTGCAATGCATTCATAGCTCATCCAAGATAAATTCTTGCTATATTAAATAGGCCTACATCAAAGACCTAATCTAAACAAATTGCCTGCCTCTTGCTGACTGAAAGTAGCATGTATAGTAACCAGCCAAATGAACCAATTTGACTTCATAACAATTTCTGACTAAGCCCCTAGAGTGGTCTTTAAGACAAATCTCACTTCTTAACAAATATATAGCTTCCTCTTTATTATACGATAAATCAGTCTGTTTGGTGAATAGATGCATTATACAAATGGACATATTTAAAATCCCCGTTGACTTCCATTTTGAACGACTTTCAAATCAAAGGTCCTGCGGCTGTAACCGGCGGCGTAACAAAGAGGGGTGTGTGTTGTAAACCCACCCCCAGCTCGAGGCCCGTGTCCCCGCTAAAAATGTTGGCGAAAGCGAAAGTAAATGTTTTCATTGTTAAAAAAAAAACACAATTGAGTGCCCACTTCAAAAAATAAGGCCCCCAAGTCCTCGGTTATGCCACTAGTTGTAACTCGAAAGTGAAAGTGACTTTCAGCTGATTCTTTTCGATAAGTTCACATTTTTCTGAGTAGTTCTGCAAATCAGGGTATAGTGCCCTTGATAGTGAACACAAAGCGCATGTAATGTATAGAACACTCATCGGGGAAAACTAGGGACTTACCCAAGTATCATAGCTTCAGTGAATAAACCCAGTCTATGTTAACTTTTCTCTTCAGATCTCTAATTCACCGTACAAGGAAACAATCTATGCATAACAATTCAGTTACCGGGAAATGAAATAACCTAGACTCACCGAGCATTGCCGAAGATCTCCGGCCAACATTTGCACAATATTGCACGCCGATGTGCTGCGTGCAAGGCGAAGCACTCTGTGTCACAGTACGGAATTCTGAACTGCGTAATAAAATTTACAGGGTAGGCACAAAGGGCGTCGATACTGGGTTTTGCAAGGTAATGGCTCCCAGGTGAGCAGCTATTGTTCGCGCCAAAACTGACGGGACAAAGGTTAGTTTGTTGCTCACCGCGTGGGCGCCACACATTGGTTTTTTTTCCCACCAAAACCTAGGCTTCGTCTCAGATTTGGTTGCGTATCTGGCTCGAAGATTATTTCTGAAGTAGCAATGTCAACACCAAAAAAAAATATGACAAAGCACTAAACGTTTTGGCCGCTTGTTATATGTTTTATTGGTTTCCAAATACGAAGAAGAACCCAAATTGAGCCTCGGTCCAAAAGTCAAGGGCCTAAAAAAAAAAAGCTCAGGGAGCCGAGACGGAGATGAAGCCAAGTTTTGGAAAACACCCACAAGTAGCGCGAGCCAAACGGGCGAAGTGAGCATCACCTGCTCACAATGCAGCAAGGCCGCTTCAGAAGCTGTTGTCTATGGCTACGTCTAGACTACACGAGAACAAGCTGACAATAAGCCTCTGAACTGATGACGTCACACTTTGTTTACGTGTGCGCTTTTATATCGTCCCTACCAGGCTCCCATAAGAAAGCACCCGTGTAAACAAAGTGGACGTCATCATAGCCTAGGACGCCTGTTTCGGACATAGCCTAAATTTCAATTACTTCTTGGTTCTTGCATTTCCGTGACGCCCAGATAAAAATAACCATAAAAGGCATAACCAACTTCAAAATCAAAAACAAAATTACACACTGAAATTTTTACCTTCATTTCTTTATTATAATCAAATTAATGTGGGGTCTTGGTTTTACAAAAGAAATTGGATTACATATATGCACACGGCCAAAATAACTTTATCGTATATGTCACCTTGATGATGTCACCTTGATACTTAGCGAACGTATAGTTGAGGACAATATCACGGCGCCCATGAGTGGTTAGTAAACTGGTCGCGCCAACTGCAAAAGATAATTTGTGAGCGTTAAAGTGTGAGCGTATTTTAAAGTGTGGGGACAACCGTGCACGCGCGATATGCACACAAGGCCAAAAAAAAAGTCTCCGGTTTCTGGTATGGAGCTTGCCCAAAATGTGGTGCGGCGATGCGGCTTTTTTTTTTTTTACCTGATTTTGTGGCTTCAAATGTGTGCTGATGACTGCAAATGGTGCCCGACTAAACTTAGTGCAAATATATGGGAGTCCAGACAGGCCACATAAAGCTTATTCTCGACCATAACCCAATCTAAAAACACGTTAAAATTGTGCAGCAGCAGGATTCCAGTCAAACCAGTGAGTTTGGCGGTTTTGAGACATCATCTTTCATTGAAAAAAAACCTTTTTCATTTTGCCGACGCGCATGGCTACGGCGACGCGCGCGCATACCAGAAACCGGAGACTTTTTTTTGGGGCCTAATCGTAGAACTGGAATCCCAATTTTATTCAAAAAATCGTCCTTCGAAGGTCCCCTCATATTATCAACAGCGCCATAAAAGTAGGCGCTTGTCATTATAAAAAGGTCATTCAACTATAATGCACAATATATGTATAAGGGTTGTATACAACAGTCCTCATGAGTATGAAAACACCGGCAATCGTGGACCTAGGTCAAAAGGGTTAGGGCACAATCGACCACGATTGACCGAACGTCCACGATTGAAATTTCGTGTACAAAACCAATGAGAGCTGTTGCTAAAGCGTTTCGAGTACAAACAAAGGAATGATCAGTAAGGGGTCCACCATTGCCGGTGTTTACGAAGATGGGTGCGTTGCAGGTGTCTCAGAGGACATTCTTTGTTATTTCACTTTCGTTACATTAAATGTATACACAATTTTTACTCATGCCTATCCCAGCGATACAAAACCATTGCCCCCTGACTCCATCTTAATGCTAATGGTCAATACAGTAAAAGGGCAACACCACTTTTTATGATTCAGTTTACAAAAACAGATAAACAGTGGTCCAAAAAAAAAAAAAATGTAAATGTTCAGTAAATGAATAGGCTGAAGTTAACACTCTGCCTAGTTTTAGATAACAATTTATGGAACGATTTGACTAATCACAATTAGCTTCATTAATTGAGGTATGGGCATAGACAATAAATTCAAAATTAAGAAAGAAACTAAATTTTTTCAATCATTGAACCCTTTCAATATTTACAAAATACACACAGAACTTTGTTAAAATATCAAAGGCTTTTGAATGTTACCATTTAAAGATGTCACACTTTTGAAGGTAAAAGTTGCATCCCCAATGCGTACGTTGTGAAATGCTATGATAGTAACACAAGCAATCTATATAATGACAATGAACAGAAAGCAACACAGTCCAACAGTTATCCGTTTGAGACTTCCAACACCCCCTCCCCCCCCCCCCCCCAAAAAAAAAAATTACAATAGTTACAATTTGATGTTTTGGGTGGAAACAACAATTTGTACAGACAAAGTCATCATAGAAAAACACAAAGCATACATACTTGAGACTCATACAGTTGGTTTTATACGTTATTTACATGCAAATCCATCATGGTCACACCCACAAAGTCTCCATAAGTAGCAGCATGGGCCATTCTATAAATTTGGGTCCACTTTTTTCTCCTGTCCCTGTTACATCTTACATCTATGATTGTATAATTCTGATGCATTCCTTAATGCAGTCGTCCTCCAAGAGTGATTATGACAAGCAAACTACCTAACCAACATGTAAAAAAATTGTTTGAAGTCATTCTTAATGATACATCAAATCAAATTACAACGTACCACGGTAACAGGGACAAACTTTGGACCCTAAATTATAGAATGACCCTCATACAAGTTAAGGCCATGACATTCTTTGGTGCAATATGCTACCTACGCGCACCATGTAACATCTTTCCATTAGGTTAAAACATCTGTGTCTGTATGGCATCAATCCTATTTGTTCCCCCCCCAAAAAAAAATTGAGTTGACAAATAAAAATAACAGTACATACTTCTGTATTTTATGGGCTTGGGGCACGAACAATAGATAATACTTTGTGACCATTTATTAGAGCCAGGCATACTGCGGCAATGGGCTTCGCGCACCAACAAGAGAGCCTGCTTTTTGACCAATTTTGAGAGCCCAGAGGACGAGACACACCGTGTACGTGTACTGATTTGTGTAAATACAGTACGACGCACGACTAAGTTTATTGAGAACGTGCACAAGCCCATGGCGTTTTAGCGTGAGCATCTGGCTTGGTCGGCAATGCGTTTGAACATCTCTCCCAGAGTCCCTGCGGTCTCCCCCAACTCTCCCTTTCTTACCGTTGAGGGGGTACTTGTGCATGGAGCCCGTAACGTCACCGACACCACCAAGTAACACTCCACGTTTTTTTGGTTTTCAGTTTTTTTCACATTTTTAAACATTATTCATCAAGGCCTACCATTGCACGAAGTTTCAAAGCTTCAAGAGCTTTACTTTAATAATTATGCTAATTATCCATGGCAACTTTTGCGCGAAAGTGACAATTTTCATTTTCACAAAGTAACACTCAAGTTCCATTTACCATTGTAAAGCATAGCGCGCACTCTGCTCAAATGCAAGCAAAAACATTTTCACGAAGTAACACTTTCCTTGTTTGACCGCGAGAAAACGAAAATTTATAGTTTCGCAGCTTTTTTGGTTTCACAAACTAACACTCACCTTGTTTCTCTTATTTCTTGTTGATTTAAAATACAAACAGGTGAAAAAACAGCATTTTTAATAAATTCAATACATCAAGTGTCCACAACGAGAAACCCAACTGAAAATACTCTGCCGTTTTGATGCAAAGTGTTGTTCTAGAAGGTGTTCAACTTTAGATGCCGTTTTCTCCGATTGCTAGTTTTTACTGGTATGTACATGAGTGTTACTTCGTGGTGTCGGTGACGATATGTTAGAGTATCTGCCAACTCTCTCTGGACAAACTGAGAGGGTGTCCACATCTGGAGTCCACAGGCCTGTGGGTTTCATGCTCAGCAACTGTCACTTAAGTTAGGGTTGAAGTATGACCTCTTCATGAACATCACTTACCAGCCATCCATGTGACCATCCAGCACAAGACCAGTCACTTGGACCAATTCTTGAAAACTGGTATTATGGGCTCATTGGAAAGGACATTGACTTAGCTTTCCAATGAAATACAGAATATGGGAATCAGAAACATCTGACAGAGTCATAGGTATTTTCAGTGCTCAATTTTTCAGGCCTCGGAAATTACAAAAAGGTTTCTCAAATTAACTCCTTGGCAAGGCACATTTCTATAAAAGCATTCAAACTTGATTTGCAGTATACATGTACATTCCTCACTTGTCCATCTGTTTACATTAAGTTTCATCCATATTCTATGTATCATAGGCTGTATCTCAAAATATGTCTCAGCGACTTCCGACTTTTGTGCTGAAGGGTCACATTTGAGCACTCCAAATGACTAATACGTTTACTTCCATCTCGAGAGAAAAACAAAAAACATGCATACATTGCTACAGGTATGTAGAACAAATAACAAATTATGTAAAATGCAACTAAGCAACATGGATTTTCATCACGAAGGCCAGTGCATACTGCATACAAATGCAAAGCGGAATTTGACGTCAGGAAACATTTCCAGCGCAATTCCCCAGATATGAAAAGGTGCTCAAACCTTTGGAAACTCGCACTGAAAATATTTGCAGGTTTTTTTTTTTTTTAACACCTTTGCTTTTTGCATTTGTAAAGTATGAAAACCACCCAATTTCATGCAGCTGCTGTGTAGAAAATACTGCTTAGCAAATTTAGCGGAGAACCAGTGACAAGCAGTGTGCATCACATGACATTTTCACTGGTAACCTGGTTTTGCTAAGCGAATATTTTTCGCGCTTAGAAAATTGCTGTGCTCAGCAGCTCCACGAAATTGGTCTTAATCCAGATGCTCGGCTTTGATTCACAGTGCATAACGATGCACTTTCCACCTGAGGGCGTTGCGTATGCTGGACGCCGAGCCACCGACGACCTTGAAGGCCCAGGCAGCCTGGAGGACCAGCAGGCAGTAGGCCACGGGGAGGGTGACTGTGTACAGATGCTGCTGATTCAGAAGGCTCTGTGGAAGAAAGAAGGGAGTGAAGGACGGGGAAAAACGAAATTTGGTATCAAATGGACTGTTTTGGATTCGGCCTAAGCCCCGCCCACCTTGGGTTTGTGTAAATTTCTCAGTTGTGACTGAGTTTGACTTGACCTACCGTGGTCACCTGACTAAAAGTCGTGATCCAATTGGTCAATGCGCACCGCTTGATTGACAGGCAGAAAGGGACAATACAGGCTATTCCCAATACAGTGAGCCACCAAGGGGCTGCACCAGAAAGTCAATGTTTCAAGTTTACCATCAACAAAAGCATGGCCGACTTGCCATGATTTGAACAAATGTCAGTAGACAACTTGAGGAAATTTTGGATAGATCGGGGCATAGCATTCTGCCGCCTCACAAAAAAACACCATCTTGATAACAAGAAAAGAGAAGAAAAAAGGTACTCGAATCATAAGCTAATGAATTTACTGACTGGATAACCTTACAATTTTAAGTGTCCCGCGCCTTGCAAATATGTCAACCGTCTCCCACAATGCACTGCAAAAAATAGACTCTCCGTGGCAACCTTTTACTGGCGCACTGTATTGGGAATTGCCCGCATTATCACAGAAATGTAACCCAAACAACCCAAGTGTACTGGTCAGACCTTATACCATGAAAAATTGTCCACATTTATTTGTTTGTTGCAACAAAAAAAAACAAAAAAAATCGATGAAATCAACATGAGGCTTACCAATTCAGACACCAGGAAATGTGAGGCGACCACAATAGCGTTGACGTGGTATTTCTTTGTCTCACAGCCCCAGAAAAACAAGATGTTCCACACGATGTGAAGGAGCACAACGGCCATGGTCAGAAAAGCTGTAAGCAAATTAAATTGTATGTCAAATGAGCACATTGTGTGTGTGCATGTTTGTGGTGCAAATCGAGGGCACACATGTTTTTTTAAACATCCTTGTGTAATTGAGGACAGGAGTCAAATCGTGGACGTCCTCGAATAGAAAACATGGATGTCCTCGATTAGAAAAAGTGTACAAAACCAATTGATAGCTGTTCCAAAAAAATTAAGTATGAACAAAAGATCGATGATGAGGAACAATTGGACATCCTCAACTTACACCATAAACAAACCTGTGTGTCCAGATGTACATGTTTGTAGGTGCATATTAAAACCCTAACTTCTTGGGTTTTATTACTAGAAGGTATCCTGAATCCATCAAAATCCAACAGCAAATACCCACAAACATAGCCAAGGAGTTAAACTGTTTGAGATCCTTAATCCATCATAGTCACCCAACATATGGAGGTATCCTGAATCCATCAAAATCATGAAGTTCAGCTAGGCTTACAATCCTTAATCCATCAAAACCCCCCAGTTTGTTCAATATGGAGGTATCCTGAATCCGCTGAAATACTACAAAACAGGGGGATGGATTTTGATAGATTCAGGGTGGTTAGGGTTAAAGCGTTACTGCTGTGTTTTAAACTGCTATTTTTCTGGCAATACAAAGGTTATTCACTTTTGAACGAGAAATTGAGAAAAAAACCCAAAATTGGCCAACTTGGAATAATTATTTTACAAATTTAGATACATTTGTGGCCTGACAAGAATCTAGTTCTTACAGGGTAGACTGGTACCCGCCTCCCTATCAGAATTGATAATGTAGGGACTGGGAAGTGGGAACCAGTTCACACTCTAGGCTGATCTCTTTTTAAGCTTCTTCAGAGGGCTGTAGCAGCCCAAAACAGAAAACAAAAGGAACATTTAAAATTTGTCGAGAGGAAAAGAGTAGAATCTGTTGACGAGCATGGAGAGACAGAGAGTACATGGTGGCATTTTTAGATACAAGCATTGGATCACACTGACCTGATGTGATGAGGAAGTTAGGTGGTCCCCCGTTGATCCCAACGGTTCCCGGCCCCCTCGAATCGGCCACAACGTTGACCAACTGGAAAATGCCGCTCATCACTCCGAAACCAAGACCAGCAACTGCAGATAAGGAATAATAGTTGGTATACACATCACGCATTTATCAAAGCACTTTACACTTTTGTTATGACTGCGCACTGGGCCCACAAAACATTCCTTAGACTGTCTCAGCCCACTCAGGAACAAACAGCATGATGCTCCATTTTGGATGGCACAACCTGCTTCTTTCTTCACCGGACTCATGCTCTGGTGTTTCAGAGGCAACAGTGGCGTGGGCTCGAGCCTGGGTCTGGACACTTGTGCCCTTAAGCAAGACACTTAACCATTATTGCTTCGTCCTTCGGATGGGACGTAAAGCCGTAGGTCCCATGTGTTGTTTAATGCAATGCACGTAAAAGAACCCAGCAACATTTATTGCTAAGAGAAGGGGTTTGCCCCGGTGTTTCTGGCCTCATGTCAACTCCCACGTGGAGTATTTAGGAGAAGAACCAACCAAGAACCAAGGTATGCAATTTGCTCATAATGACAAAGTATCATGCCCAAGGACAAACACACAATCCAACAATAACAATAGCAAAAACACTAGATTCAGGAACAACGCGATTCGCATCTATTACAGTTGAGCAATCTGCGGTTGGCGGCATGGGGCCAAAACTGCATGCCAGCTCTGCAGTGTCACAAGCAAGTTTCAGAAGCACACCCTCTCCTAGACACCCTCTCCTAGATTGACACTTAAAAGCTTTGCTTACCGTATGCATAGACATGCCGTGTGCTGTCAGAGGTAGACTCATTTGCACCTGAAGGTGCTGTGGGATCAGGCGGCCCTGTCTGATTGAATTGCTGTAGGCCATCCTCAGCTTTCCTGTTCACAGTGAAAACAATCGAAGGGTTGCAAACTGAATTTTACACCAAAACACATGTTGAGTAGATGGCTTCACATGATGTGCCAACGAACAACTTTGTGTCTAAGAGAAAGGGTAATCTTAAAATTACCAATATTATTTTTATTATGATTATCAAAAGAGTAATGACCTATATCTATTAAAGTCTGTTCTTATGAGCAGCCGTTTTCCCATACTAAACTTATGCAAGATTTGACCTCAGTGAGGTCATGTTGTGCATCTCTCTATAGGACCGATGACATCATACGCATGAGGTCTATACAGCTCACCCAGGCCGGTGTTTGTTTCCATGGCATGATTGGAAAGACTGAGAATACTTGTATTCCCCCTGGATGGGATGCCAGTCCATCGCAGGTTACTCCCCAGGTATTGATAGTACCCATTTATACTCCTAGTTTGAGAGAGGCAAGTGCGACATGATGATACTCGCCCTGGGGCAAAGCATGAGGCCAGTGTCTGGATTCGAACCCCCGACCCTCTGGTCATGAGTCACCAACCCTAACCACTAGGTTACACTCCCCACGCTCAGTGTCTTTAATAACCCAAAAATGACCTCAAAAAGGTTATTTTCTTTCTTTGTTTTTTTTCTTTATAACTGGCTGGTTAACTAAATAACACAGGGTGTGGCGATTTCCCTTTAACATCTCGCTCTTAGGGGCTTAGATACATCCTTGAACTTGTTTAACAGGTACTTTCATGGGATGTGCTCAAGTGGACTCTCACTTCTTGTTCCTCCAACGCAAACCTTCACTCATTCTATTTGATTTGTTGCCTTTGTATAATGTGAAACTCCTTGCTAAGATCTTGCTTTCCCCCTTCTTATAACTCATCATAGTTCAAGTGAAATATCAACAGATTCCTTTGCTCTTTTTAACTCGCTTCTTTATTTCACGTTTCAGTCATCACCTTTGGCTGATGACCGACCCTTGGCTTAGTGGTTGGTGATGCTCATTAATTAAAAAAAGAAAGACTTTGTTTGCAATACACACCTCAGAAGCTTGTAGTACCCGAAGCGCATCAACTCCTGGAACAGAACCGAGAACGTCAAGGCGAAAGCTAGCTGGTCTCTGAGTGGTACCACTGCAAACCACCATATGGAGGATAACAGCAGCGATACCAGCCAGAAAAACATCCTGTCATTGAAATTTGAATTAAAGAAAATAAGAAATTGGACAGATGATTCCGGGAGTCTCAAGTTAATTAGTCCCCAACTTTTATTTTGGGAATATGCCAGCAGGAGATTATGGAACACCTTTTTTTGTAATTGTCAACATACGATCTTCATTTTGTCTGCTGTTGTTTATGAAACTGACATGTACATGATATTGTTCTTCATAATGGAATTTTGCATTGCAAAATACAACATTTTATTTAAAATGTAAACGACACTTTGAGTGTCTGAAAAGAAGTTTTCAAAACATCAGGGGCCATATGAAGGTTACGTGTAACTCACCCTGCCATCATGACAATGACCCGCAGAGGATTGCGGGCGATTGTGATGATGAAGAGAGATGCCGGGGGTCCATAGGCTATGAAGATTGCACCAAACAGCTGCATCAGCGTCATCTTGCTAATGTGGTAGTCGGTCTTCTCTGTGAAGAAGAAATGACAAGTGGTTGAAGCAAAGTAACTAAATCACACGGTGTGACTGGGTAAAAAGTAACAGGACTTAACATTGACAATGGAATGCATTTGACATACACAGTCAAAGGCTTACATCATCATCACTGCTTCGCCATTCAAACGAATTATGAATAAATTTGTCCACAAACGAACAAAAGCTCTCGGGAAATAACGGAAAATTTCTCTTTTCTTTCAAATCGTAAGTTAACCCAAGACACCAACTACCATCATCTTATTTCTTGATCTTGACCAGATACTGAGGTGATGTATGTGGTACGTTTGGGTCCATTTTGGGCCTTGGGGTAAAATCTGTTGTTGTGCGATGATTTTTTTCAAAGGTCCATTCATAAGGAACTACAAGTACAAGCTCAGACTCACTATCGCCAAATCATGATAAAGATGTTTTAAGAGATGATGGAAAGAATGTTGCAACCTGACGCTACTTCGGCGGTTGTGTACTACAAAGTCTATGGATGGAGAGTCAAGAAAATTTTGTAAGTATTTCCTAACAAAATTGGAAATGTCTCTCAGTTCCAGATTCATGCCTTATCATTTTTGCAATGACTGACCTTCATTGAGATGATATATGAAGAAAAAATGCAGCGTCAGGTTGCAACATTCTTTCCGAAATGATTAGTAGAGTCGTAGTTACTCGAACTACAAAACGTTAGGATTTCTCATTCACAATTAGCCTAGGCCTTTAAATGAAAATAAATTATAAATTTCTTAAGTTTAGAAATTCTGATCCACCCATACATGCCATATAACAGTACACGGCATCTTCTATGCACTAGTACCAGACGGAAATATTGTTTATATACGACGGAAATACATTACCGTAGCTTATTGTGTAGGCTACCGGTTCACAGTTCGGCCAACTTCTCTTCTTGTTCTTCACTTCAGCTGAAGTTCAGGCTGACTTGACCGCGTGATGACTATGTCGGTTGTCGATGCACGATGTCGCTGATGATGAATCGACGACGCGTCGCCAACGTGAAGTGGATTGGTTTTAATAAATCTTCTTTGGTTTCCTCACTGTTTAACCCGTTACAGGTCATCAGTAGTGGTACTACAGTTGTTCAAATGTAAATTACTGATCTGGTACACAATTCACGACAATTAACACGAACAATGCACTTCACTTGCGACGAATACAGGAAGTAAGGCTTTATACTATTTTTATTATAGTGATAAATAAAGTGCGCCCTCTACCAATAATAATTTATTTTGCGCCCCGAACCACAAGGGGGCGTTTTTGAAGCTGAGCCGCGCCGAGAGAGGCCGAGCCGAGGAGAGCAGGTGGGCGCGAGGTATGCTGCTGAAATGTTTACATCTTGAACTTTATCTTCATAGTTCTTATTCCTCCGCAAATGTGCCCCTTTCCATGTAGTACGCCAATGGAAATGGTAACAATGTAATTTGACTGAGTGACTAAAATCCTCACCCTGTCCCTGGGTAAAAGCTAGCTGGAGTTACCCAGCCCTGAGTTTTATCATTGGGTTGTCATCTAGGGCTGGAGCGTATTTTTCTCGTAACTTGTAGTATATTCAAAAATTTTTGGAAAATGTTCAATTTTGTCCCCGTTACACACTAATTGCAACTGCAACTCACCCCAAACTTGCCTGGAATAACCATTACACAGGCCCTTGAAGTAAAAAACGATCCACGATGAAGATTCAGTCTACAATTGCAGTGAAAACAGGAGGAATAACCGCTAACTTGACAACCTTGCTGGATTGGCCAGGACCGCAATTGGTTTGTGCACACAAAAAAATTGTGTACAATGAATGGCGGTCGATTAACAGGCACAGAGAGCGATCGCTGTCAACTACTCGGTTTTGCCGGCTGCGCTGGCTGTTGGCGCATGACGTCACGCGGAAGCGTATGACCCGATGACTGTTTCATGCACTATTGGTTGCGGTTCCAGTACCAAAGCTGTGATGCGAGTGGTAAACCTTATATTAGTGCATGAAACAGTCATCGGGTGTTACGCTTCCGCGTGACGTCATGCGCCAACAGTCAAGGACCTGTGTAATGCCTAATGGTTATTCCAGGCAAGTTTGGGGTGAGTTGCAGTTGCAATTAGTGTGTAACGGGGACAAAATTGAACATTTTCCAAACATTTTTGAATATACTACAAGTTACAAGAAAAATACTCTCCAGCCCTAGATGACAACCCAATGATAAAACTCAGGGCTGGGTAACTCCAGCTAGGTAAAAGCGCATGCTGGGCCATGAACCCATCCCGACATGGGGCGGGGGGGGGGGGGGGGGGGTAGCTTGAGCAACTCCAGCTTAACTAGCTCAAACCATGGAGGAATAGGGGGGGGGGGGGACATTTGATATGCGCATAATCATGATAATGTTTCCCCTCGGTGACCTATCAGCCATCAGGAAGTGATATGTCCTAAAAAAGTCAAAATTAGCAGAGAAAATATTGAACTGAAGTATTTATTGAGAAAACACTCAGAAATGTTCACTAAATTTCAGACCAGTCTTTTTCAGACAAGTCTCATACTTTTGTCATAGGGTTTGTGCACAGGGTGACAAGTGATGGCCAGATATGGGCATCTTTCCCATGGGGTACTAGTAATAATATGCGCCAGTTTGTTTACGGGGCAAAAAGAACATGCGTTGCTAGACCGTAGACACGGGCACATTTTGGAATGACTGCATAATGACTTTTAAGCGCCAAAGTTTTTCATTGACGGTGTGTACACAGCAACGTGTGTAAAAATGCCCCGTCGGCAAAATGGCGCATATTACCGTGAAACACCTTATTTGACCTACAAGACTGGCGTGTACTAGCACTAGCGCTGGAACTGCGGTACCCTCCGAGGGTACTGCTAGAAGTACGGAGGGTACCGTAGTTCAACGCTGCACTCAGTAGAGCTAGGCGTGTGCCAATTATTTGCCATAGATGATAGAAATGTTTGAGGAATTTTGATGTCTAAACGTACCCCAGCACAGATCGAATCCAAGTCTTGGTCTAATTTGAGATGTTAATTAAGTGCTTAGGGGCCTTTTCATGATCATACTACACTATCTTGAAAAAAGTTAAATTCTACCTCCATCATCTGAGTGAGCTGTATGGTGTACACTGAACAGGCACATACAGTACACTTTCTTAGACTGTAGTGGTTCAACTCCTGTTTGTTATCTGTCCTTAACAGAAATGACGGCATATGTGCAGTGTACAGAGAGCACAGTCAGGCAAGTTGAGGAGTTAGCCAAGCAGCTTCACACGTTAGTGTGTCGGTATCGATGGATCACAGAATCCTATGTTGTGGTAAGACCTCAACTTTGTCTTGGTATGTGAGAAATGGAAGAGAGCACTGTAGAACATATGGGCCCTGTCCATCCAGTTCGTTAGTGTGACGCCATCTCAACTTAATCATGCGTACTCACACGGTGTAGCATAGCATGAATGGAACCGGAAGCTAACGCAACTCGAGCGTTTATCCTTACCGCTGGTAGCGCGCGTGTATGACGTTTTTACTAACAAACGGGATACTGACACATGTAATCCTGCCAGTTGTAGCCAAGTCATTTGGAGGGGAATGACTTACCCTCAGGGGTTCAGAAGGCAAAGAGACAGGATGCTGCAGATGGTTTTGAAATGGTGATGCGAGGGCAGATATGTATTTAATTAAAGGGGGACTTTTTCTTTAAAATATGGGGGTATTTAAGAAACTAAGAAAGTTGTTCAACATTTACCACTGTTCTGTTCTGGAGCTGGATGGGAAAGGAACCCAGACACACAATCTGTGGGCCTTCTCTAGACAGGGACCTGTGCTCCCAAACGTACAAAACTAAATCATGCCAACTTTACTCACTCTTTAACCAGCAAATTTCTCCAAAAATTCCATTGGGCAAAAAAAAGGTCCTCAGTATTTCACCAACCAAGATTGCAAACTCAATTTAATTCTTAAAGGAGACTTTTCTTCAATATTGTGCACATGAGAGGGAAGTCAGGTGATTTCAAAATGAGGCTAAAGACTAGACTGGTGCATGTCCAACCATGGTCCAACTATTTGAAAAGACTGACCTCTTCATTCATTGTCATTAGTCTGTTGGCTGACTATGGAGAAATGTGTAGTAAATAGAGACTAGTTCCCGGTTCATGCCACATGTTTCTTTTGGCACAGTTGATTGATTCAGTACTGAAGCGGTGTTGGACTGTTTGTTTCATATGCCAGTCTAATTTCTTGTATCGCACGTTTTCAATACCTTAAGTTTTGGGACTCTCATACACAGTATTGAGAGTCCCAAATTTTCGGACTAGGCATCCTCAGGCTAAGGTACTATGTACCAATAGACTGGAATCATAATGATGTCACACTTTGTTTACATTCGCTTTCCTATGGGAGCCAGGTGGGCCCAGGACGAGAGCCACAAAGCTGCCATAAGAAAGCGCACATAATTAAAGACAGTGCGACGTCATTATGATTCACTGAGGTCTATGGAACCCTGCTCAAAGATAAAACATCCCTTCTCCAGCCCAGTACAGTAATGTGCCACAGTTATAATCAAGTCAATCACGTACATATCACTCACAACTCACAAGAAACAACCTGGGATCACAGCAAAACTCATAGTCATTTGGATGGCCTGTCACTTGGGACTGGACTTGCTATGTGAAATGTGACTGGCTTGTGATTTGATTACACCAAGTGCAAACCTTACTTGTGACCTGAATTTGAAATTCAAAAGTTAGTTGCCCCACAGAGCTGGGTTTTTTTTTACACAGCTGGTGATACTGTTTTTTTTCCTGGTAGGAGTTCTTTGTGAAGGACCACTGGGGTCATCTGTCTCCCTCATGGCAGCAATCTCTCGCCTCACTGACCCCTCCTGACATTGCTGAAACATTGCTGATGAAACCTACCTCCACCCCTAGAAGGTAAAACCACTGCCCATATCCCTGACATATCCAAACACCTCCGAAATCCAGCTCATGACTTACAGTACTATTAGGGTTGCTGTCCAAATTTCAAAGAATGTGCCATTGTGTAAATTGCAGTGTAAGATTTAGAAGAATCAAGAAGTCATTTGTCCAACAATTAAAGGGAGTTACAAATGTACATATACATGTAGGATTATGTATCCAAGTCTGACATCACATTTGATCATGCGTAAATCTCAGATAAGATTAAGAACTTTTTATGGAAATTGACCTATCGCGGTAGAATCGCATTAGAATCGCGTCAACGCAGCTGGTGAAATATTGTCCAATTACATGATATACAAATGGACGTGGAACGGCAAAATCTGAGACAAACAAAACTTAGTGTACAAAAATTCCATAGGGTTGTCTAAGGGGCATGGCTAACTCGCAAACGGCGATAGGTCAATTGTGGAACTGGGCCATCAAACTTCATAAAAGTGTTGTATTGTTGGACCTCATGACTGCTTCATTGAATTGGTCAGCCACTGTTGGACATGAGTAAGAAAGTTATGTAAAACAGACTTCTAAACGTGCAGTGTTGTACATATATACGATCATGCTGTCAAAAGAATGATATTTTTGTTGAAAGAACCAGCCAGTCGTCCGTGTGGCCGTTGTCACTTTTGGCCTTCAGGGCAGCCACCCTGTTCTTGGCCCTCCCACGCACTGTCACACAGCCGGCTAAGCTCCACCCCCAGAGTGGGAGGAACCCCAACCTGTCTCACTGCTACCGGGCACACGTCAAACCCAAGAAGCAGCACGAGATTGAATGCCTGGCAGAGGTAAATCTGGATAATAAACCAAATGGTATCTCATTCCCCCACAATTATGTAGTTCATGTCAAAGGTCATGCGGGATAGAGACTTCCAACGACTTACAAGTATAACACGGGTCGCTGCTTAACTTAAATTTTGTTCAATGTGGCTCTAACCGAAATCAATTGCAGAAAGTACCACAAAGAACCAATAAGCTTCGTCATCTTGGAGATCACTGTTTATGTTTATCATGAATGACCCTTGACCCCCCTCTATTTAATGCATGTGCAGTATTGCATACCAAATTTGTTGATATCGTAATTTGGGAGATTCTAATTTAAAAAAAAAAATATTCATTTCCTGTACAATTTAAAGCTTGTGGGTTTTTCTTTTTATTAAGAGGAATAGCCTTGATGCCTCAATTTGGCTGTCACTTCTTTTCGTTGCTTCTGAGCCTGAACATTTTTGCTAAGAGTAGAACTGAGGGGTCAAATTGAAACCTCAGCAAGTCTGGAAAAGTATGGAACAATTAAAAAAATTAAGAAGTGCACTTTGCAAAAATATGAACCAAAAGTGGATGTCGGATAGTTTTCGTACATTAAAGTGGAGTAGAAAGTTACACAAAATGTGTTTCTCAGAAAAGCTCATCCCATGGACCCTTTGACAGATTCCGTATGAATCTCTCAACAGGTCATTCACACCACATGCAAGCAGTTAGGATGCGGTCGAGTCGTGGACGTCGGCTCAGGCCAGGGTCATTTGTCCCGACTCCTGTCCTTCGGTTATGGTCATCAAGTCACTAGCATCGAAGCCGTGGACTATCATATTACCGGAGCGGCCAAGTTTGACCAAGAGGTCAGGGCCTACTTTGAAAGGGTAACATAAATTGTTAAAATTTCAAAGGTTAGTTAGAGTTTTCCATCTTAACCCTAAAGGGGCCGGGTTATTTTGACCATCTCTCAGCCGGGGGGGGGCGGATTCCGCCCCCCCTAAGATCTCGGCCATCGAGTGACGAAAAATTTTGAAACTCGGCACATGCATAGAGCAACTCTTCCTTAACATACCCAAGAAATTTCATGACTATAGGCCAAAGGGTTTTGGAATTATGGCTAATTAATTATTCATATGTACGAATGGCAAATCTGCTCTGTGTACACGACGTATATGCGAAAATTCAGTTTTTACGGCGCGTAGCGCGGGAAAATTTTTCGCTACGCGGCAACCCGTGGTCCGATTTTTATGTTTTTGGTATCAAAAGATGCGCAAGGCTCGAGGCTAAAAAGTCATAACAGCTCGGGTCGCGAAAAAAAATTTTTTAGAAGCTATCACGGAAAATGTTGAGGGGGGGGCGGAATCCGCCCCCCCCCGGCCCCTTTAGGGTTAAAGGAAATGCAAATTTTAATATCGTGTTTGCCCTTCAAAATTTCAATTTTGTGTTTTGCCTTTCATATTTTCGAGAATCACCTCAAAAATATGTTTGCTTTTTTCCTAGCAGTATAAAACTTATTCACTGTTGAATGAGACATTGAATGAAAAAAATCCACCACTGTTTAGTTATTGAATTATTTCTTCCCAAAATTCAAATTATTGGCTGCCAGACAATAATTCGACTCTCGTAGGGCGGGCCATTGAAGTCCTTTTTCAAAAATTAAAGTCCTTTTTCAGAGGGTTGCAGACTCTGAAATCGGAATAAAGTAGTTTATTCGTTAAAACAAACCATTCAAATTAAAAATTCATTGGGAGAAGAAAAAAAAAATCAATTTTTGAAGAGCACAGGGTGTGGAACTTTAACTGTTGCAAACATTTGTGTGTCTGAACTTGTTTCTGGTTAAAATTTATCTGCTGTAGAAAGCTAGGGCCAACGAGGCAGCAGTATCGGAGGGTATTGCATCACCCCACCATGTGGTGTGCACTGTCCACCCCTACATTACAGTGGAAGAGTTCCTGTCAGTCATAAGTGCTCGCACACAGTCAAACCAAGGCGATGGACAGTCCCATTCTGTTTCAAGGGTGGAATGCATGACAGGAAAACCGGTGCACAAAGTCAAGAAACTGAAGATGGATTCAAAGGAGAGTGACGCAGGCAAATGTGAAAGAATCAAAGAACATGAGAACTGTGGTCGCAGATTAGCTGACCGATGCACAAACGATGAGCAACCAGGATTTGCCCAAAGCAATCAGTCTGAGTCGCGGGAGACAATTTCCAACCCATCCGGTCCGTCAACGTTTAAAATTCTGATGCCAGTCAATGCCCAAACAGAAGATTCTGGTACAAGTTCCAACCCCGATTCTTGCCAGGACCACATCACAATTCAAACGGAATGCAGCCATTGCCTAACTGGGGAGCGTCCCCAGAGTGAACCTTTCTTAGTCACAGGTCTGCACACATGCGGTGACTTGGGCCCAACGATGTTACGGACGTTTGCCGAATGCCCACAAGCAGTGGCCCTGGCTTCCGTTGCTTGTTGCTACATGAGGATGTCATTCTGCGACAAGACGAGTGACCTCCATAGTGCGCCCGGTACGCCGTCTCCAAATGACGACATGGCTGCAACAAACCCTTCGTCTCAAAATCCTGGAAATTCTGAGTTTTGCGGATCGTCTTCAGAGGATTCCCAAGACAGACTTTCTGGCGGGAACAAAAACTCTTCAAACTTGGCACCAATTGACAAGAGTGCCCCAGGCTTAGATGCTGGTTTCCCTATGAGCATGCATGTCAAGTCCCTGTGTCGGGAAGCGGACTCCATGCTGACCTTTGAACCCTTGGAGCTTGCCTGTCATTTTATTGAGGGTTACCAAGCAAGGTTAAAAGGTCAGTGCACTTAATATTTTAAGCTTAACACTTATGTATGATGATTTTGCTAGACACTGAGCTTATCCTCCTTGACAATGTTTTTTTTCTCTTGGTCCAATTTGCAGCATGCACACAAAGAGGGAATACTGGCACAAACACCTAAACATGGCTGCGTTTATCTCCACCCTTCACTACATGCTAAACATGTCAGCCACTTCAAAATATTTGTAGGGTATGCTCATGGTAAAACTTGACACAAAATTTAAAGCTATTGTGAATTTGTGATGTCAAGGAAAGCTATAAACATTGCAAATTTGCAAACACATTTCAACTGCAGTGAATTTTGCCAGGAATTGTTTGTGGCATCAAAGTTGCTTCGCATTTGCATTTCCTTCGAGTATGATGAGCCCTATCATAATTAATCCCTGATTCTAGATTCCAACGATAGCGTTTGAATGTTTTCTTGACTAGACAATGACCCCAGCCTACTCACCCAAGGCTACCGGGCAGCATTGGAGGTCTTGATCCAGGAACAGTGTCCAAACCTCAACCAGAGTCAGGAAGGTGCGCGGAGGATCAGGAAGGCTGTGGGTAGTGTCAAGAGGGCTCACCAGATGACCTTCCAGGAGTGAGTTTTTACTTGTTCAGTGAATGGACTCTGTGTGGCACTGGTGGATGCAGAACCCAAAGTATTGGAGGCCAAGATGACAGTGTTGCACCCTGCAGCCGATTTCATGAAAAGTGTGCAGCTTGCGTCATGTGTAAGACTTTATGCAACAAATTTGTTGCGCAGCTGCTCAATAAACTTACAATCAATTTCACGAAACTTGGCGTAGCTGCGCAAAGTTTTAAATAATTTAAACATCTTGGACGAGGATAAAAACAGCATTTACGACGGCTGTTTGTGTGTGAATTTGTTTGTTTGCAAAACAAAATGATTGCACAAGTTATGCCATAATTTATTGCTCAAGTCGTGGACTTATGTACTATCCTACTTTCGTGAAATGTGTCACAAGTGAAAAGTTGCGAAGCGTGAAATGTTGCGCATCTTATGCAATAAATTGTGGCACAAGCCGAGTTGCGCCATTGCGTAAGGGTTCGTAAAATCGGCTGCAGGATTTGTTGTTGGAAGGGGCTGAGCAACATGGCTGGCAGGTCGTTGCACATTAGCCCTAACAGTCCTGAATCCTCCAAGTTCAATATAATTGTGCACACCCCCTAGAGAGTTAGGGTTAAAAGCTGACAAACATTGTGCTCTTTTTCCTATCAATATTTCATGAATCGATGTGGAGGAAGGAGATAAGTAGACAACAGCACCAATTTAAAAACAATTGTCTACACTCCCTGTCTTGTTTGATTATTAAAAAAGGTTGTTTTTTTGCCACCCAGCTATTGCAAAAAATGTTATTGCTACGGATTTTCATCAGTTTCCCAAGAAAATCTGTAGAGTAGGAGTCAATTCGTACTGAGAGTTTAAGAAACATTAAAGGGATGAATAGTCACATCGAATGTCACTAACTTGTTAAAAAAAAATGGGGCTAATCAACAGAAACTGAGACAACTTTTATCCAGCAAACAGTATGATCAATTCATTCTTTCAGAAAAACAGCCCTATTTCTCTGATTTCTGTTATTAAAAACCTCTTTTGTGATATACAATAGTGGTCCACATAATGGAATGGGTTACTGAACCAATACATGTATTGTCTCATTCACGCAGCTATGCCTCCACCATCCTCAGCAAGCTTGGCTTGCAGAGTGACCCAGGCAGGATTTGCACCATCGGTGAGACCCTCCTACCCCAGTGGCACAACCTACTGACCTATCACAGCATACGCCAGCTGCTAGCCCCCATCATAGAGAGTCTAGTCCTGCTGGACAGGGCTCTGTTTCTTTATGAGAAAGGTTGGTGGGTTAAAATAAACCTAAGTCCGTAAACATCTTTGCTCAGAACTTTCCAGACTCCTCAAACATCCACCACTGGGCAGGCAGCCAATAGCATAGTCTAACCCTAAATAGCTCAGTTCAAAGCCATGACGAGCCTTGTACACTGATATCTAGCAGAAGTTTTGATACCAACTTACGACAGTCCAATGTACAATTCGTACACAATTTAAAAGTTTTGATATGGAGTACTGAAAAATCTTTGCATTCTTTGACATGTGTAGGGAAACAGGCTTATTCATGGACACAGGTGATCAACTTATGAACGATCAATTAATGAACACGCACACATATACTCCTACATCCATCTTAGTAAACACCGGCAATCGTGGACCCCATATTGTCCCTAATCCTCATTCCTCTGTTTAAGCAGCAGCTCTCATTGGTTTTGTACACGAATTTCAATTTTCAATCGGTCAATCATGGACCCTTTGTTTGTGCCCTAACCCTTTTGTCCCTAGTCCACGATTGCCGGCGTTTACATACTCACACCCTTTGTGCTTTATGGTACGGTGGTGATTTGTTTCTCATTTCTATTTGTGTACGTAGGTATAGAGAGTAGCCTGGTGCCAATCTTCGACCCCTTACTCTCCCCAAGGAATTTGGTTCTTCTCGCCATCAAGAAGACGAGGTGACAGACTAGGAAAACTGCACAACATGATCATCAGTTCCTGCATGGGAATGATTACATTGAGGGCTATAATCTTGATGCTGTGACTCTATGGACTTGATGAAGTAACAGTACTTATGTAGATGGTGCTGTGTGACCACTCACAAGACCTACAGTGCGTTGGACACACTGTTTGCATACACTGGTTCATGCATGTACGGTTGCGGGCATGTGTGGTCTAGCGGTGGAGCACAGGATTCATGATCGTGAGGTTGTGGGTTTGAGCCCCGCCGTGGTGGCCATGCGTGTTGTGCCCTTGAGTAAGGCGCTTTACCTCAATTACTCCTCTCAACCCAGGTGTTAAATGGGTACCGGCATTATTCAATGCTGGGAAGGTAACAGACTCGCTGTGGAGGAGGTGTGGTGATCCCCCCACAGCAGCATATGACTTGAGTCTCTAAGAGAGATGGGCACTCCGTTCCTGTTAACACAGGTTCGTCCCCTTTACCTTTACTTTATGTACGGTGAACAGTAAACTATTTGCATCACCATGTTCTTCTCGGGCTCCGGCTTCTACATTTATGAGATATGGGTGGAAACGATTCGAGAGTAGAAACCCGAGCCAGCTGTCGCTATCCTACCTGAAAGGGGTGGGTGGGCGGGGCAAAAGGAAGAACTCCCATACTTACAACAACGTCGTGCGTAACCGCGGCTCCCACTCCTACCTCATCCTCAGATCCGCCAGAATCGCGACTGATGTACATCTGTCGCCCTCAACGATCACAGTGATGCAAATAGTAAACTATTTGCATCACCATGTTCTTCTCGGGCTCCGGCTTCTACATTTATGAGATATGGGTGGAAACGATTCTTCGCTCCAAACCCCCGACGGGCACCGCGCTTCCCCCTAGAATACCTTACCCCAACTCCTCCCGTATCTCACCCCACTTCTAAAATCATCGAAACTTTGAAAACTTAAATGCCGATTCCGCTTTGAATCCCGAGTCTAGCAGCCGGTAGAATTGCCCCGCGAGGTCTGCTTTAGATGCCTGACGGCCACTGTCCGTATCTACTGCCTGTTGGAGCATCTGAACTGTGCCGCAACGCCTCGTGACACGCTCAACCTCGGTGTAGCGTTTAAACGTCTGCCGTGTCGCCCATCCGCAGTGATCCATGATTTGTTGCTCTGTCGCTCCCAAGAACCTCAGAGTAACGGCAACTCCAGCCCTACCTCCATGCGTCCTGAGGTCGAAGTCACTCTGATCCGATGAAGCTGAAAAATACAGCTTCAGACGATTGTTGGGATTATTCCCCGTGAATGGCTTGTTTGCCAAGGACCTGCGATCTGGCGTAGCCGGACGGAAAAGATAACCTCCCATCAAGTCATATCCGTGACTGCGAGCTAAATCCACCATCTTGTCCACAGCCCCAACCGGGTCTATCTCCTCGCTGTTTAACTTTGGAATGACGACGAGAGAAGAATCTCCTTCCCTCACTGTCTTGCCGATGGTGTGATTAAAAAGCAAGTCTTTGCCATCAATTCTTGTCGCTTCACAGGTTTTTGTGCGGCCTAAGTCCGCCGCGCGATCTCCCGCCCACCATAAGCAGAGAAAAAATGCGAGGTCTCTGTAGAGAAGGTAATGTTTGATGAAGCTTGGCTCTGCCGCCTCCACCAAACCCTGGACACGCCCCCGAATCTCACCAACGAGCCAGCGCAGTTTGTCATAGAAAATTGGAACCGCCTGCTTTGGAGTAATGTGTGCTTCTGCCTGTTCCAATCGAATCGCCTTCAAATATCTCCTTACCCGATCCGATATGCATGGGTTCCCGTCCTTGGTACGAGGGTTCCAAGGGTGCCTGCTACCTACTGTATTGAAATGGGCTCTCAACTGTCCTATGTATGAGTCAACTGTTCCGGCTGCTAACCGCCGCTGACACCCGCATTCATGAAACCCTTGTTTACCCAGATTACGACACCCGAGAATGTGAACTTGAGTCTTCCCTCTGGAGTCCCGGTCTATTAAAAATTTGACAATGTCCTCAGGGAAAACGTCGTCCAATCTGCTGCCCTCCGTGCAGTAGCCGCTGTTATGGTTCTGCCGTAGAAATACGCCCAAACTGTCCACTAAACTGCTCTTCTGCTTGCAATAAGGGCGATCATCTAATTTCCTATCCAGCTCGTCTAGTCTGGTCTTCACTGTTGTGAGCTGTGCAGAAAAGAAAGGATTTCCTTTACTCACCATGCTCATTAATTTTAAGCTAGTGTGCCTAAGAGGAAGGTCGATCTGCCTCGGGATGTATGGCTACTCCTGTGCGCCCGCCACAAATGGCTCTCAGGAACATCTGCAGCCGCCGATGTAGCTTGAGGCTGCCCCACACTGTCAAGTGGACCTGGTCTTTGAGATCGCGCTGATAAATGTGATCGTTCGACAAAAAGTGCCAGCCAGGCCTTTCACAAAGCTCTCTCAGTGCGGAATTTACTGACGCTACACGATGATTGATGTCAACGCTCCGCGTCTGACAAACTGCTGACAGCACAAACTGGACGTCCGGACATTGCACACGCAAACGCCTCGACGCTACCTTGAAAACCCGCAATAGCTCCCCTACTCCCGCTGCGCCTTTCCCCTTGTTACTGATGTCGTTAATACCACCATGCAAAACTGCCAAGTCAAGTTTTTGTGACCGACATGCTGCTGCCAGGATCATAAGCAGGGTTGCCATCTTTGCTCCACCGTTTACATTCACATTGACCTTGAGGAAGGAGGGCCACGCGAACTTGGCTATACCTTTGAACATAAAATCAGAGACAATCAGGACTGACTTCTGTTCGGTGAGGGTACGAGATTCTCGCAGGATATCGGGTCCTGGCGGAAAATAACACCTGAAAGCCCAAAGCTCAAATGGAAGCCCCTTGCCGTTAGGCACATAACCGCTACGAGTTATCGTACCGCTACCTCGAGTACTCCTGTCTGACCTGCTTCACTTAGACGCATAGCCTTCTGAGCGAAGGAGTTTAGATGCGGCCACCAGGGCCTAGGGTGAGGGTGCTTTGGGACGACCAGTGTAGCAACCACGTCCCCCCACTCCCGCAACAGCCGGATGACAGATGAAATTAGGACGAAAGGGGGAAACGCATACAATACTTCTCCCCTAGGACACGGCTGAGCAAAGACATTTACCCCTGAGGTGCCAGGGACCAGGTCTCCGGAAAAAACTTAATCGGAAGCCCATTTTTTCCCTGCGGTACGTTCGACTGCAGAGCCATCAGGTCCAAGGTGAATCCGGTGTTTCCTCCAAACTCCTCTTGAAGAAGCCACCATAGAGACGAGGAAAGCTTTGAATCAGCCCTGGACAGCATCCTTGAGGGAACATCAGCCCGATTACTGCCGGATGGTACCCACTGAAGCCACAGATCAAAATTCGCTTCCAAAGTAAACGCGAATATGAGTCTCAAAACTCCCGCTAGAGCAGTCGACCTCGCCCTCAGACCTGACCATGCATGGTATAATCCCTCCGAGTTCACCTGAACATCGACCCTTTTGCCGGTTCATCACTGAGATAAGGACAAAGTAAAGGCCAGAGCTTCCTTATAACAGATGTCCGTTGACCTCTGAACTTCCGGGGGCCAGTAATCTCCAAAGGTGATGCCTTTGTTCCCTTGTGCCAGCACTCCACCCCATCTATAGCCGGATGCGTCTGAACTTAGTAGTAATCTTAAATGACGTTCTTGTCTCCAAGGTATTGGTTGCGAAACTGAATCAATGAACCTCCAAAATAGGACCTCCTCTCGTACCGACTGCGTCAGCTGAACGGGCGTGACGTCATCCATCTGGGACGCGAAACTGCAGCATTCCCTTACAAACAGACGGGCTGCAGGAAACACTAATACAAAACTCTGGCATTTTCCAATGAACCTCTGCATGGTCTTCAAACACACCCTGTCTTCAGACAAAATATCTTCCCTCACTCCGGCGAAGGTTTCCTTCTTTTTATCCGGTATTCAGAATGACAAAGAAGTCGAGCATAACCCCAACCCCAAATGGACCATACTTGAAACTGGTTGGAGCTGACTCTTCTTCAAGTTGACAAAGTAACCCAACTTTGACTGCATGTAGCACACTACGTATAACGCCCGTGACGCCCTCTTGTAAGCCTCATCGCCACTAGCATCCGATGGGTCCTGTAAATGAGGTACGAAATGTTTGTACTTAGCCGTCCACCTTTCCATCTCCGCCCGCTTCCCCTATGAAGCGGTCGTCAATCCAAACTTCTGTGTGAATGCCTCTGTTTTTTTGCCATGTCGAAAGACAGAAGCCGACAGTTGAGTAAATATAGGCACTATTTTTGAAGCCGAACGGCAGGGTCGTATCTTCAAAATAAAACCCCGCCCATTCGAACCCGCAAAATGTCTTAGACCTCCCTGTAAGAAGAAGCTGTTTGTACCCTTGGGCATCATCAGTTCCTGAAAAGAAACCTCCCTTATGTGCTGGCTTGACAATATCTCCCAATGGTACCAACTTAAAGGGTGTGTCCTTACACCATAGATTTGGGCCTTTCATAGACAGGACCAGTCTGGGTTTACTTGGCTCAATCGATAGGGCATTTACACATTTTGGTGGTGATACCTCATGCACGGCCCCCAATAACTCCACTGAACCCTCTATTAACCGTTTTGTGATTGTGTCATTGATGAAAGGTACAAACTGCTTGCAGATAGGTGCGTTAGGAAAATACATGTGAGGAGGCGTTTCTGAATTAAAGTCCCTGCCTCGGTATTTACCTTGATACGGCTGGAAAAATTCAAATAAATCTACTCCCCCGTGCAACCACACCCTGACCTGATCACCCATTCCCGGGCATTCCGCCAAAACCTGATCCCAAATTTCCAGCTGGTCGTGTAAACTACCAGAAACAAAGAAATTAGGGTCGCGAAAGCGAAGGGCCCTGAAATCCGGTGGACAAATACCGGCCAAAACATCCGCCGGCTTCGGGGCAGACCCACTTTGGGCGTCTGCTTTTCTCCCCGATATGTCTACCCATGAATATATTCCACGCCTCCGCACTAGGGCCTGCGTCGCAACGGGGTCAAAATCATGGCCCGTGGAAAGTTCCCAGTTATGAGGTCTGAGGATTTCCAGATATCGCTTGTATTCCTGCAAAGGGTTTGGGTTGAATGGGGAGAAAGGGGAAAGAAATGACATACTGACAAGAAAACCCGATGCAAGAGATTTCTATGCTGTTTTATTCAGTCTCAAACACTCCACTCAACATAATATGAAGGATCGATTTTCCTCAGTTATAATCTCACTTTTCATCTAAGCAGCCCCGACCTCGCTTGACCACACGGTATTTATATCCCTATTCTGTCACTCAAAGATCAAGGGATTCATTGACACCAACTTTTCATTTTGTTTTCTTCCTTATTCTTTCCTGTCCCTTCGTCTTGTTTAGCCCTTGTGTGCTGTGCCCCTTATACAATAGACACTATATGATCTCCTTACAATCTCTGGCAAAATGCCCTTTCTTTTGACACCGATAACATGTATCTCGCAACCTAGATGCCGCAAAGGCCCCTCGAGGACCAAAGGACTGACGGAACTGCTGGTAACCTGTTCTGTATTGTGCCCCTTGTCTGCCCCTATTTTGCCCCCCTTGGTTGGACATTCGCCCTCTGATATCAACGGGCGGGGAAGTCAACCCCAAGTGCTTTCTAGCAAAACGTAGACGCTTGTCAGAGTCTTCCCCTGTTATGGATTTATAGATGTACATTGCCACTCCCTCCATCTTTGCCTCTACATGCTTTGTACACTCAGACAGGATGTTTACATATAGCTGTTTCTCTTTCCAGTCCTCTGTTGACAGGGGAATGAACTCGTCTACGTATTTGCGCAGAAGGGACATAACGTACGCCACATTTCTGTCATAGCCCGTCTCTGTGCAAGCCCTCAATAGCTCCCTGCGGCGGGGTTTGTGTACCTCCAAAGCCGACCTGGCCTGCAGTTTAAAAGAACCAACCCAAAATATTTCCCCCTTTTTTCCTTCTTTTTATTGGGGGGGGGGGGGTTATCATCTATTACCGACTTCGTCAGGGTTCACCCCATTACGAACCATCTCTGTAATGCATTTACTAATCGGTATAAATCTAGATTTTTTATTTGTGTGTGTGTGTGTGCGATTAACACACTTTCCTGGACCTTTATCTTACAACCAATAGGCAATTTCTTCGCCTGCCTTCATCTAGCTACTTTCAAACCATCCCTGCAGGTGTTCCCATACCGATTTATTATTATGTATATGTATTTCTTATGTTCGATAATTTGTACCCATAAAAGATACTTTGAGATATTGCGGCGGTCAAGGGGATCTCCAACGCCCGCCATTAAAATTGAAAAGGTTGAATTATGAATGGTTGCCTCACCCTTTTATTGGTCTATACAAAGGACGACGGAGTTCCTCCCCGACATACATTACTACCAAACAAAAGTATCTGCCCACCAAACCTAATCTCTTGTAACGATCTTCCCCCAATAAATCATTAAGCAACCAAGTATTTCTCTTTGGTTTACCCTAAACGGGTTTCCCCTTTCTATGCCTGAAAACGGTTTTGTTCTTGATTTGTTTTCCTTCATAGATTATCAACTGAAGACGGGGCTTTTCCCCTTCAAACATCAGGGCCTGAAAATGGGGCCTTTCCCTTTATAGCCTGAAAACGGGGCGTTTCCCCTTCATACAAATAGCCTGAAAACGGGGCTTTTCCCCTTCATACATATATAGCCTGAAAACGGGGCTTTTCCCCTTCATAAATCTAATTTGAAAACGGCGCTTTTCCCCTTCATAAATTTAGACAGAAAACGGGCTTTTTCCCCTTCATAAATGTAGCTCGAAAACGGGGCTCAAGTTCCCCTTCATAAATAGAGCTCGAAAACGGGGCTTTTCCCCTTCATAAATATAGCTTGAAAACGGGGCTTTTCCCCTTCGTCAATATAGCTGAAAACGGGGCTTTTCCCCTACATAAATATAGCCGGACAACGGGGCTTTTCATAGCCTGAAAACGGGGCTTTTCCCCTTCATAAATATAGCTTGAAAACGGGGCTTTTCCCTTTATAAATAAAGCCTGAAAACGGGGCCTTTCCCTTTATAGCCTGAAAACGGGGCTTTTCCCCTTCATACATATAGCCTGAAAACGGTTGTTTTTTTTTTTTGTTTTTTTTTATATTCCCCCTCTTCATACACATAGCCTGAAAACGGGGCTTTTCCCCTTCATACACATAGCCTGAAACGGGGCTTTTCCCCTTCATACATATAGCCTGAAACGGGGCTTTTCCCCTTCATACATATAGCCTGAAACGGGGCTTTTCCCCTTCATACATATTGCCTGAAACGGGGCTTTTCCCCTTCATACATATTGCCTGAAACGGGGCTTTTCCCCTTCATACATATAGCCTGAAACGGGGCTTTTCCCCTTCATACATATTGCCTGAAACGGGGCTTTACCCCTTCATACCTCATCGCCTGAACACGGGGCTTTTTCCCTTCATACCTCATCGCCTGCAATGAAAACGGGGCTTTTTCCTGTCCAAAGATTATTGTTGTCTGACAACGGGGCCTTTTCCCTTCACACCTTCTCGGGACACGGGGCTTTTCCCCTTTATTTACCATCGCCTAAAAATGGGGCTTTTCCCCTGCATAAATTATTGTCTGAAAACGGGACTTTTACCCTTCCTTATGATTATTATACATGGTAATAGTGTATGTACCTGGGAGGTAGTCGATTCCGTAGCGGTCTGACCTGCTGCCGCTGATCCGCTGGGGCCTGCACCTTGATCCTTGTCTGGCTCCTGTTGGGTTGCAGCCACTTGGGAAGGCTGGTCCGTCTCATCGTGCAGGCGCTTTCTCTTAGGCACCTGCCCCTCCAGAGGGCCGGCCTCCACCCGCTCGATCAGTTTTTCGAGATTTCTTTTCTGGCCCCCATTTGGCGCCAAGGCAAGGACATGCGCCTTCCAGGCCCCTGTCAAGTCTGCTAACTGCTGCACCTCATCCCATCCGTCCTCTACTAAAGCCAGGAAACACTTCTCCGAAATCTTGAATGCGGAGCAAAGGCCTTTGAACAATGCCCCGACCGGCCCACCAGCGTCTCCGTAGGCCCCAGCGTTCTCCTGAAACGAGGAACATTTTATCAAATCTAGATTAATGTCTCAACACACGCAATGGTAGAACAGCCATATGAATTTACTGTAATTTATATTGTGATTTATTAACGGTTCCCACCAATTACACCTGTCCATACCAATACATATCTATTCCCTCTCGACGCCCAGTTTAGGAGCCGCAGTGACATTCGATTTAGGTCTAAGCCTGCTAAGTTTGCTGAGCCTTATTAATTAGCGCGTCTGTTAATTGCAACCTCTCTATATTTGTGTCATTTGAACCCCCCTTGATTGCCTGGTGACGTTCCTGGAAACGAACCCTTGTCTTCTGTGCTGTTCCTGCTTTGTCTCATTGTTTCTCGACGAAGTTGTTTGCTATGCCTGTCATTTTCTTATTTATTTAGTTTCATCCTGAGTGTAACTAACCTCAATTGCGTCGTATACTTCCTCCATAGCTGACCGTGGTCGAAGGCCTGTACGAGCGCTACCAACACCAGCGCAACACGACAACTGAAACGCCATTTGAATTTGAGCGCGCTGGCCCGTGACGCCATATAGCCTCAACAAGCATTCCCGTCTCGCCGTTATGACAATAGCCGCACTGCATATTCAGTTACTTTAAAAAGCAAACGGTCACACCCGACCAAATTCAAACGGCAACAGTGCTATCCAGCACACACATTGCGCTATTGTTATTCAAAATGTACCTTTGTACCTGTGGACCTGCAGGATCTCGCCTAGGGAGGAGCAGGGCTCGTGTATAAACCCTCCTCGCCAGATAACCATGTTCAATTCCGTAATAAAATTAACCATAAAGGTTTTACCTTGCGTCACCAACTCTCTAAAGGCCATAAACACTGTTATATAGACCACCTTCTGAAAAATCCTCCCTCTGCTACCTGATGGATTTTGGTTTGGGGGCATTTTCGGCTGTTTTTTGTGCCGACCAAGCCCTCAGACCACCCAGCTGTGGAGACGCCAGAATCGCGACTGATGTACATCTGTCGCCCTCAACGATCACAGTGATGCAAATAGTACGCAAAACTAGTTTTCATAGGCTGTGGTCCCACAGCAGCTTTGAGCATCTGTCATATCTCTGTTACAGTTTAGGGGATTGCTGCACCCAAGAGTCCATATACATGTAGTCGGAATAGGGGTGAAGTCGACTGGAGACCTGACCACACAGCTGTACATGAAGACAGGCATTGCCATCAAAAATTCATTTGTTTTTCTTGTGGTTTACCATCATTGTCACTAATGGATGAGAATTTGTAGTTGAAGAACAGGTGACTAGAGCTAACTGGACTATGTACATGTCGCTAAGGATGTTCCATGCCAAAGTGGGGATGTACATGTACCCATGCAGTTTTAACACTACATGTACATTTTGCCATGCTGTGATAAACGGAATATGCAAATTTGGATTTTAAATATTATGGTTGGATTATTAAGTAAGAAAATTATTCCACCTTGCCCAATATTATTTTAACTTTTGAATTACTAGAAAGTGAAGTGAGATTGGTAGCACTTGTATTAACAGTGAATGCATCGCTGCAAATAGACAAAAATGGCAAGAAAAAGTGTTGGTTGATTTTGGAGGATGCATTGTGTTGAGTTTGTAGGCTGTACCCAGCATTGTTTATGTTCAGCCATGCATAATTGAGCCCTGCATTATGCTCGATATCATCCGCACTGCCTCAACCTATCAACAAATTGGAGGATTTTGAAGGATCGAGGCAACGGTCCCCCGATCCACTGAACAAATTCAAGAAACAACGGATGATTTTGGAGGATTGAGGCTTAATATAATTTTTACATGATGGCAGTTGGAGAATTTTGCAGGATCAAGGATCATTGGTGGTTGTTGCTGTTGAGCGCCATGATCTAGAATGTCGCTATAGGAATCCTGTTTATTATTATTCCTAGCCAAAAAAATTCAAAAGGGAGGAATGCAAAATGAAAGAAGCAGTAACTCTAGGTTGAATTCTGACCCGAGGTACCCTGTAAACTTTGTAAAACCTCAAGATAAACCTTAACCCTAACCCCCTAGGCCCTCTGGCTAGGATGCAACCTCAATCCTGCAAAATCCTCCAATTGCCACCAAGAAAAAAATCAGATTCAGCCTCAATCCTCCAAAATCATTGTTATTTCTTGAATTTAGTTTGTGGAGGGTGACCACTGCCTCAATCCTCCAAAATCCTCTGCCAATTACTGCAATGGTTTGAGGCAGTACGAATGGCATTTAGAAGCAGTGCGGATGAAATACAAGAAAAACACAGGGCTGATTTATGCATGGCTGAATATAACCAATGCAGGATATGGCCTACTGGCTTGACATAATGCATCCTCCTCAAAAAAGCGATACATCTTTGTCATTCATCCTCATTCCTCTAAAATCATCCAAAACAGGCAGGAGGATTTTGGAGGATTGGGGGTTAGGGTTAAGATTATCCTTGAGTTACATGTTCAGCCTGTTTAACCCTAACCCCCTAGGCCCTTGTTGCTTACAACCATCCTCAATCCTCCAAAATCCTCCAAAATTTTCCAAAATTTTGCAACTCCACCTAAATTTTTCAAAATTGTCAGACAGTCCTGCCTCAAAATGCATTCATCCTCAATCCTCCAAAATCCTCCTCATCCCAAAACTTTGCACTCGTGTTTAAATGAAGGATAACCAACGCCAAATCCTTCAAAATCATCAGACAGTCCTGCCTCAAAATGCATTCATCCTCAATCCTCCAAAATCCTCTTGTGCTTCAATCACCATTCATCCTCAATCCTCCAAAATCCTCATGTGCTTCAATCACCATTCATCCTCAATCCTCCAGAATCCTCATTTGATTCAATCACCATTCATCCTCAATCCTCTAGAATCCTCCAAAACCGCCAGGAGGATTTTGGAGGAGTGAGGTGGGTTAGGGTTAATGTCGCATTTCCCCTCACGAAAAAAAAAATGCATAATTTTAATTTACTCTAGGAATGCTATAATTTTAATGTATACACGCATGTGTGTTTCAATAAAGGTATCCAAGTGTGACAAATGAGTTACAAATATCTGAATCCATTTTATTCAAATTCAATTGATTCACTAAATGCCAAGTTCTTATGTTTTCTAACCCATCAAACTGGACACTGGTATGCCTAACATGTTTACAAAAGGCGTGTCAGAAGGTATCCGACTATGTTACATCAAAGTTTTTACAAGAATCAGTTTTACATGAAGATGTTGCAAAATTGCAGAAACTTGTGTACCAACCTGAAGGAAAAACTTTTTAAGATAAGGATCCGTGGCAGGAAAATGAATACTTGTATGAAACTCATGCACTCGCAGCCATCCATTGACAAAAAAAAGGAAAGGGGGATGGGTGAAAATGTATTTATGAAAAATTTAACACCTGATTTGAAGGTTTTTTTTTAAACATCTGATTTTTTTTACTTGTTTCCAAAATGTAGGGTTATTTTGGAAAGAATATTGGTGCTTCAATGTTGCATGATTGGGTCCAACACCAGCACTATAAGCCCTAAGTTTATTTCTTGTTATTCGAAAACACAAACATCAAATAATCCTCTCAATGTGCACATTCCGAGCACTTGGCGTACCACCAGTTAGTATTCAAACTGTAGATGTCTACAAAAAAAACGTTCACGAAAACATCAAATAATCCAACGGATTGGACATTCCAAGTGCTTGCCATCAGTGGTTCGTATTTTAAATGACAGAAGTTAGAGATTGTTAAAAATCTCTGCAGATGCTGGTTCAATGCTGGCACTACAAAGCCTCTGGCTTGGTTCCTTGATTGACAACAACATCAAATGAATCTTAACAAGCCCAGGGTGTACCATCGGTACAGTATTCCAATCGCTATGCTTCCATAGCAACAGGTATCCCGCCTGACTCTGTCCTCTCAGTGGGAATTTCAACCTCAGCCGAGTCTTCCTGAGCATCGGCATCGACAGACTGCGACGCGGCCAGCACCGTGTCCAACATCCCCTTGATCTCCAGCAGTGTCCGGTGGTACTGCAGTTCCTTGTCCAGGGTTATCTTGAGTCGCCGGAAGTGACTGACGAGCTCGTCCGAGTCGCCAATGACAGGGGTGTAAATATCTGGGAAGATCCAAGTGGGTTGAAGCATATTGCAACTGGTGTACAACCTACATTTATGCTGCACTTGATGCAAAGTCTTAAAACACTCGGCCTTGAGACCTCTCGAACAGAGATTTGATATGAGTTTATTCAACGAATCACATCTGTCAACAAAGCACTGAAGATCAATGATAACAGACATTGTAATGGCGCTAGCTTTGCGAGAAATAACATTGTTGGCACAACATATAAATTTTAAAAAAGGAATGCAGTGTACCAAAATCAGTCTTCAAATGTACGCAAACTAGTCTTCATAACTGTTTAACCCTGCCAAGTTACGTTAGAGGTGGATATAGGACATTTAAAGGGAAGGGTGGCCAAGGTGGTGAATTCCAATATTGTTGAGGGGAGGCAGGTGGCAAGATACCACAAGAGCGAGACAAGACAAGTACCATTAAAGGGAAGATACAAAATTTGCAAACATCACAAAACGAAATGATCAAATTATCACGAAATACCCAACTGGATTGTTAGGGAATTACAGTCTAAAGCATCCTGTAAAATCGTGGCTGCTGGCGTGTTGACAGTTTCAAGAAAAATGTTATTTTTCCAACGCTAGTCGGCCGACCAGCGTTGGAGAAAACTGGCTTTTATTCAAAAACTGCTCCTAATTTTGCTAATAAGTTATTCTGCATTTTATTTTCAAGTGATTACACACCTGTGAAGGGGTACAAGCCTTCTAGACTGATTCTCTGACCTTACAATACCCAAAAGTCTATAAATTGCTCTGATTCATCTTAAGTGGGGTCAGGGAACCAGACTACAAGAACATGATTGGTTTTCTTCCAGCATCTACAAACCCAAAACATGGAACAAGTCATTTTAACAACTTTTGCTATAACATAATGATGCTCGAAATTCATTTATTTCTGAAAATTGCAGCAAAAGCAAATGTTGTACATTCCCTTTAAGGCCAGTTCATACTTAATGCAAAAGTCGGTGCAAAGCGAATTCGTTAAGGTAACAGGGAACATCACAAACTCACAATGAAACTTCAATTGTTAACGTGAAATTCACTTCACTTTATTTTCACATAAAGTATGAACAGGCCTTTAGACCAACCTTACTAGTCAAATTCATCCTTTAAAAATTGATAATTAAAAAGAAACACAAGCTATCTAATTTCAAGTGCCTTACTCACCTAGTAACATGTTTGTGATGTCGATCACCGTGGCGGCATAGTTTGGATTGGTGATGTGCTTCTTCAGGAAGGCAATCATAATGCGTAGCCACTTCTCATCCCGTCCTGAGAGGGCGCTCTTTACGACGCCCCTGCGTATCAACTCCTGCAGTATGCTGACTGTCACCTCTGGCGTTCGAATTCTGACATTGGTCTAAACAAATAATGTAGACATGCACACAAAAAGGTACAGTTTCATGTTAGTTGCTTCTCTATGTGCTCTGTGTGCAAATAAGATAACTTTGATAAGGTCACTTTTTTACCACGTTTGAGAGCCCAGTGAACGGGACACACAACGTGCGCACACTGGTATATTCTGAATGTGCACAAACCTATGGCATCTTGGCGTGCATGTCAGACGTCGTGGGCAATTCATTCGAATGTCTCTCCCAGTGGTCTCCCCCAACTCTCCCTTTCTTACCGTTGAGGGGGTACTTGTGCACAGAGCCCATAAAATTGTCATCGGCACCATGTACTGACACCCAGTTGCGCATGAGTGCGCTGCACGCGCGCGTATTTTACAGAACCGGGATATTTTGGGTTTCACGAACTGACATCATCCACAGTGCGGCACTTTTAGAGCGCACCCCGTACATTTTCGGCTTCACGAACTGACACCAACCTTCATTTCACCAATTAAAATGGTATTTAATTAAATTTGTGTGTAAGCACATAAGTATACGGATGGATTAAATTTGTGTTTTTCTCGTGAAAACGAAAATCTTCCTATTTGGCGTCAGTGTCTGATGTGTGCGTGCACTACTGGGTGTCAGTTCGTGAAACCGAAATTGTTGATTTCGTTGTTTTCAGGAACTGACACCCACTTGCACGCGAGTGTCAATTCGTGGTGCCGTTGACAAAATGTGCTCCCGACACGGATAGCCTTATTTGGGAACTCAGTGTCTGAAATTGGCTTGTACAGAATCAATCCTCTTAAAAAGGAGAGTCACGATTCTGATTTTTAGTTTGGAATGGAAGTCTAGTCACATTGTCAAACTTAAAATACCCTTTCCCAACGTGGGGCACATGGAGAGGGGAATAGAAAACACAGCAGCGGGTACGTTTATTAAATTATTCTGTTTGATTGTATTTTCTACGAGGACAAAAAACTTTGTTACAAAGCGCATCTACAAGCAAAGGCTACATCCGAATCACTTAGCCACAGCCAACAGCAACACACGTGTCTATAGGAAGTGGCTCTGGCTACCTCATTAGTCCTACATATCATTGCAAGCCGTAGCCAAGTCATTCTGACGCGGCTAACATCTGGGACATGATGCCATGCTTACCGTCAGTGCTGCATCCAGAGCTTTGGAGTGCTCAAACCGTTTCAGCATTGCGTCGTACTTCTGAAGGATTTCCCTGGGTGTCTTATGGATCAGGAGGTCTCCCTGCAATCAACACAGGAACAAAACTCACAGAAGTATAAAGGATATCATACCTTGAAAGGAAATGTGTCTTTACTGTACAATTAGTTTTATTATGTGTACAGGGCCTGTAATAGCAGTTTCGTTGTCGGTGCGGCTACCTGTATAAATGAAACAGCAAATACACAAACTTGGATCCAAGCAACACACATACTGTATTCTTGATTCGAAGTTGTAGGGACCACTTCTGGAATAGGTTTTGTGGAGACCAAGAACATTGTGGGACATTCAAAAATTCCCAACAACTCAGTCTCAATTTTCCTAGCATAAAACTTCCGTCCCAGCTGGGGCAGATATGCTATGTGTACTTGACGTGCAATATGTGTTCAATTGGTTCATAATAAGCACAAAAGTTCAACTGGTTCCCTTACTTTCTGTGCTGTGTAGACTTTATGACCTCTGTCGTAGTACCGGTGAGACACTCGACTGAGTTTGGTCTTTCTCCTTGTTTTCTCGCTTTCATCAGTTTCTGGTTTCCTGTGCCTGATGGATACTAGGCCTGAAGACATGCCGACTACGATTGTGTTGTCTGTTGGCTAAAGAAAGAAAAACCCATTTCCTTTCAAAGAGAGATCTATTTGTGATTATTTTCTTAAAGTGGAATTAATACGGACAGACATCATGGATAAAACCCTCTCACTGTGGACAAATCTATGTTCCTCTGCGCGTGAGTAGATACTCTTGTATATCATATTTTTACTTTCATTGTCACTGAACTTAATAACGAAATCTGTCACCAGTTGGACGCTCTGTTCTTAACATGAAGGGGAGTGAATTATTTTGGGAGGAAGGTATTGGATGTGAAATTGATTCCAAAGACTAACTGGAGAAATACAAAAAACTATTACAACATGACACTTCTGTTGTGGACAGGATTTTAGAAGTCAGAGGGAACAGACCAGGGCCAAAATTTCACGGCTCTGCTAACCCCTTCTTCTGTGCTAATCCTTACTTTTCCTACGGACATGCTATTCGCACAAAATCCTTGTGTGATGGCTGTACACGTATCAAGAGACAGAATTCCTTTCTAATATGTGAAATTATACATTACAGATTTTCTCCTTTAGTCAAAAGAGATTCCTTATGGTAAACACAGACTTGAAACTGGGCCCTTGTGTGGGGGACAGAGTAAAGTTCCCCCAGAACTTTGTTACAGTTTTGCCACAGAACCTAGGTTGTTTTCTTACCGAAACTCCCATTGACAGAATTGGTGCTGGGTAGTCCAGACTGGCAACCAGTTTATAGGAAGCCACGTCGTACACCTTGACATGCCTGCAAAGTTGAAAAGTATCAAATAACTCAGCCTACACAATGACAGGAAGCAGACGAACATTGCTTAAATTTTGAGAGGGGGGGTTGCAAGAAATTATCAAAAAATCCAGATGTCATGAAATTAGGGTGCTGGGCATCTTTGCACATTTGATTGACAGTAGCATTAAAGAAATTGAATTAATGACAAGCACAACTCAAACAACTCAGCCTACACAATCACAGAAACTCAGGCATGCAACTGGGTGTAACCAAAAAGAGAGGAAATTTCTAAGTTTTACAAGACTTTATACAGTGTTTTTTCAATTTTGAATGGCATAAGTGTGCAGTGAAAAGCGAGGAAATCAGCCGATCCGAGGAAAAGTTGCATGCCTGAGAAAGTAGAAGAACATTCCCTTAAGTTTGAAGGGGGGGGTGCAAGAAATTATTTACAATCCAGATGTCATGAAATTAGAGTGCTGGGCATCATTGCACACGTGAGCTACAGTAGCATTAAAGAAATTGAATTAATGACAAGCACAACTCGAACAACTCAGCCTAAACAATGACAGAAAGTAGAAGAACATTCCTTTAAGTTTGAGGAGGAGAGTTGCAAGAAACTATTCAAAATCCAGATGTCATGAAAATTAGAGTGCCGGGCATCATTGCACACTTGAGTGACAGTAGTGAATTAATGACAAAAACAAAATCATTTTTGCTCATGGTAAGACCTTACCTATCAATTGATGCAGTGAGTAGTCTGTTGTGAGCGCCATTGAAGCACATGCATGTGATTGTTTTGTGGTGATTGCTGACGGCAGCTAGGAGTTTACCCCCTGCAAGAGCATCCCACACCTTGACGTAGTTCCCACCTACTCAACAAGGAAAAGAATTTCATAACTGTTAACGACTGGTAAATTATTATTCTGGGGACAAATAAGTTCAGCATTTAGAATATTAGCACATAAAGTTTGCCGGTCTGAAACCAAATTCTAATTGCTCTAAAAAGTACATTTGGGGTTGGTTTGTCTCTGAAGCGTCAGTCTGAAATGGGTGCTACTCACAAATTGACTGGGTTCACAAGAAGTGAACAAAAGAACTATAGGCCTTTTCACACTATCGTCTCACCTACACATATAGGGATCAACACGGGTCCATCTTGAGCAGAACCGGGTCCCAGCGAGCATGGATCGGCAAGGCCTACTGTTCACACTAACACAAGGTTGAGTGCAGGCCGGCTTTAGAATTTAGATTTTTTTTTGTACCCGGGTAGAGCCTCTTAACCCTGGTCTCCACCAGGGTTGGAGTTAACCTGTGTAGTGTTCCCCGGACGTGTGTAGAAGCCGTGTTGGATTCTAGCCAGTGTGAAAGGGGTTTCTGAAATTTCCATGTTGGACCCGGGTCCAATACAGAGATTTGGATAGTATGAAAGGTCCTTAGTTGTCACAGAGGTGACAACTATTAGTTCGAAAACTATTCACCCAGCCACGGGCTTGGCTGCGGCTCAATCAGTTCAGCGTGCGCACCTGTTTGGCCTATATATATGCAGCGCGCAATTTAACAAATTCAAAGTAGTTCCGAAGCAAACTCTCTGATTTGTTAAAGTACAATAAAAGATGCAGCAAGATATTTGTGCAACTTCACTGGTCAGCTCTTTTATGTGTAGTATGTGTGGGACTAAAAATCGACCGTAATTGCCTGCAGAAGTTGCGCATGCGCGCTAGTTAGTTTCCCCTATTTTTCGGGGGGAGATTTTAGGAGATGCTCAGACCTTGCTACTGACAAGTCCGTGTGCGATATTAGTTGGTTGTGATAGCGCCCTCTCGTGATGGCAGATTATCACAGCAGCGGGTAATCGCGTATCAAACCATGCAACGTCTAGCCCCTAGACTATATCTGATGTAGCAACAGGTACCAAAATCAATCATAATCTTGTACGACAGAATTGTCACAAATATTACGTCTGTAAAAGGAAAATCCAAATCATGAAATCAGATCTAACCTGAAGACAAAAACATTCCCCCTCCAGGGAACATGAGCACGCTCTCCACGGGATGCCCGTGGTCCAGCGTCATGACGCTGGCCTGCGTCCTCAGGTCAAACAGCTTCACTTTGTGGTCGTAGGAGCCGGTCAGCCAGATATCCTTACTGGCTGCGCTGACCGTTCCGCATCGGACATAATCGGTGTGTTCCTCGTATCGTCTCGTCTCCGTCTCGCTAGGGATGTCCCAGCACCGGACTGACTTGTCGTCCGAGCAGGACATGACGTGATGATTGTCTGTGCTGAACTTGGTCACATGGACAGGGCTTAAGAGAAATAATAAAAGAGAACGAAAATCCTGTAGTTAAACTTTGTAGGATGGCATTTGCTTTCTGAAGCAAACTATGAAAATGCATGTTTCAGTTGACAGCAGCAACTCTGCTGATCTAGCAGGAAAGCATGTTAGCAGCTTAAAGGCATATACACAGTGTAGGATCGTTTGCTTTTCCTGCATTTTGTTCGTTTCCAATAACACCACCAATCAAATTCCAAAGAAGAATGCTCAACACCTAACCTGTTTTTGAGAAAACATTGAAAAAGCACGCACAACCTCTTGATCAGGAAACACAATTTCGTTGACTGACTGAGCATTGGAAATCACCTACATTTCTTCCACATGTAAATGACAGCAAGCCAGATAGAGTAATTTCACGGGGTGTTTAGTGCCAGTACGCTCTTTAATCCAAGTAAGCTTTTGATATTAATTTGGTACATTACTTTTGGGATAAATGCAAATGATCCTACATACTTTTAAATCAACAGAGCACCTTTTTTTTACGAAAATAAACAAATAAAATGTCAGAAAGAGGCAACTTGCAGCATCTCTTCACACACTTAAAACACCCTAACTCCCTAGTTTTTTTCAATAGGAGCCTTCCCAAATACTCCAAAATCCTCCACTCTGCAAACAAACCAATAGCATGTTCTTTGTGTAATTTAACTTTAACGAGGCATGAGGCTGAATACCAATTAATTGAGCCTAGAGTCGTCTACCTTCTCGTAATCCTACAAAATCATTCAAACACTTCCTGGTGGATTTTGGAGGATCTGGGAAGGTCATCTGTTAAATTCAATGGAATGCAGGGCTTGTGCATGTGCTTCTCATGTGCATCAATCTCGATCAGTGCATGCATGTTTACTGCATAAAAAAAACCCACACCGTTGAATTTTGTTCACTCTTGCGTGACAGGTGACAAAAAGATTTTAACTCTCCCCCTGGACCCCTCTCAAATACAACCTACCCATTGTGTCCCTTGAATATCCTCAACACAGCCTTTCCGCTGACGTCAAACAGTCGGATGGATTTCTCCTCTCCCCCGGCAACCAACAGCTTACCGTCGGCTCGGTATGTGCCGCTGTAAGCAACATCTTGAAATCTGGAGATGGTCTTCTCCACTTGGTTTGTGACGGGATCAAAGATTTGTACCTGTTTGGAAGATAGAGATGAGGGAAGGACAGTAAAGTTTAAACATCAAGCCATTGGTTGTTGAAGACTTGAAGTTATGTTGTGTTCCTCAGAATGAGGGTTTACACTTTGCCATACTTTGGATACACAGTGGTCTCACCACAAATGCAACTACCGTGACTACAATAACTGAGAATACCGTGACTACAATAACTGAGAATTACCTCTGACACAAAAAAGTTGTGCCACGCTTCAAAACTATCTATCGCATTCCAACTTGAGCAATCAGCATGCTGCAACAATTGGATTTAAATTTGAAACTTGGACAAAATCTTTTAATAAGGTTTCAGATGGAATGAATGCCTGACGTTAGTACACAGCTACAACGACCCAGTGATAAAAACTAGGTATTACAACCCCCCATGCAAACATACATTCTGTGCTAAGTTGTCCTTTCAGTCAAAATCAATCAAGTGACTGTTCTCAACAGTCAAGAGCTCCCAGCCTACATAAAGCAGGATTAACTGGCTGTGACTGTTTATGTAACTTGATACAGCTATGCCAAAACTGTAGGTGATTGATAAGCCATCTGTGACTACCACTTGTCTGCTTCTGTCTGTTGACTGTATTTGACCAGTCGCAGTGCTTGCTTGAAATATATATGACTGTTGGAGACTAGCCTGTGTAAAAGGCATGGCAGGGGAAGAGGATTGATTTTGTGACTGTCTGTGACTGTTCAGATAGCAGGAGGATTATTAACATCAGGGACTCTCGACAATGATGGCATACCCTTGTTGAGCTGGTGACAGCAAACTGATGAGGCTTCCTCGGGTTGAAGTCAATGCAGGTGACTGCTCCGAACTCTTTGACTGTCACTGGGAACTGAAATACAAATATAACCCAAGCTAATGTTAAAATGTTGATTGACATGCAATACTGACAGACCATGGACAGACCAACAAAATGATTACACTTACAGAAAAATCATGAATGAAGCTGCTCAATGCACCAGAACATGTATTGAACAAGATGGACCTCAATACTGCACAGGATTAGAGTTCTGTGGAGAGTGGGGGCAATAAATTCACATTTGAGAATCAGCAAATGTACACAACTGCAGACTCAAAATGTGTATAAATGCAAACTTATATTTTGAGCAGAGTGGAATGGACTGGAACTCAGAAGATCCATCCGGCTAGTGGTTACAGAAAAGAATACCATTCCCGTCACAAATGACCGATCATAAGGCTAAGTAAAAAAATGAACACGTTTACATGAAATCATGGATGAATAAAAACACATGAAATATAGACGTCTGAAAAAGAGGGGACTAATTTTCTATATCGCTTTAAAGAGAGCATGAGAGAGTGAGTGTGTTTCTAAAGTGAAAATAAACTACATATAAAGTCTAAATGTGAAAATGAAAACTTGACAAAGTCTACATGTTCGGGTACATCATGTACATGGTCCAAGAGTGGCCTTTATATACGGAGGTAGTCCGGTAAATTCGCCACATTTAAGGGGCTATTGTTGGGCATACATGTACATTTTGCACACAAGAAATCATGATCTGACATGTCTGATGATAATGTTTTCTAAATTCTATTAAATATTTTTTAAAATATAAAAAACATCCATCGAAACCATTTACACATTCAGTAAATTGCTTTACATACCTCAAAATTCTTCCAGTACTGTGTTTCTTTTGAAACGTCGGCGTCCCCACTTGGGAAGGTTTTGACTACAACTCTCTTGTAATCAGACGCCATGCTGCAAGTGCAGTGTACGTACGTGTACGACGCGGGGCCGGCCGCCGGCGCGGTGGGCCTTCGCGATCGTGCGTGTGTGGTGCACTAGGGAACTGCAAGTGCAACTGGAAATTAACTTTCGTCTTGAAGTTAAATTCACCTGTTCATCATCCCGATTTTCCTCTGCCAGGTTGTGGTTTTCCAGTTCTTTTGTAATAATTTATACACAAGAAAATGTGATCTTTCGGTTTTTTCCTCTTCTGTTTACTGATGTGATGTATGGAGAGGTACACACACGACACGAATGTACACGCACTGCATTTTGTGCACGTGGGCACGTGTCGTGTGTGTGTTGGGAAATTACGGAAATGGGTCAACTCGTACCCGAGTTAACTCGTACCCGAGTCAACTCGTACCCCAAAATTTGCACCCAAGTCAAGTCGTACCCGAGTGAAGTCGTACCCAGGTTAAGTCGTACCCGAGTCAACTCGTACCCAAGTTGACTCGTACCCAAGTTGACTCGTACCCGAGTCAACTCGTACCTCTAATAATTTACATACAATATTTTCCCCCAAAAAATCTGTGAAACGGAAATTCAGATGAGGGATTTTGCCGTGCCTGTAGTTGTGCGCGCACTCGCCGACAAAAACGGTGACATTTTTTTCGGGCTTGTGTCTGTCCGGCGTCGGTGCCTTGTTTTTGAAAGATTAATTTGTTCAGTCAGTGCGTGTGTGGAGTTTTAGTTTGACCATGGAGGAATATAGGGGATAATTTTCACACTTGAACTTTAATTATTTTCGATAAACCAAGCATACTTTTATCACTGTATTTATATTTTTATTTTCTACAGACGATCCTGTGGTTTTCGATGAATCATTTGACTGTGCTGCTCGAAACGACTGATCAGACTATGTCTGCAGTCCATCTTCCACGAATCGATGTCGAATTTTTAAGACGATTAGCATTTGTTTAAAGATAAAGCTGTTGTTTACCATATCTTTTCATTATGACGACTTTCTTGATGCCACGAAAGTGGACAAATAATTTTTAAAATCCTTAATTTCTTTTAGCAACCCAATACGGTAGTTGAGATGATTTCTGATGAGATGAAGCATTATTATATATATATTGGACCTGCAAACTATTATTTAGGACTTACCATATATTTAATATTTTTAGTGAGCTTATCGCAAAACCTTATTGGAGATTTCTCTAAGCCGTATACTGTACCGAATTAATTGTAAATTAATTGCAAAGGAATGAAGAAACATTAATAAATGAAGAAACATTATAAATGTAACAACGGCGTCTGTACTGTGTGACTCTTTATAAGTTTCGTGTGGCTTATTTTCTCTTCAGATTGGATGTACCGTACGCCAATTGCATAAAGTTAGTTTTCAGTTCAAGTGAGGTAGGCCTATGTGAATAAGGTTCCGATGATTTGGGTCGAGGCAGTAGAAGTTCGCTTTGAATTTATTTGCGGCCGTAGTATGCCTTACCTTCAGGGCTGGGGATGTCAACCTTCGAGAGGATCCAAGCTTGGTATTGTTGCTCCACCAAGCGAAACTTTCTAGCGCACGCCACGTGCAGCATCAAGATCATTGTGGCGGCACTTGAAAGCCGCACTGCGGTCAAGTCTGCCGCTCAGTTATTGAAAGCGGCTTCAATGTCGTTTCTTTTGAAACTGACTCGAGACCTAATTGGTTGGAGGGAAAATGGCACTGAATCCTTCCAACTTCTATAAAAGTCCCCGAGACTATGCATTTTTCACTCATAATCGAGACTAGACATTGTCAAGTGCCGATATTACGAGATCATCAGCGTACGTGTCAAGATTCAAGTCGAGACTCATCTATCATGGCTTCAAGGTATCCTTGTATTGAATGTGGACAGGCTGTCCGAAGTGCCCATCAAGCCTTCAAGTGTGACCAGTGCGACCAGTGGCAACATCTGCAGTGCAATTCTGGTTTCACGCCAGAAGAGTACCGCCGGATTGTTGCCGACCCTGACCTTCTGGAGGTTTGGGTTTGCGGAATTTGTGCTGGCCACCAAGCGCCACCGTCTCCATTCCTGGAAGAGCCGATGGAGTTTGACATTGCGTCAGACTTCGTAGTACCCGACCCACCCGAAGAAGACCCTCTGCCCAGCCCCACCCTACCTGACGATATTGCTGACCTCGGTGATCAGGATACGGTCACCTTCAAGGTTGTGGAAGGTGGGTCCCAACGTGGGAAATCCATCCTCGTCGACAGCCATGGCTACAGCTACAACCAGAAGTGGAGAAAGGCCGGTTCGTCATCGTCAGCCATCACGTGGCTGTGCAGCGTCCGGAGTCGCGCCACCAGATGTCAAGTCTCCGTACGTCAGGATTTGTAAAACGATTAGTATATATTAAAAGAAAAATCACAACGTTGAAAAAACATTAGAGCCAGTTTGCAATAATATAGATTGGTAAAAAGATTAGTATTTAAATCAGAGAAGATAAATAAAAACCATGCACTTAAAAACGCATGCCCAAAAGAAAAATCCTTGATCATTGATATTGAAATTATATAGACTGGGAATCGAAGCTGAAGCGCTGTGCCATGTGCTGTTAGTATTCATTAAATAATAAATTGGTACAACAATTAAAGAAAAAAAAATAACAACGTGTAATAAACAGTTAGGAATAATATCATACGATCATAGAAGGTAAACGAAAACCATGCATTTAAAAAAGGCATGCCCAAAAGAAAAATCCAATCGATATTGAAATAATAAAGACCGGGAATCGAAGCTGAAGCTCTACCAACAGGTGTGGCAACGCTACCAGGTGGGGGAGCTCAAGACATCAAGTCCAGCTTACTTGCAGCCTGCAAGCACCTGACCGGGCCGGCGTTGTAGACAGCCAGACGTCAACATGACACAACATCCCGGGCCAACCCATCATTAACCCAAATGGCACTTTTCAGGGCCGCCCCATCTTCCAAGAAGAGATATGTGCCATGAGCTGTTAGTATTCAATAAAGTCTTGAATAATAAATTGGTAAAACGATTAGTATAAAAAAAAACTTAAAAAAATATTAGAGCAAGTTTGCCATAATATTCAAAGTGCAGTATTTTTCAAAAAAATAACTGAACGTTAAAAAAATGTTATCATGTTATCATTACATGTATATTAAAACAAATGTATATTAAAACAAAGTGGTAAATAAATTGGTATAATGAAAACCATACCCTTTAAAAAAAGCCTACCAAAAAAATTAAAGGAATGTAGACCACACTGTCGCACAAACTTGATCCAGTCTCTGAAAAAAATATTAATATCAATCAATCATTAAAATTTCAACCATAAATGTAAGGTGTTCGTGCTTGCGATCTGAATGAAAATATACATTTACCGTTCATCAGCGCCGTCACGAGAACTGTGCCACCGTTCTCTAGACTAAACGGTCGTCAATTTCACTTTTCACTTTTCAAGCCGATCGTGAGTTAACATTAGATACCACTACCTTACCCTCGTACTTTAATTGCATATCTTGTGCCAGAACTACTAAGTCTATCACTAGATCATTACGTGTAAATTTAATTTCGTTTTTTTCATCAAAAAAGAAAGAGGTACGAGTTGACTCGGGTACGAGTCAACTCGGGTACGAGTTGACTTGGGTACGAGTCAACTCGGGTACGAGTTGACTTGGGTACGAGTTAACTCGGGTACGAGTTGACTCGGGTACGAGTCAACTCGGGTACGAGTTGACTTGGGTACGAGTTGACTCGGGTACGAGTTGACCCAAAATCGTGTGTTGTGCCCATTCTTGAAAATCACGCATTCTCGAGAATGGGCATGCACATTCTCGAGAATGGGCACGCATTCTTAAGAATGAGCGCCCATTCTTAAGAACGAGCACGCGTTCTTAAGAATGAGCGCTCATTCTTAAGATTGGGTGGGAATATCACGTGCACAATTTATGAATTTTGCCCAATCTTAACAAACATTGCACGACATAATTATGTTAAATGAATTGTATAGCGGTTAAAAGGGGAAACAATTCATATAAAGAGGAAAGAAAATGTGCTATGCTTCTGTACTCGTATAACTACGATAATTTGAATCAAATTAAACCTGTTATTATTGCTTTTTTCTGCCCACTATGGGAAGTTTTGTAATAACGGAGGACTGGGAACTAGTCTGGGAAGTGCTTTGTTTAGGCTAGACAAGTTACAAGTCCCTGCATGTATCATATGCGTGCCACGAAAAAAAAACGATGTCCAGAAGCTGCCAAAATTGCTCTTTTGACTAGATAGAATCCAGCTCTGCGACGTTATGGTGGGATGTGAACAATAAATTGGTGGCAATTTAAATGGGAAATAGCATTAGCACTATGGGATGTCGCAGTATTCATTCTCATTCTTCACATTCTTCATTCTTACGTCCCCCCCCCCCCGCTTTTATTATCCCAAAAATCAGAATTCTTTGCACTAGTATTATTATATTATGTCTCTTATATTTTCCCGGTCCCCCCCCCCCATATTAATACGCCTTTACTTATCATATCCACTCTACTTTTCAGCGCCTTGCGTTGCAACAGTATAATTATTGAGAATCAGTGAACGAGGATTCAGCTAGACTTGCCAAGCGCAGCCGGTGCTCGGCATCAACAAGACCGTTATCTTGTCGCGCATTCTCGAGAATGTGCGCTCAATCTGGAAGAGTTATTTTTTGCCAAGATTGAGCAAGGATCCAGTTGCACATTCTCAAGAATGTGCATGCCCATTCTCGAGAATGCGTGGTTTTCAAGAATGGGCACAACATGTGCATGCATGACATACACGCGCTCTGCCCTTTCCTGCGCGTGCGTAGTGCGTGGAAAGTTCTTGCTCAAAATGGCGTCTTTTCTGCAGCTAAATCATGTCGTATCGTTGACTAGCCTTTTCACCCTTCCTGCAAAATTGCATGCATTTAACAAATTAACTCATGTGTAATAATAAAGTGTAAAGTTTAAGTAACTGATTGATTGTAAATTAAACCAGAGAAAGCCTAAGATATTGCAAAATTAGGTGATATTACGACTGACGTTACTGCGAACCGAGGCCTCACAGAAATCGAAATCAAAATGGCGGACCTGAATGTGGACAGTCTGAAGCGCAAATTTCAGGCGCTAAACAGCACACAGGACAGCATCCAGACGCTTTCTTTGTGGATAATCCACCACAAGAATCATTACAGACAAATAATTGAGCTGTGGATGGAACATCTAAAGGAAGGTAAGAAAGAAAACATGAGTCTGGTTCTGGTCAAACTGCAAGCGAACTGGCATGACTGGCGAATGTTGGTCAACTTGCCCAATCTCTTTGCCATGCTTGCCGGCCGGCTAAATGCGCCCTTTGCAAACTCGCCCAAAGTGACCGACTCTGAAACTGTTTCCAGTTCCTGGTCAACTCGCCCCCTTTTTACCACTTTTAATAGGCTGGGATTTTGGAAAGAATGTTGCATTCTGACGCCACTATTTTCATCATATATTATCTCAATGAATGTCGGACACTTCGCCCCATTTCCACGTCGCCCCATGTCACTTCGCCCCTAACCACTTCGCCCCATCCCCACTTCGCCCCATCCCCACATCGCCCCATCCCCACTTCGCCCCATTCCCACTTCGCCCCATCCCCACTTCGCCCCAGCCGTTACATGTAAAAAAAAATCTCATCTATTTGTTTGGCTTAAAAAACAATTTCAACAGATTCACTAATTGCTAACCAACGGAAAGAATTAGCCCATCACCAAATGAACAATTCATAACCAACCTCTCAAGCTAGGCTCTCCCCTACCGAGAAAAAAGCTTGAAGTAAAAGATCCAACTTTGTTCGCAACCCGGCTATACCAAATGAACCCGTCTCCCACTTATCTGAGAACGACAATACCTTTGACATCCTAATTTCACTCTTGGAGGAACCAATCTCATCTAAATGAAGTTGTAAGTGTCACATATCAGACAAATTTTGACGGAACATTTTCCTCAGCTCAAGGCAGTGAGTTCCTGTTAACTCACTGACCCATACCTACGGATTCTTTTGAATCCAGCGGCTGATGATTTTATTCACAAGCCAATAGGAGAGGCGTCTCTGAATGGGATAGAGCCATCATTTCTCTCATCTGTGTCTCGAGCACCTCATCAGAGAGTTTGTATTTTTCCTAAGTTTCTAGAATTGGGAGCATTTATTATCTGGGGTCTTTGGCAGTTTATTTGGTCTGACTCCTAGCCTTCACCTTTTTCATACTACATGGGGCGAAGTGGGAATGGGGCGAAGTGGGGATGGGGCGAAGCGGGGATGGGGCGAAGTGGGGATGGGGCGAAGCGGAGATGGGGCGATGTGGGGATGGGGCGAAGTGGGGATGGGGCGAAGTGGTTAGGGGCGAAGTGACATGGGGCGACGTGGAAATGGGGCGAAGCGTCTGACACCCATCTCAATGAATTATGAAGGTCAATCATTGCAAAAATGTTGAAAAGACACAAAATCTGGGCAATGCTGGGACTGAGAAACCATTCCAATTTTGTTAGAAAATACTTTGAAAATGCACTCGACTCTCCATAGACTTTGTACACAACCAAAGAAGTGGCGTCTGGTTACCCAGTACTACATTGTTGTCTCCAATTTTATTTTCATTTGAGTGTTTGGTTGTTCTATTCTATTGTTTTCAGGTGGACTCAATAATCTCAATTATTTCAAAACATTTATTGAATTATTTTGTTTGTCATGTAATGTTAAATATGTTTGTAGGCCTAAGTCTAGGCCTAAGTTTTTTTTAGTTTCAACTTAAGAGTTTAAGTAAAAATACCCATTACTGTATTATTTTGAGAGGTTGACAAAGTAATAACTAATATTAATAATAATTACTAAAGCTGTTTCAAAGCGCTCTCTACTGTGTGAATATGGTGAATATGTATGTTTTTAACAGAGTTTTGAAAGAGTTCATCGAGGTAAACATTGTAAGCTTTTATTTTTTATGGTTGTTGTACTCCTGCAAGCTTTATTACGTTTCTAGTTCTACTCTTTTTGTTAAGTACCGAATTTGAGGAATTTCACAGTACAGTGTGTTACCAATATTCTGTTGACCTATTCTTAACAAGTATCAAGATTATGGATTCTTTGTTCTCTACAGCTAAGGCCCCTATGCGTCTGACCCTGTTCTACCTAGCCAACGACATCATCCAGAACAGCAAGCGCAAAGGAGCCACTGTTTTCCTAGACAGTTTTGCCGAGGTGTTGGAAGAGGCAGCCACATTCTCTAGGTGAGGCTGCTCATCATTGGAAAGTGACAATTGTTCTGTGATATATACAGTTTGTCCCAAAACAGGTGTCCGTCTGACTGTTTTTAAAATAACTACAAAACCATGAGGTCAATTATGAAAATTGTTGGTTGTGCAGATACTCCTAAGCCTTGGGGTCAACCCCTATGAGTTTCATTTATTTTCAGTCACGCATCAATGCACAATTGTCAATTGATCACAATAACATTTTTTAACACTGTGACCAAGTTCCATGCCTTAATCCATTTCAGTGCTGTTTTATGTAAGCTTTGTAAAATCCTGCATGTTGTGAAAAAAAGGCTAATTTTGTTTGGGATTTGAATAATTTGCCCTTGAGCATTAAACTGAGGTCTTGCCACGATGACTGATAGCCAGGCAAATGATTCCAATCCCAACTGCAGCCCATTTCACAACATGCAGGATTTTACACAGCTTACATAACACGGCACTGAAATTGAATAAGGTAAGGAACTTGGTCACAGGGTCCAAAAATGTTGTTGTGATCAATTGACAATTGTGTAGTGATGCGTGACTGAAAATAAATGAAACTCATAGGGTTGAGGCCAAGGCTTAATAGTAACTGCACAACCAAAATTTTTTAAACTTGACCTCATGGTTTTGTAGTTATTTTAAAAATAGTCAGACTCAGACACTTTTTGGGGGACATACTTACAGGGGCCTTTGCACACACCTACAGTGGTGTATAGTACATGGTCTGATCCCTAGTCAAGCTGGACCAAAAAGTCTCAGTTGAGGACTCGGGGAGTCAGTCAGTCAGTCAGTCGATTTATCCGTCAGTAAGTGACTCAGTCAGTCAGAGGACAGTTGGATGTCCATAGATGGGTCTTGCAATAAGACTCTGAGAACATGGTTACAATCCAAGTGTATGAAGTGACGGATTGAGAACAGCTGGATTACATGCATTTTGATAAATTCATTAGAACACTGATTTTTCGTCACTTGCATGACAAAGTCTCTCTTCAAAAACACTCTTTTTTTAAGAATCCCTCGGTTTATTTTTTTTCAGGCAAAATGACTGACACAGGAGCCATCTACTCTTGTGCATGTACAGTTTGTCATGCTTCAGATTTCGTTTCTTAGTCTTTGTGACTTTTCCTTTTCCCAAATGCAGAGAAGAGAACATTCGGGAGAAAGTGTTGAGAATCTTCAAGATCTGGGGAGAGAGGGCCATCTACTCAGTGGAGTTTTGTGACAAGTTGCAAAAGGCAACAGGTATGGCCAGGTTGCATGTTGTTTATCTTTTCGCTTCAATGCTAAAAAAGGTTAAGAATTTTTAGTCTCTCTGACGATGTTATATGAAAAACCATTGTGTACTAAACTGTACCACAAAGTCACATTTTTAACAGATTCTGGCTGCATTGAAGATCAGAGATTCAGGAAGAGTCGCTTGTTACTGTTGTGCCCATTCTTGAAAATCACGCATTCTCGAGAATGGGCATGCACATTCTCGAGAATGGGCGCGCATTCTTAAGAATGAGCGCCCATTCTTAAGAACGAGCACGCGTTCTTAAGAATGAGCGCTCATTCTTAAGATTTGGTGGGAATATCACGTGCACAATTTATGAATTTTGCCCAATCTTAACAAACATTGCACGACATAATTATGTTAAATGAATTGTATAGCGGTTAAAAGGGAAACAATTCATATAAAGAGGAAAGAAAATGTGCTATGCTTCTGTACTCGTATAACTACGATAATTTGAATCAAATTAAACCTGTTATTATTGTTTTTTTCTGTCCACTATGGGAAGTTTTGTAATAACGGAGGACTGGGAACTAGTCTGGGAAGTGCTTTGTTTAGGCTAGACAAGTTACAAGTCCCTGCATGTATCATATGCGTGCCACGAAAAAAACCCGATGTCCAGAAGCTGCCAAAATTACTCTTTTGACTAGATAGAATCCAGCTCTGCGACGTTATGGTGGGATGTGAACAATAAATTGGTGGCAATTTAAATGGGAAATAGCATTAGCACTATGGGATGTCGCAGTATTCATTCTCATTCTTCACATTCTTCATTCTTACGTCCCCCCCCCCCCCGCTTTTATTATCCCACAAATCAGAATTCTTTGCACTAGTATTATTATGTCTCTTATATTTTCCCGGTCCCCCGCCCCCCCCCCCCCATATCAATACGCCTTTACTTATCATATCCACTCTACTTTTCAGCGCCTTGCGTTGCAACAGTATAATTATTGAGAATCAGTGAACGAGGATTTAGCTAGACTTGCCAAGCGCAGCCGGTGCTCGGCATCGACAAGACCGTTATCTTGTCGCGCATTCTCAAGAATGTGCGCTCAATCTGGAAGAGTTATTTTTTGCCAAGATTGAGCAAGGATCCAGTTGCACATTCTCGAGAATGTGCATGCCCATTCTCGAGAATGCGTGATTTTCAAGAATGGGCACAACATTACCATAGGTTGTGACAACTTGTTGAAGCACGGCAATCTTAGGATAACAGTGTTCATATATGAATTTGCTTTCATTAGATAACCCCTACATGTACCTCCCTAAGCTCTCTTGCCCAGAGCAGCCTGAATCCTCCAATATCCTCCCAACGGCAAAGAGCTAAAAACTCTAAGCACCTGAATCCTTCAAAATCATCCAATTGTTGTCGCTTGAGGCCTCTTCCCGGATCCTTCGAAATCCTCCACTGTTTTTGCTGGCATGTTATCATGTAGTCGGAATTTCAGTGCTCTTATGAGCTCATTAGCCTGTGTAACTTATTGAAATACTCATTGTCATCCTGTATTGTGGATTGGCAGTGCCAAGGCCCTAAATAGTAGGAGTAAAGCGGCTGTACAATAAACAGTGGTATATGCTGCATGCCTTCCCAAGTATACAAGCATAAAGCAAGTAACGACCTGAATTCTCCAAAATCATTTATTTGGCAAAACTAGCGAGAGCCTCAATCCTCCAATTTCATCCAGCATCAGATTGGGCCTGATGACCTGGATCCTCCATTATCCTCCAGAGGCAAAATCCTCTTATGCCTTCACTCCTGCAAATTCCTCCGATGCTTCAATTTTCAAAGGCCCTCAATCCTTCAAAAGTCTCCATTTTTGCAAGGAGGATTTTGGAGGATTGGACAATTAGGATTAAAAGAGACTCTGGGCTATTGAAACCTTTATATGATATTCTTTTATAGTCTCTCAGAAGCCAGCCAAAGCCAAGCCAAGACCAGATACAAAGCTGCTCGTGGACTTCAATGTAAGTATTACTGGGTTTTTTTTCTCTTTGGATCCTTCAGTAAATAAACGTGATGCAATTGCAATTTATTTGTTTGGGCTTACTTATCAAACAAAATTGACTCTTTAACAATGAATTTTGAGATATTTATGAATTTGTCAATTTGCAATCCGCTGGTCATCATAAAGGTCCTATCAATATATAAATGTAAACCTGACTTTAACGATGCTCAGAACTTGATCACAAGTTGTCGCAAGAACAATATATCTTTGGAGATCAGTTTTTGTGATCATTTCATTAGTTTTGGTAAAAGGTTGTAACTACTTGTACAGGTATTGCCCTTTTTTAACCGAGTTATTGGTTTCCTGTTTTTGTCATTCTCAGCATGAAGACGTGCCAGAGGTGATTGAGCAGCTGGCCAGGTTTGAAGGAGAAGTGGAACTCAAGTACAGACAGCTCGGTATGCTCAACGTGGACGTGGCTAGCACAGAGACCATCATGCAACTGAAAGGTGAAGGCAAATGTTCTTACACGTGAAAACATCCTCAGGAAAAGACCTGGACTCCCTGCATAAGTACATTCACAGCTGGAAAAACACAAAAAAGACATTTGAGTGCAATTACCACCATCCACCCACACACAGATATAGTATGTTCAGGCATACAACTCTATCTTGAATCGGCTGATTTCCTCGTTTTTTGGTTCCCATGCCTAAAAATTGTAAAACACTCTAAAAAGTCTTCTGAAGTCATGGAATTTCCTTTTTTTGTATGTGAACATATAGTTGCATCCCTTTATGTATTCTGAGTATCAACCGTTGTCCAACGTCTGATATATCTAAGCATGCAAATTTATGCGACCCCGCGTGCCAGCCACTCAGAGTCGACATAAAGGTCCATTCATTGCAAAATCTGGACTAAGCTGTTAATTGGTCAATTTGGATGCCATGTTTTTGTAATACAACAACAGGTGTAGGGATCTAGTCAAACCCGACATTGGCTTTCAAAACTGTAAGCAAAATGCTGCGCGTATAGAATACGCAAACGCTCATCGTGGGCGTGACGTGAAGGCGCAAGAGGGCAATCGCGTTAAGTGCATTATTTAAAATAGTATGTGATGATCATTCGAAGCCACAGGACATGAGCGCATCGCAAAGCATATCGTTACAGGCCGCGTGACGCAGCCTACTTTTGCTAACACAATTCACAGCGTAAAAGCATAATAGATGTTGTATCCAGGTTTTATTAGATACTCATGACAACGAGTTACCAAAGACCTGATATAGAAGGTGCCTGCTGAATGGACAGAACTTGAGGTCAAGACGCAGTCTAGTTGCATAATTAATCGCTGAATCTGCTTGCATATCATAGACCCTTTCTGTGCAAGGGGATATTCCATAGACTAGCCCATATGTTGCTCTCATGCAAAAAAAAGGGTGGAGGGGGGGGGGGGGGCAAGTGAAAAATTGGTCACACGTTCTCTATGTCATACGTATGTGCAAACCAGTGCCCGGAATGGTCACACAGCACCATTCAGTGTGTCTGAAGAATTCCATACAGACAGATGGACTTCCAACATATCTTAAGAACATGTTGACATGCGTAAGGTTACCTTGCCTGTGTACCCTTCATTTACACTAAAGATGTTACAAGTTCACAAGGCAGTGTTTACTGTCAAGTGCATCAGGTCTGTTTACTAACTGCTTCCAGACTGGAAGTTTGTTTCTCATCGACATATAACTAAATATTGCTTGTGTTTCCTCAGATCGTGCTGGTGGGAAGCGTTTCTCTCAGCAGTTTGAGGATTCAGCGGTCAAGCTGGAGGACTATGTGACCTCGCTTACCAAAGAGGTGGAGCTGAGACGAAAGCTGTTCGACTTACTTCAGAAGAGCGAGATCTTCTACGAAGCACAGTTTGGAGAGGCCAAAATAGTCGCAAATGTAAGCAGTGGGCACATCAGTATTTACATTCAGGGTGAAGAAAAGATTTTAAATGGTGGCTTTAGTCAAAGTTAACAATTGGTTCAGCTCTTTATAAGTTTAGGGTAGTTTAAATTATTATATTGGTTGTGGCACCTAGTTTTCCAGAGTGGTGGAAAATTTGATAGGTAGGGGGAGCACCACATGCATGTATGTATGCCAGGCAATACCTCTGAATATAAGTCGGGTAATCTATTTAGATAGTATGCTGTCATGGTAGCATCAAAATAGAAATATTTATCCAAATCTGCAAGTAGGCTTGCCTTTTCTCTTCACACTTGCCTTCTTGCAGATTTTTTTTTTTTTTTTTTTTAAATATGGAAGTTCTTTGTTTTGTTACCTCGAAAATGATCAGATATTCATTTTATGATTCTAGACATTTTCGGCTGGGATCAAGCCTTTGAATATCCTCTCAGAGTTAAAAGAAGGAAAGATCTTACAGTTTGAAATTCTCCTTTCAAATTTGTCATGCATAGTTGCAATATAAATATTTGCGAAGGGGCTAACAAGTGTACATCTAAACATGCACGTTGCAGGCATACAAGAATTTCGGCATGCGAGTAGCAAGCCTGAAGAAGAGACTGGAAGAACACAAGGCCTTGTTACCAGATTCATTCAGCCCCATCCCTTCCCCAACGATGGACGCTCCCTCACCTGGTAAGTCAAAACTCAACCACTTTCCCACTCTCTCAGAGAAGATGTAACAGAGTGTCCCAGCCCTTATTTTTATCCAAAAGTATTGCTGTCGCTTTGCCAGAAGTCAAATCTGAATTGTTGTTATTCATTCAAGCACTTAGAACATGCACATTCAATGCTAATAACCAGTAAGGGCTCCCAAAACCTGTACCGATCTGAACTCGGAGAGTATGTGCAACATCCAGGTGGTATTACCTCAGTTTTGGCTTCTGATTCGGGCAATTCACAATGCAGTGTGCCACCAAGAGTTTATCACAGAGAGTTCATTTTTCCCAGTGCATTGTGGGAAATGGTTGACAAATTCGCAGCGCGGGACATTTGAAATTGTTAGTTTTTCCAGTCAGTAGTTTCGTAAGCGTATGATTCAAGTATACGTTTGCTCTTTTCTTTTCTTTTTATCAATATGGTGTTTTTTGTAAGGCAGCAGAACGCTGTGCCCCGATCTACAACAAATAAGCTACAGTTATACTGACACTCCTTCAAATGGGCCATGTTTTCTTGACCGTAAACTTGAAAAACGGTTTCTCCATGGCAAAGTCTTGGTGGCGCACTGCATTGGACATGAGAGCACTAGTGCATGTCTGTGCACCCAAAAATGGGGAATCGGACAAAACATGCAGATACAGATTGAACTTTATGTGACTGTGTTTAGCCTATAGACCAATCTCTATAGATCACTTTTATCATGAGACCCTCTTCAATGGCCAAAGCATTGTGCTAGCTGTTTTTATTTTATAATCCATAAAGTGGAATTTGCTTTGTACAATAGAATCCACAATGGTTTCTCAAGTGATGGGGGCCCCGCGGGTACGCATTGATCACATGACAAGATTTGTCTATCAGAATGAAAACCAGAAAGAGGTTTGCCATGAATAATTCAGCAGATATTTAAATAGAAATATTGGCCTGCCCACAGGAGCCACTCCTCCCCGAGATCCCAACTCCGACAGCATAGAAGTAGAGGACATGGAGCTATCTGACGAAGAGGAAGATCGCAAGGGGGGCACTATCATCGGTCAGTACCTCTTCTTTTTTTTTACTTTCCTCAGTCAAGCCTTTTCACACTTATTATAGAGACTTGCGCCTCAGTTCCCACATCCTTGAATAAACATCCTCACATGGCCTTGAATTCCCAGGTGAGACATCCCAACTTGCCAAAAAGTTACCTGGGACGATACAGATACAGGACTGAGATTCCAATCATAATGCTGGGGTTACATAAATGAGGATTCCTGCCTCATTCGGAGAACCTATGTCCTATACATGTACTTGGTGAAAGAATTTTAAAAAGTCAAGTCATCACGCAACCATTTCCAAACAAGCAGCATCTCAATAAGCTCAAATTGTGTAAAGTCCAGGATAAGATTTTTTTTCACAAGTTGACTTTGGTTTATTCATGCTGACATTAAACCTCCTATGGAAACATGCATTGTCAGCCTGGTTATTACTAGGGTCAATATTGGTCAAGACCCCCATTGGTTTGTACACAGTATGCCAGGAGGTGAGATACAAACATTTTGACCATTGGTGACCTCTTAAATAGTGGGTAAACAAGATCATGGTATATTATGTAATATTTTACCATTTGCCAAGGTAGTGGAAACTAAAGTGTCCCTGTAAACAATGCACACAGTGACATTATGCATCCAAACTGTTTGGAGAAACAATGAACAAATACAATCAATTTTTTTAGCTCAGAGAAAGTGGACAATAAACCTTATAAACAGGAGGAAGCCATTTTGGATCGTGTTCCCTGAATCTTTTTTACAAAATTGTAAACTGTTGAATGGCATGGTGCCAGACTATTTCACGATTGGAGTGCGTTCCAACCTCACTTTTTTATCACAAATTTTAAATTATTGATCACAGCTGACTGGTGTTAATTTGTAATGAACTTTTATCTCATTGCTCTCATTTCTACTGGCAAGTTCAAAAAATGAAGAGTTTACCTCGATTTCAATTTAATGGCCGACTCGAGAATAAAGTTTATTGCTTCCTTTGTGGCCAAATCCAGAACGGCTCATCGAAGGAGGAGCCTGATTTAACCCAAAAAAATCTGTTTGCTATTATTCACACACAGCAGCTCCATCGATGACCACCAGGAGAACATCTCGCATAGCAGCGCTCAGAAACAAGATAGCGGCCACCACCACCACTTCATCCACTTCCGGCATCAGCCATATCAGCACAATCACAGGTAAGATGTTCCTTGTGTATCATTAGGGGACCATTTGAAGCTGCTGGATTTTCAGCTTGCATTGGGAAGACGATGAAGCTTTCTATAGTTGGAGGGAAAAATAGTAATCTTGGTCTTTCAAAGATAGCGGACGATAACACTGAAATTGCCAACATTTTGTATTAAAATTCCTGTAAAGCTGTGGTGTATTACCCAATTATACTAAAACTACCTTTTATTTGTTAGCTACCACTAGAAAATTAAAAAAAATCTTGTATTAAATTAGTAAATTTAACACTGTTTCTGACAAATAAAAATATGCAAATATTTCACAATATCCGTTGTAATGTGAAGCAGAGCTCTTGATATGATTCAGAATATGCTCATGGGTTTCCCCTTGGTTTCAGAAGAAAAACAAGCTCATCAAATTACCTATCATTGCTTATTTTTTTCTGTGGATAGAAAATATTAAAACTGTTTGCTCTTATGTCTGCTCTTTTGTATTCATAGGTGCAGGTTCTCGAAGTGCTTTTAATCAGCCCCTTCCGAGTTATTCACCGTTCTCAAGCGAGTCTCCTCCAGCTGATTACTCTCCTTCTGAGGAGTACCTGCCCATCCCAACCTCAGCTGCAGCTCCAGGCTCCGCCCATAACTCCACCAGCATGAAAGAGGGAGGAGGAGAGAATTACGGCCAAATCAAGGATCGTCTCCTTCAGGTCATGCAAGAGCCCCCCAAGCTGCCATCTTCAGTGAAACTCTTTGACTCTCCCGGGAGAACGGGATCCAAAAGGTCCTCTGGTCTACCCCCTGTGACCATCCCATCCTACACTCCCTCTCCAAAGGCGTACGACCAGCAGGTTAGCCCTATCGTAACTGTTCCCCCTGCTGTACCGGCACCTGTACCACCCCAGGGTGTGGTGGACGAGTATGACCCCTTCAAAAATGAGTACGCCACAAGTGCTCCACAGTTTTACACCCCTGTTAACAACCTTCCGGCCCAAACTAGGGCACCATCTCGGCAGCCACCGTCACCACCAGATGATGATGTGTACGATCCGGAAATGGTCGACTACCTTCTAGAAATGCCTCTGGAAAAAAAGAAGAAGCCACAGTCATCTTGCATCATACCTCTAGCAGGAGGATTCCAGTCGCCCACAACAAAGCCCGAAGTCCAAAAGGGAGTTGATGCAGTTGTCTACGGAAGCAACAAACCATCAAGCGTCCCCCGTAGCAAGGAGAAGACAAGTCTCCCTTCAGTGCAGAGTAAATCTGGCTTGAAAACGGCCAACAGCAATAAACCTGGTGGCACTCCCCTCCGAGATGAATGCAGCACTCCACCCAGCCAACAAGACAGCCCGATGCTGAAAGCAGCTACAAGCAACCCCATCGAGTTCTTAACCAAGATCATCACAAGCTCCCGACAGTCCCCCGGTAATAAAGCCCCTTCGTCCTCATTCCTGAGCAGTCTCAGCTTGTTGACCCAAACCGTGCAAAGTGCTGCTCAAAAGGAGAAGTCAGAACAACTCTCGGGTGATACACAGGGTGGAGAATCAGCCATTCTTGAGTCTCAGAATCCTCCGGAAAGCCAAAGAATTGATATCAACCAACAAGCTGTGAAGCAAAACAATGTCAGCCCATCAGGTCAGGCTCCTGTACCCTTTTCTATTGGTGCTCTTGTCAGCAGTTTCAAAGAAGCATCAAATTCCATTCCTGACCCTAACTTTACAACCGCTATGGATGCCATGTCCGGAGCAGATTACAGGCAGATCACCCAGGCAGGCTTAGCCACAGGAATTTCAAGGGAACCTCATGATACTACCCAAGCCAGATCAACTGCATCCAATTTGAAGCAGAACCATGCCAATGCAGGCAGTCGGACTCCAATGCCATTCTCCATCGGTGCGCTTGTCAGCAGTTTCCATGAGGAATCCAAGCCAACTCCTGCAACTGTGGTTTCCACACCTTCGCCAGTCAGTAAGAGTGCTCCGTTTGGGCCAGCTGTTTATCAGAAGTCCAACAAAGTACCCCTGTGTCAGATTATGAATACACCAGCCCCCAACACCCTTGCAGTTTCGGTGGCAACTGTCAGCTCAGCAGTTACAGCAAAACCCTCCGAGATGATGCCAGCTGCATCAGCTGGTGCCAGCATGTTGGATGATGAAACTGATGCAAGTCAATCACATTCCCTCATGGCTCGACTGATGCAAAACAAGACAAAAGAGCAGCCATTACTCAATCCTGTCATGTCAAATGTCACACCTGGCCTTCAACCCCAACCTCCAAATTTCCAATCGCTTATTTTGGAACCACCTCCACCACCACCCTTGCCACCTGAAGAGTCAATGGACAGCAATACAAGTATACCACATCCTCCCCCAGAAGACCCAATGCAACCTGCAGGACCCCCAACCCCCGTTGGTCCACCTCCTCCCCTAGGAGGTCCTCCACAAATGCCAAGTGATCCACCTTTGCCCCCAAGTGGTCCACCCCCTCTGCCTCCAAGTGGTCCACCTCCTCCAAGTAGCCCACCCCCTCCCCCAAGTGGTCCACCCCCACCCCCAATATGTCAGCCCCCTACCCCTAGTGGTCCACCCCCAGTCAGTCAACCACCACCCCCAGTCAGTCAACCGCCACCCCCAAGTACTCCACCACCACCTTTGGTTGCTCCACCTCTTCCGCTAAGTGGTCCTCCCTTACCCCCAAGTGGCCCTACCCCACACCCTAGTGGCCCTCCTTCATATCCTAGTGGTCCTCCCCAACACCTTATTAGCCCTCCACAACAACCTAGTGGCACTCCTTCACACCCTAGTGGCCCTCCTTCACACCCTAGTGGCCCTCCTCCATACCCTAGTGGTCTTTCCCAACAACTTAGTGGCCCTCCCCCTAGGGCATCCCAACCCCAGCAACAGGCGGACCAACCTCCCCCGCCACCTGCTCCACAGCGTTCTCTCATTGGGCCTCCCCGATTTTCTGGGGAAGTCCCCCCAACTGTAACTGGTCCTGCGACTCCTGTGCCTGTTCCTTCTCCCACCACCAGAAATACAATCCCCAGGATGCAAATTCGTGCACCACCCCCTCCCCCAGGGCCCCCACCTCCAAATGCTAAGCGTGGTGGAAGCACACTCATCCCGGCGGGTGCCGGGCCTCCAACACCCGTACCCCACAATGTGCAACCTAGTGACACCCCACCAACCTCCCCTCAAGAGCTTGCATCGAATGCACATGCATCAGGTGTTACTGAGCACCAGCCATCTCCACCAGCCTCTGCCACCGGACCTGTGAACCCTGAGCAGAATCATCCAGCAGACCCGCCACAACCCACATCGCCCATACCCGTAGTTGGCTCGGTCCCAACAAGGAGCATTCCTGTCCTAGGCCAATCAAAGTCTGCCAAGGATATGTGGGAAAAACCGCCTTTCCCATCGCGATCGCCAGGGGTATCAACTCGCTATACTGAATTTCCAACACAGCCTACTGAAAAGATTGATTATTCCCACAGCAGACCCATCGAGACCCTGGAAAGGAAACGCATGTCATATCAGGAAAGGTTCCATGAGGATAAAGCCCAAAGTGAGGTATTCAGGAGGACAGAGCAGCGCTATGACTCGGAAAGAGACAGATACCCTTCCTTTCCCCACAGTAATTCCAGTAGAGATGGAGGCTTTGGCATCGGAAGAGGAAGGAGATACAGTGACACAGATCGGTTATACAGGCACGACCTCGATCAAGATCGGGGCCACGGGCACCACTACGATCGGAGTCCCGGAATGGACTTTAGGAGGAGTCATGTGCTAGACACTGATCTTGACTACGAGCAGGACCATAGCATGGGTCGCAGACAGGACTTTGACCGGCTTGGGGCTCAGGAACCAGCTGACACAGGAGGCAGCTACGAGCAGTCGCATTTCAGGAGTACCAAGCAGCTGATCGAGAAGGAACTGAGTGCGTTGGCAGGTGATTTGCAACCAAGAGGAGCAGGGGCTGCCATCTCAACATTAGAGGGCCGGTCTGAAAGCGGAAGGCATACGAGTGATTATGGCGGCCACAGAAGAGATGAACCCCAATTCTGGAGGGGAGCAACCAAGCATGCGGGGCAACCTACCTGGGGACGACCCCCACCTCACTACAGATACTGAACTTTGTTCAGAAAGTCAATTTTTTATCCAAGTTTTATTTTATAAATTCCATTAACTTTGTATTCTGGACAATATGGTTGACCCTCACTGAAAAGAGGCCAATTTGAACAAAAGATTGCAAAACTAATTAAGTCTGAAATTCTTTTCATTTTTTTTTTAAACATCTGAAGTTTCATTGTCAGCGAAACAAGCGCTAATTAATTTTCAATTCATGTGAGGAAACATTTTGATACTTTCTGGTACCACGTTTTTGTTCCATTGAGTTTGGGAGTTGGGGAGAAGTGAGTATTTTCAACTCAAGTTTTAGACTTTGTGTACTACTATGTTTGCCTTATCAACACTTTTAATAATTGAGGACATACTGATTTTTACAGAACAATGTGGGTTTTTTTTTAATTTCTAAGGCTACAAACATGAGCAGTATAAAGTTGTGTACATGTACATGCGTTTAATATACACAATTTATATGTATAATTGGAATATTTGGAGGTTTACTTCAGTCTAGTCCACCCTCCCCCCCCCCCAAGAAAAAAAAGAATTCCCTATATTTGCAAAATTTTCCATCCTAATGACATTTCGTGTTAAGATTTCTCCAACTTGCACCCATAAGAAACAAAGAACTGTTTTTCTAAAACTGATCTTGAATTTAGGTACTTGTACTTGCTGGTTTCAAAATCAGGTTTGTCACACATAAAAAAAACCTGAATAATATTCAGTCTGGTTTGAGTATTGTGAGCTTTTTTTGAGATGCTACAACTACTTCCGTTGCCTCTTTCTCTTCTTAGCTTGAGGGAAGCACGCCGCTCTAGCTCTGCTCCCCTCTGAGTAGTGGTCCTGACAACTGCTCACCAAGAGCTGCAGTCAGTGAATCTCATTAACAGCAGATCTCCAGACTCTAACCAAGACAATGACAGTATTCTATTATTATAAACAAACATTTGGATCTTTCTCAGTGACCAGTTACAGCCATCTTGAGGTAAAGCTTATCGTAGAGCAAGAACATCTCTTTTCTTGCTCTACGAAATCCTCTTTTTTTTTTAGTTCTGTCGCAACCACGTTTTTTGCCATTTGTTGGCTATCGATTGATTGCTATCAATGCAAACAAACTTTTTTATAAAAGTTTCTAAAGGTGATGCAGTTATTAAATATCCAAACTGAAAAATCAACATACACTGGCCAATACTTAATGAAGGTACTGCCCTCTTAAATGCTGAAGGCATACAGGCATGCAACTTCTCCTTGGATCAGTTGAATTTTCCTCTTTTTGTACTTCTCTTGTACATGTATGTCATTTAAAATTGGAAAACTTAATTTAAAATTGTAAAGCTCGGAATTTACTCCTTTTTTTATCACTTGCCAGTTGCACGCCTGGGCGGAAAAGTGCCATCTTGGTCAAAATCTGCAAAGATGTTATTTATGGTAATTGGTGGCAGTTGCTGCTCATACAAAATGGCACCAAGTTTTTGTAAAAAAAAAAAAAGTCATGTACATGTACATCTACACTTTTTTTTACCAGCAAGGTATAGTAAAAATGTACCATCCAAATATGCATGTAAATGCACACTTTGAAGTTCAGCAAAGTTCAAGTTGGAATACACTGAGCGAAATTAAAACAACAGAAACAGTTTTTGATCGTGTTACCTTGTAGTGTTGTGCAAGTAAAGCCTTTGAAAGCAGCATGCATCTCCACTCAGGCAAAGGATATACAAATAATTATTACAAGGTAATAAGAAAATTTGTTTGTGGTAACACCATGTGGCAAAATCTCTTTTGTGAGTATGTGTGGTTCTGAAAAGAACCGGGGGTAGTCAACGTTTCGGACAGTATGCTCTAACCGTCGTTAGGAGAATGAGGTCTCCTGACGTCCCCGAAACGTTGAATACCCTACGGTTCTTTTCAGAGCCACATATACAAAGAGATTTTGCCACATGGTGCTACCGCAACAACTTTTTACCCTTCATCGTGCGAACCTTCAAAGTAGCTAATGCGAAAGTTTAGCCCCCCAATTTATACTTACTTCTGTTGCCAGTTATTCAATGCTACTTGCTTGGTTTGATTGTGACTTGCACATAAAACAAGGTTATAAAAGGATATCTTTGTCTTCACCCCCCCCCCCCCCCCCCCCCCCCCCTATCAACCATTTTTGTCAGATACTGAACTCGAGGAATTAAGTTTATCCAGTGGGGAGACCCTCCCAACCCCCCCCCCCCTCCCAACCCCCCTGCAAGTTTTTTTTCCATTCTTTTGATAGTTGTATTGTACGTTGTTTTTGTGATAAAAACAAAGAGTACGTCCCATTCCCCGCACGGCTTGGAAAAAGGGGGCAACCAATTTTACGGAAAATGTTGAGAACCTTAAATTTTGGGATGCACCATCCCTGTCAACCGGCAACCCCACCTCACCCAACCTAAGTTTTCCCCCACTTCACAGTCGGAAATCACCGATGGTGGCTGGTGTAAAGTTTTGAGGTTGATGGGAGATATGACATTTCCCCTTTTCTTCCTAAAACGTTATTTTTATTCAACATTTCTTGACAAAAATATCAAATGACGGGGTTATAATACTTAATGCGACCCGGCTGCCCCTACGTGGCGCATTTTTATTTATATTTCTCGTTTAGTGCCTCAGCTTGGTAGAGCAAACGTTTTCATCCTAAATTTCACAAAAAGTGGAATTACGGTTGTTGTTAATATCCCTGTTTCATTAAAGCTCGATTTTTATGAAAGGGGGGGGGGGCTATTTCGACACGATTTTGCTATTTTGAACTCAAAGAGCGCTTTTTTTTTTGACACTTGAGAAGGGACAGGTCTCTCAAGTAATTTGGGGCTCAAGTCCTACCTATACCGATATAGACCTTTCTATGCTTGGTTGGCAAACTGCATTTTTGCCAACCAGGGGTTGCAAAACTATATGGAAGGTCCAACACTGCAAAAATAAAGAAGAGTTATTACAGATAACCAAAATATTATTTGATCGTTGGAAATACAACATTGTCAACAAAGCTACAACATAATTCCCAGACATGCCTTTTTACTTTGTATTAAGGGCGTTTGGGTGAATTTTTTTGGGTAAAACATGTTGCCAACCACGGCTTCAATATATGCGCTTGCGGCAGCCCATATAAAATAGCGCCAATGTTTACAAACAAAAGGAAGGCCTATATTTATTGCCATCCCCACCCTGTCTAACACACCGGACATGCGCTAGTCGTTTGATATTCAAATGGCGTAAATCGTGTAATGATAAAAGTTCCTTTTTCCATTTTCTTATTCCTCATCCGAAGTATAGAGGGCGGTACATAATCCGCCACGCGTTAAAATATGTAGTCTGGTAACCTTTTCGCTTAAAAGTTTACTGCACTGTTACTAGCAGTTCGTCATTTTGGGTACCAGACGGATGCGAATAAACTTTGGTAAAATTTACTTTACTTGCGGAGTAGTCGCGGATCGACCGAGTTAAATCGTGGCTGGCAGTGACAGGATGTGTTGAAAAGTGGTGGGAGTTTTCGGGGAAAGTTTATACCCAGTTGGAAGAACCGTATGTAAGTAGGCTACATTTGAGGGGGATCGACTGGTTATATCTTGTTCAGGTATGTCAGGAGAGTGACCAATCTTGGGTGATTGAAAGTTAGTTGGCATTCCTACCTCCGCGTTGCGTTGGGGACTCCGAAAAGTAGTTTGTCCACGCACCACTGCCGCGGTAGGGTTACACAGTTCAGACACATGATACAGCCCGGTACAGGGAAACGTCGAAGATTGCAATACACCGGCCGCCGGCCGGCCGGGCTATTCTCGACTGTCATCACACGAATGTTTAAAGTGTTAACAAATAACAGCACGAATTCGTCTTAATGATGAGTCTTCTTTACTTGTTGTAAAAGTATCACCACCAGCTACAGAAAAACGAATTGTTTGTTTTTCAGCATGATTTGCAGCTGACAACGAAGTTGATGTTACTTCAGATTGACGCGAATTTCAACACATGTGCATTTATATGTATTTCTAGCGGCAGTTTTAGCAGTGGGAAAGGGCTGTGTTGAGGGGAAGACGGTGTGGTGCCTAAAGTGCAGTAAACAGTCATGACTGTGCGGCGTACATTGAGACGCATAGGCAAACGAGAAGTGTGCATCGTTCTTTTAAGTTTAACTCTTGGATTTCTCCTGGCAACATGGCTCCGTGCTCACCCGGACTCGGACAAAACATACACCTTATTAGATAAGAGATGCAATGCAGCTGTAAACCCACGGGCGGCGTCGCAAGAAGCGACGGTGCCCCCAACACCACCAAAGAATTTTATTTATATTGGAGTCATGACGGCTCAGAAATATCTCAGCACCCGAGCGGTTGCCATCAACCGGACTTGGGCTCGTACCATTCCCGGCCGAGTGGACTTCTACTCCAGTGCCACCTCGGTCGTTGATCCTAAGCTGAACCTGCCTATCGTCAGACTGCAAGGGGTAGATGACTCCTACCCACCGCAGAAGAAGTCCTTTCTGATGATCAAATACATGCACGACAACTTCATTGACAAATACGAGTGGTTTATGCGTGCTGATGACGATGTGTACGTGCGCGGGGACCGTTTGGAGCCGTTTCTGCGTTCCATCAATAGCAGCCAGCGACTGTTCATCGGCCAGGCGGGGCTAGGCAAGCAGGAGGAACTGGGTCTGCTCAACTTGGAAACGGGGGACAACTTCTGCATGGGCGGCCCCGGTATGATCTTCAGCCGGGAGACGCTACGGAAATTGGTACCCCACGTCAGCTACTGCCTGAAGAACATGTGGAGCATCCACGAGGATGTGGAAGTCGGACGATGCATCAAGAAATTTGCAGAAATTGACTGCACTTGGGCATATGAGGTTTGTATACTTTCTTTCTTAAGGCCGGTTCATACAGTTAGTGCAACAGGTCTGGATCACTTTTTATACAAACCACTGCACACCTGTCCATGGTCGTAGTTTCCGTGTGCGAGTAATATCATTTCATATGTAGTAAAATTCCGCCTTCAAGTTTAAACCAAATATGTTCACATAGACTAAATTTAAATAAATCATGGCTTTTGTACAGGACTGAACCCAACACTTGCGAATCACTTTCGACAGTTCCGGATCATGCACGTGCACGCTGTGGTACACGTATAATTCATCCAATCACAGTGCACTCAGCGCGTACTTCATGTGTCACGCCTTCATCATGTAATCTGCATACAAAACTGCATCGTGTGTGCATGGGTGATCCGCAACTGTCGCATGTGGGGATAAAAATCTTTCGGCAAATACAGCAAAAAATTTAATTCAAATGCCAAAATCATTATTACTCGGTGATACTTGAGATTATTTCCTAACAAGAAAACCTAATATGGTGAAGAAAAAAATGATATATGTTGGCTACTTTCCACAGGAAACCAGAATCTTGCCTTTACGCGCTTCCTTTCACAAGCCAGTTACAAAACAAGCGGACATTTCACCAAACTGCATTGTGGGTAATGTTTGAGCGATTTCCAAAATGTCTTTTCCCTGACAACTGCAAAATGATAGACCTTCAAATTCGTGAAAAAAAAATCTTGGAAAAAAAGTTTGGTTACACTTGATTTAATTTGTATTTAAACAAGTGATCCGGAACTGTCAATGATCAGGAACTGTCACACTGAGTTGGTGCGAAAGCAAACACAAATTGCATTAATATGGGACTTCAGTCACGTCATGGCAAGTAGGCCTATACATATACTTCAAATTGAATGTACATGTACATGTATGTTTAGCATCGTTAAGCTCTGGCGAATTTTGAAGGGAGTGCTTTGCTCAAGTTTACTGTGCATTCGCGTGAAGTATGGACCAGTACGCAACAGTACACTGTGCTAATAATACATTAGTTTTTTCTAGGGGTCTACTTGATGTTCCCCAATACCTACATGTATGTTCCCCAATACCAATGTTCCCCAAAATCTTTGGGGTTAGGGTTATAGGGTAAGGATTTCGGGGAACATCAGTATCAGGGAACATAGGTATTGGGGAACATATGTATGCACCCTTTTTCTTGATCCAAAACTGTGCGGTGCCTATGTTTGCTGAAATTTAGGCAGTGCTACATTGCACGTGTAAAGTCCATGTGTATTTATGAAGTTTGTCTGCTACATTTTTTTTGGAGGGGGGTTGGATTTGTTTGTGTGTGTGGACAGTCTCAGTCTGAAATTGGTTTTCTCATACAGGTTTATTTTTAATATTTATTTAGATTGTTTACATCGTTCGTGTACTGTCATGTGTCATGAAATGTACAATGTGCGCTCAACATACATGTATGTCAACTTAACATACAATTGGTTTATCATCTGCTCAACACAGGATGTGTTTCATCAAAGGGAGTTAAAGTATGTTATTAATGATTTATCAATGTTGCCGATGTGGAAATAAGCAATTGACATGGATTCTTTACCATCGGTCCCAACTCAAGTTGGCATGGTCCCAATAAGTTGGGATATGGTCCAAAGTGGTCCCAAGTGTTCCAGTCGGGCTGGTTCAAGTTGGGATGCTGTTCCTTCGTGCTCAGGTATGGCAGCATGGTACGTTAAAGGGCGCGTTTACATTGTAGATACACACGTTGGTCACACTCACACGTGCTGGAAAGTGCAAGAGAAGCTAACTTGTATTTTGTTACTTTTTCTGTGTTTGCAAACACGGATGAAACGGCAAACAAACACCATTTTTTTTTATGTATTCTGATGTGAAAACTGTGCTGATTTCATGCCAAAATACATGTACCGCTAGTTGGGCCAAAAATGATGAGGCATGACAGATGACTTAAAGCACAGTCAACTGGTACACATAAGTACAACTGATGCAAAGTTGCGTGCAAATGAACAGATGTTTTCTTCGGCTGATGCCTATCGCTGCATGTGGCACGGAGCAAAGATAATGATTTTTCGTGATGATTTTTTGACCGGATAGTCATTTGAACATTGATTGCTTTTCATTTGACTACTATTCATGCACATTTTATCACAAGCTGGCACAGTGTGGTCCAGCATCAACCATAAACTGGTTGAACATTCTTCCTTCGTTGATCAAACTTGTTCTGTGAAAGCAATTTTTTTTATGTTCCTGCATGTACACAAGAAGTACAGACTGAGGCTGAACTCAAGACGCCAGACAATATACATATATACAATGTACCAAAATGGAGTTTATAAAAGGTGAATGCGTACTGCACACACGTAAATGCTGTGGATAATGCATTACACGCAAATTATTCTGCGTGCTCTAACCCTTACTCTCTGAGGGTAGTTTACTGCATGTCAGTTGGTTATGCCAATGCCCTCCAGCTGCAGTATATTGGAGGATAAACTATCTTGACTGTGAAGGCTCCAATTGGCAGGAGTTGGAGGCCCTGGAGGGTGCCTGATACTGACCAGCTGGGGGCACTCACTTTGTTATCAGAGGACTCTCATTGTTCTCTGTGGCATGTATTGGAGTGCCTGTCCAGTTACCCTTGAAATGACATGGCAGATATTGGAGGGCCATGCAAAAAACATAGGAGATTTTCTTGAGGCACATATTGGCATGCGTTGGAGGGTCTAGTAGGGTAAGGGTTAGCTAATGAGGCGAGGACGTGATCATTGGAGGTCTTTCAATGCCATGTGGCCAGACTGACCAAGCGCAGGTCACGTATCGCTTGATGACTGGCCATTGGTCATCTTGTGTTAGATTATACATGCAGGTAACTGTGTTGATTTATATTTGAAAACGTTAGTGCATTCTATGGAAGTGTACTCAGGTACCGCAGGGCGGATGAGACAACAAGCTGTTTCTGGAGTAAATTAATTACATCCTCTGTTTCATGAATTCATCGGATTGGGGTCACTGTTTGATCTTTGGCGATCTTGAAAGTGCTTGAACTTTTAATGAATAATGTATCATACCGGTACTTGACGTTCCCAGCTATGGATGGAAAACATGTCCTTGAACTACTGTTCTCATCATAGTCATGACTTATACACACACAAAACCCCTTTAACTTAAAGATATATAGTCCATCATTTGTAATTTGTGCATGTTGTTCATTTGAAGCAACAAAAGTGTTCAAAATCTAATGAAGGATACTGAACAACTAACCTGATGAAGTTTCAGCTCAGCTTCAGCTGTATATTCCGAGAAAGACAGCATTCTAGGATCTCAATTTCAAATCAAAAAGTTGCTGAATCATGTTTTGAATTGCAGCTATACGCAATGTCGCGCACTGATCCGACGAATTATAGCAACCGCGCGCGCCTGTGCGTCGTGCCAATGCTTGCGCGCGATGTGCCGAATAACAAAACGAACTTCTAATTTAAATTTTCCTACGGTGCGTCTTAAGACGCACCGTTGGAAAGGCCTTCTTTTGTTGATTACTTCAAAATGATAGCTTGCCAGAAAGATTAATTTCACAGGGAGTTTAGTCCACTTACTATCTTTCAACCAAGTATGTTTTTCGACAATAATACGCCAGTTACTTTTGAGGATGGCTGCAAATGATGGACTATAGCTTTAGTTTGCCTGTGGAATAATTTAATGATTGTTCAGCATTACTCAATGATTGTTTATTACGTTGTTACAACAGTGACTTGAAGAAAGAAAAAAAAGAAGAAAAGTTAAATGTGTTCATTTGAGCACTTATGGTTTACACACACACTTAATCCAAATGTTACACATATTTTTTAAATTTTAATTATTTCTCTGTGGTTGACCAAAGCAACAAATAGGCCCACATGAGACATGCATCCAATGAGAACAGCTTCCTTCTTGGGTAAAACAAAGGCTGCATCGGTAATTACTTGCCTATGACCAGCAGTAACACGCGCGTCTACAGGAAGTGGCGTCACCCACTTCCAAGTTCCATAATTGTTGCTGGCCATAGCCAAGAAATCTGGATGCGGCAATTCATGCAATATATGGCGTAAATGTACATACATGTAGTTGCATACAGGAATCCAGTATGCAGGCATGCAACTTTTCCTCGGATCAGCTGATTTCTTCTTTTTTTTTACTTCCCATGTGTGCCATTGAAAAAAAAAAAAAAACACTGTACAAAGTCTGGGAAAATTTTGAATTTCCTCTTTTTTGTGTGATTTCCCAGTTGCATGCCTGAGTATGAGAGAGATCAAAATACAGACAGGTAGTGTGTACGGCATTGGAGGCCATGTCTACAAAACTGTTATTTCCTGCGTGAACAAGGCCAGCCTGGTCAGGAGACTATCATGATGGCCACAAAGGATTGTGAACTTGTGGTCAGTTGTAGTTCATTCATACATGTAGCCAGTAGGGCTGGGGTAACGCACTTGGTGGTGCACTGGTGGTGCATGCGACCTTTTTTTCTTGGCTGAGCCAAGTGAGCATGCACTGCTCTGCATGGGACCTTACCCAGGGCTAACGTGGCTAAGGGTGCAGAGATCAGTGCACAGACCACTGGGATCTCTATACATATACATTATTTTCTTTGTTGAACAGAAGCTTAGATTCATATCCTGCCCCATTGCTTTGTCCAGTCTACGACACTGAACATTTTTATAAGTGGACCTAATGTACCGGTATTTTACATGCAGTCAATTTGTAAATAGTTATTTTCACCCATCACAGACGATAAAGCCAAAAAAAGTTGTAAGGATTTAACATGCCGCTTAAGCGTACGTTTAAGGCTTGAAAGTTCCCGGTCATTGGCATAAAAGGTTATTAGCATAAAAATGGAAGTAACTTTACAATTAAGTAATATTTTGACTTAACAAATGCACAACATTATTAATAATATTTTAATTAATATTAACAAATTACATCAGTCAAAATTTCACCCTTTTGTGATTTTTAATCTAGAAATGGCAGCACAAAACCTTTCAACTCGATTATCTCCAAAAGTGCTTTTTGCGTGCCTGGGCTGCTTAACGACCTTTTCCTTGTCACGCGACGATGTGTACAGTGTACATACGGTAAATGCCAAAAGGTACAGAAGTTAAATTGCGGGGATCAATTTCAGGCTTAAATACTGCGCACTTCAAAGAAAGGGCCCACGATGTACATGTAGTTGTACATTTGTATGCACTGTATGCTGGGATTTACCTGTGGCAATTGTGATAGGCAGGGTGTTATTACATAAAAGCACACTGCAGTAATGGTAGGTCTTCAGCAACAATTACCAGTAGGCACAATGCCACAATGGAGTACAAATTGTTAGCTGGAGCTTTGACAATGAAGTGGCAATATGCTAAAACGTATTAGCAGAGAGTTTTAAGTACCAGTATAAGGCCAAGGATCGGCGGTGCTTTGGTGCTTTGTTGCATGCCGACACAGCCGGGACACAGCCAGGACATAGCCCTGCTTCCCACCTCTGTGACCTACAATACGTGTATGCACAGCGGGCAGTCTGCAACACCTAAATGTCAGAGATTCCGCACTTAATTTTTTTTATGTTGAATCCTATAACTTAAGTTTTATACACACATGCAAATAATACAGTTGACTCTCGCTAATATAAACTGAGCGGAACCCTAGCCAAAATGTTTGTTACATGTTATATGAATTTTGTATTAAGTGGAGTGCCATTTCTATTCACTTTACACATAAATGCATAGTCGGGACCAAGGCTTTATGTTTGCTATAAAAACCAGAATTTGTATTAACAGTGTTTGTATTAACAAGATTGGACTGTAGGCCCTCTATATAAGTCTTGGTCCATGGTCCAAGCATTGGTTTGGATTTCTTTCTCCCTCTAAATGCAGGCAATCCTGATCCCTTGCAAGCGTAGTTACATGTATGCCTCCGCAGCTGTAGAGGGCGCTATCCACAAGATGAATCAAATCCAGTCTTGGGAACTTTTGCTCTTAAGACTCGAGAATTCTGAGTGTTTGTGTACTTGTTGTACCTCAGAGTGCAGACATGTAAATAGGCCTGAAATTGCCTACATGTACGCTATGGCCAAATCATGATTTGCATGCCCTCAAATTCTCCAGTATTAAAGCATTTGTGTCGGTCCGTGAACTTGAGGATTTGTAAACAAGGAGGGGGGGACTTGGAAGCCATGCAGAGGTCTGTCAGCTCATAGTCGTGTGAAATGTGGATGAAATTAAGCCCTAAAAATAAAATAACTCTATTTTACAGCGGAGCGTAGGCGTCCGTTTTCAAAATGGCATTGGGCTTCAGGTCTGCTTTTAGGGGTGGTCATCTTTGGATGGAATTTTCTCCCAAAAGTCATTGGTTTTAAGACCCCCAAAATTGAACGGAAAATGAAAGATGATATTTGCTTTTATAATGTGATGTGTCTCAAACACCTTGGAGAGTTTTGAGTATTTTTAATAATTTTGGGAAGTGCACGTAAAATCACCGAGGTCTAATATGTCTGTCTATTTACTGGTCTGTAACCCTCACACACACTATATTCAAAATGTTGGATTCAAAATGTTTGAATCCAACTCTGTAGCGCTGGCTCTTTGGAACAATACACACTACGTGCAATGCTGAATGCGCACACGAGCATGCATTTGCACACAAATACCGCGCCATGGAACAAGAATGATCCTAACTGTCCAATAGTATTTTCTATTCCCCATGGGCGAATGGGACTATTTGAGCCCTGGCGTGAATGGGAGCAATAAGGAATGTCACGTGATGTGAATTCCACCAATCAAATGACAAGGATCTGCACATGTACAAATGTATGTCAGTTATATACATGTAAACATACAGTGTACACATATACCGGTACATACAAGTGTGTCAGAACTTCTGGGGTAGGGGTGCCAAAGTTCCCAAGACTGAATTTGATTCATCTTCTTGTTGGTAACACTTGTCAGGGACCGGTTGCAATTAGTGTGGAACAAATCCAAATCTCGGTTCCATCTCTTGTAAAATTTACATTTGGTACATTTGTACAGTCATACTGTGTGAGTTTATCACTTTGTTTTAGTGTCTTGGACCTTGAAGTTTTTGCAAGACAGTAATCACATTATTACTTTGTCCTCGCTTTACGTAAGTCGCTTCTTCTTAATAACAGCTGCAGGAGGGGCCCAAAAAATGCTGATTCAGGGACTCCCAATGGGAACTGTTTATTTGACCTTCCAGTGAGCAGTCACCAGAAGTGAAGTGCTGTCAACACCCACCAGCATAGTACGTGCATGTTGGCACATGGAGGAAGGAATTAACATTATTGCAAAGAATTGGCACAACAGGGTGACATTTTTTATAACCCATTCCTCAAAGACTAAAAATGATGTAGCGCCTTGAGCACCAATATTGGTGGATACGTACCGGTACGCTCTATAATACCCATTATTATTATTCCCCATACAAGATGACTTTGCAGTTCTTTCTTTTCTTTTCTCACTGCTGCATCAATTCAGTTATTTTTTACAGAAACTAGTATTCAGTAGGATTACTATAACTAGTGCAGGGCCAGTCGAAAATGTGCGTGTTCGGAAGGGGCAGTTGAGAACTGCAGCTTGTGCAAATAACGCACATTATTCAATGGTGTGAACGCACACTCGCAAGTTAAACACACAAAATGTCGTCGCCCCCCGGCACTAATACTTACCCCTACTGGACAATATGGTATCGCCCTACAACTGTAGGGCGTAGTTGTAGGGCGATACCATATTGTATTAGAGTTGCTCAGTCGACCGCCTACATACAGTGCAGTGATGGTTGCTCAGTTGACTACAAAATGCATGTGCCCGTGCCCGTGCATGCCACTCACTTATGAAGACATGGTGTGCAGTGCTATCGCCCTACAATGTGCCCGTCCTTTTTCCATTGTTGCGTCATATTAAGCACGCGCGCTCTTGCTCAAACATGACGTAAACAATTGAAAAGAACATCAGTGCGCGGAGTTCTAGGCTATATTCTGGCGCGCTAGGCCTCAGAAAATACTGCTTTTTTGCAGCTTTTTCAAAAACCGCTGGTCCAAACCACTTCAAACTTGGCACTGCACATTCTGGTGTCCCGAGCAATACACCCGCCGATTTTCAACTTCATACGGTGCCCGGTTCTGGAGATAATCAGCGGACAGATAGACAGACAGACAGACAGACAGAGATTCCTTGAATTATAGTATAGATGTACATGAGTTTGTTTCTGCATTCAATAGGGGACGTTGAACAATAGAGAACAATAGGGTCCCCAATTCCCGAGAGGTCCCCAATTTGGATTCGTCTACAAAACATATGGGAGGTCTTCCTAAAAAGTTTAAAGAGGGCAAATAGGGGGTCCCCGATTGCAGGCAAATACACACTTGTGTGTATACGCCATGGTATACGGTATGGGGTACCATGGAATGCATACCATAGGTAATTGTACTACTACTATGGTACATGTGCATGTACTGTTGTTGTACATGTACATGTGTACAAATGTATAGTACATTCTTGTAAGTTGTAGCCATACCATTTAGACTATACATCCAAAATTTGGAATCCATAGGATAACATCCCCCCTCCCCCAAAGATTTCAGTCTGATGTTGAACCTGGCAGAATGGTCCACTCTGCATGTTGACAGCAACTCAAACATATTCTGTGGGGAGGCAGCCATCAGTGTACTGTCACTGTGTGAATCATTTTGAAGACTAAAGAAGTTCTTTGCATACCGATACATGTACCGGTACGTGTACAAATGTATCACAATGCCTGCACATACCGGTTGGAACATTTTAAGTGGACTTCCTGGGGTCAGAATTTAATTTCCCCTTTCTGTTGTCATCTGGTTCCTGTACTTGCTTCCACTGTTCACTTTGTGTACAGTGTACTTTAAGTTACAAAACATGTATCGTACCTGGTAGGGTACACATTTACTCTTTTGGAGGTGAAAGTTGTGCTTATAAGTTATACTGTATGTGCATGTACCTCCATCTTGTCAGCATTACATACACGGTACATACTGTACCACATCCTGATATTTATCAGAATATGTGCATTTTGTGCAGTACGGTACATGTGGAGCACAGAACAGACATGAACATGTACATGTATACATGTGTGCATTTACTCCAGTGTTACAAAGCAATAGAGGGGGACTCGGCTACTCTGTAAAATACAGATTTATTTTCAAATACTCTTATGATTTTATTGTTTGAAACTACCGGTAGTATTATCCTTATGTGGGATTATGTAATTTTGAAAGTGTATTTTTCAATGTATTGCAACTTCCCGTGGATCAAATGAAGGCACTGTTACTGTTGTTACTTATAGCATAAGCTGACATTTAAAAAAGAATTGTACAAATA